TCGACGGGAAGCATCCCAGCATTGGATGGCACCCTGTTCACGCCTGTTGCACCCTCACAAAACGCGCTGCTCTGCGGGTGTTGCGTAGGTGCGTACTCGTCGGTTAGGTATGGAGTCCACCCTCTGGGGTCTCGCTTATAGCTAGCCAACCGACTCTCATCGTCCCTGTGAGAGTCGGATTTTTTATATGTAATGTGCAAGTTCTATAACGGTCAGAATTTTCAATAATCCGTTTCTCTACCAAAATACAAGTAAAAAAAATGGTAAAAGATTTAAATTATTCGTCTCAATTGTGCGTATTCAGTAGTATATTTCTTTTACAATTAAATTGTCATAATATATTATTATAATATTGTAAAGCCTTTATAGTCTGTACTTATAATATAATATCTAATTCCTCCTCTTCCTCCCCCTCCCCTTATAAATTCCCATCGTTGCTAAAATCGTCGTTTATAATAACTATTACCCTTATACAGATTACGGGTACCTCCAATTTCTTACCCGCTACTATTATAATTATTATAGTAACCTCCTCCTCATTAGAATTTATATTAATAGCCTTTTCCTTCCCCTTCTTAGACCTTTTTTTGGGAAGGTATAATATTGATATAAACGGCTTAAATAATAGCCCAATTCATACTACTTGTATACTTACTAAATAGGCGTATCGCGGTATAACTAGGAGCTTACTAGGTATATTTATACCTTCGTTACCTAAAAAGAATTTAACCGACGAGGTGCTTCCTCTACGAACCTTTCTAGCCTGCTTCTACTATATATTTTGAAAGGTACGAAGTCTTTATTATAACTACGAAGGGTAGCCTTCCCTATAGCTTTATAGAGTTTATCCTCTTCGTTTTCAATATTAGCCAAAAAAGTATTAAAGTCCTATTTAAGTTAGGAAACCTTTTATAATTTTATTTCTAATATATAATATAAATAATCAAGACCCTATTATTTAATTAAGAGGGTACGCCAGGTATTATTAATAACAGCCTCATCCTACCTCTCCTTAAGTTTTAATACTATATTATATTCTAAGTCGTTCTTAGTAATACGAACGAGGCTATAGTCATTAGGAATATTAACCTCATTAATTAAATTAAGCCTAACCTTCTTCTTAGCCTTGGATTTACATAGTAGCTATTATTTAAGGCTAGGGTTCTCTTCGAAGGCGACCTTTTTAATAAAAGTAAAACTTATTCACTATATTTCTTTTAATCTTTCCTCTATAGTAACTACCCTTCTTACTACAACCTTAATATTAAAACCCTATTTTATATAAACTCTATTACTAATGGAAATATATTTATAAGGGTTTTACTTTTAAACTTATACCTTAATATAGCGCTTCTAATATTCTTACTAATTATATATTAATTTTTGAATATTAATGGATACTTTAAAGGTAATTCTAACCTTATTATAGACTTTTTTAATAATCGAACTATATTTATTAATATATTATTAAATCGTTAGTAATCTTAACATACGTAGTACTTTACAAGGAATTATAGTTTTAAATTGGTTAGGGAATAAGAGTTTTTACTATGCCTTAATAAATTTATATAATTTATTAAGAAGGACGTCACGTTTAAAAAACTAAAGACTAATCTTTTCCTATCCTTTAGAGATATTACTTCGAATAAAGCCTACCTTTTTAATCTTCTTTTAATTATTTAGGAAGATCGTATAATTAATATTAACAGCCCCGCTAGCAATCTTATCTACTAAAGCCTTCTTATAAGCCTTCTTAACTACTTAATAAACCCCTATATTAAATAATTAAAGTATATAATTAGTATAAGAGGGGAGAGTAAAAGGGATAATATCGAACACTTTATAATATTATAAAATATATAAATTTTTGTACGCTTTAAATCTATTTATAAAAAGGACTCGATATACTTTCAGTTTAATAATTAATGTAAAATTAATAATTATTCTATCCCTTTTAGAAGGCTCTAGTTTTTTAAAAGGAGGTGAGCAGTTAAGTGATAAACCGAATTAATTATTAATAGTATAGTTATCGAAGGAGGGGGATAATTTAAAGGAATTTTTATTAAAGTATTTAATTTATTATAATATATAATAAGTATTATTATATTTAATTAATATATTAATAATAATTATATTTGGATTAATCTTGTAATTGGCCTGTACGTTCCCCTATACTTATAAATAAATTAGTACAAACGTAGCTAGTTGAGTAAAATTAAGTTTAATTGTAGATGACGAGGTAAGAGCTTTATTATAATTTGTACCTTGAATATTAGGAATAAACGGATATTTTTAGCCGCAGCCGATATAGTATCGATAGTAGTTAAATTTTCCTTATTGCTGGGGTCGAATATAACCCTTTTCGTACGTACCCGGTTCTTTATAAACAATACCTATTATTATATAATTTAATATAGGGAATAATAATATAAGGGAAATTTACCCTTATATTTTTATAGTTCCCTTAATTTCCCTTACTTAGAAGGGAGACTCATTTATATTTTAAACGTTCTCTTCCTTAATATTGAAGCCATTATATACAGCCTTTACCTCTTTAAACTAATTTTTAAGGGAGTTTAATTGAGCCTTAATATTTATTCTTTTTACGTTTTTAAAGCTAGCCGCTTTAAATTCGAACTCTAGATACTTTTTGCGCTACTCTATAGGCTACCCTTTATAGAGGTTAATAGAGGGGGGGTATAACCGTTAAATTCGTAGCTAGTTAATTAGTTTAATAAGAGAGGTATTATTTAAAGGGAAGTGGCTACGGTTAGTGATCTGGACTATAATATTGAAAGCTTTATCTTCGTTTGCAATTAGGGTTAGAGGTCGATGTGCTTCTATACTAATCGGTAGAGCCTTGTCCTCTTTAATAAATATTATATATTTTTTAATAATAATTTTATTAATGTTAAATAGTTCCCTTATACTTTTATACGTAACTTTCTCTTTATTTTTAGTTTTAGTATTGGCTTTGGATTATAAAGTGGTAAATCGGATTATAGTTGCGGTCTAACCTATAATAAAATATTGGGCAGCCTTCTCCATATAGGATATAACGTTAGGGTTAAATATAGGTATAATAAAAGTATATATAAAAGATGGAGTATGATGAGACGAGTAGAATAAAATTATTCATAGTATAATATAGTAAAGAATAGTAATGTTATAGTTGAGTGCAAATTCTATACTGTTATAGAGTTTGTACGTTATATGTAAAAAATCTGATTCTCAAAGGGATGATGAGAGTCGGTTGGCTGGTTATAAGCGGGCCCCCAAAGGGAGGCCCTATATGGCTGGCCCCCAGAGGGTGGCCAATGCGTGCACCTAACCGACGAGTAGGTGCGTAGGTGCTGGTGGTGCATAGATACCTTACGTAGCGCAGGTATGTAGTCACGTAGTGAACATGGTGATGAAAAAAACAACGGTGTGCTGGGATAGATCCCGTTGGGCTGTTCTCTTGGGAGTCTTGGTGTTCCAATGCCGGGACAGAAAAAGGAACGAGAGCACAGCACGAACCACCACCTTGTACCGAGCGAGGGGGGAGGCGCAGTGAAAGTTTTGTTCCGTGTAAATTAACGAGTCGGTCGAAGCTTGGAAAGTTACGAGTTGTCACCACCGCTTTCCACCGCTTCCACCCGTTCAATTTCTTGTAGTGTATCCATCCCATCTTCTTTTTCTTCTTGCTTGCTGTCTTCTTCCAACTTCACTTGCCGGCGTTTGGAGAGCCAAAAGAGAAACTGCCACTGTCACGGACGGGAAGCGAAACAAAGAGGGCCCCACTTTAGCTTGCCATTCTGGAACCACGGGACGGCTCCACTCGAGTCAGGGAGCGGGTCACGACGGCAGTGGGCGGCCACTTCTCGCACTTCCATCAGTGGACGGGTCGACGGCAACACCACCGCGGACTGTCCGCAGCAGCAGCTGGAGTCCACCGGGAACAGTGGACTGCTCTCAGAGTCTCAGCACCAAGTCCACCACAAAAGTCCACCAGAGTCCCCGGCCTCTGGGCACATCCTTGCGACGACTTGACGACTCCAACCACGACAACATCGACAACGTCCATCATCGGGTCATTTCCCCCTTGATTCTGTCTTTTCGCCCATCCAATTGCCCGGGGGACCTGTCCCACTGCACGGAAACTCGATCGCGGATCACGGAGCACGGAATCGGCGGCTCCCAGCGCTACCCTCGCAACTTCCTCCAATCTTCCAATCGAAGCTTCGTCTCGCTTGCCCAAAATTGACGGCACACTCACTTCCACTTTCCACTTCCTCCAACCCCTGTTCGTTCAAGGCGTGTTGTCCACTGTTGTCGACGACCACCATCACAATCTACCGCCGCTCAACTTCAGAAACGCTCAGTCCATTCTTTGACGATTCTGCAGTCCATACTGTTTCTTCCATCTTCACGTGCTGAGCGAGCCTACATACATACCCTAGTGCATCCCGCCGACGCAAGACGGTCTGCCTACGCTAGTCGGTCCACTGCCCGCCTGGTCCCGATTGCCGTCCTGCTTGCTGCCCGCTGTAACCTGCACCGGGCGGCGCTGGCCCAACAACCGAACCACGGTTCAACGACACCTCACCTCCTACCCTACCCGACCACGACTACAACCACGACCCGACCACGAACACGAAACCCACAATCCGACGATATCTAGACCACTCGCGCACTAGACGACGGCGACATACTCAGGCCAAGAAAACACATTATGTCTCAGGCTCCTGCTGCGCTCTAGCTCTGGCACGTCTGCCAGACAGCCCCCGGCTCCACCCCGGACGTCCTTCGACAAGACAACGAGAAGCACGCACGCCAACCATACGAGTCTAGCCTCAGCTTCCACCTCCTCAGTCTCCCAAGCCCCTTTTCCACGGACCTTTGCCCGCCGCCGCGTCCTCCGCCGAAATACTCGCGCCCTGCCTATCGCCGCCTCACCCTGACATCACATCAGATGGTCCTACAGTAACCTGACCTCCCCGTCGTCCAACTCAGTCACCATGGAGGAACAATCCAAAGCCCCGAGCCTGCTGGCTCCGCCGGCCGTATCGTCGCTCAGGGCTGGCAAGATGGAGCGATCACTCAGCGAGAATATCCGCGAGGAGAGGGAGGACCTTCGAGAGGCCGCCGAACAGACCCTAAACGTCATCATGGACCTCAACCTGGACGGTACTATCCGATGGGTTAGTCCTTCGTGGGTTGATGTGGTCGGAACCCAACCCGAAGAAGTCACGGGAGCTGCTATTGCAGGTCTGATCGTCAGTGACAACAAATCCATTTTTGCTGATGTTATCGAAAGCATGCAAAGGGACGACTCGAAATCAAAGTTCATCCGCTTTACTGTCAAGGTCGGCCCATTGTCTCGGCTTACCCCCATCGAGCCAGCAGAGGAGCCGACACTTATCGACGTGGAGGCACAAGGTATCATGATCTACGATGGCGCCTCTGGCAAAGACAGTCATGTAAGTGAACACCATTTTTTTTCGAGATATGTGTTAGAGGGGCAGGCAATGACCGTTCTTCTTATCAATTAATTCTAACCATCTTTCTTCCTAGACAATGTGGATGATTCGGCCGTGGGTAGCACCGCGGGAGATCAAAATCGATTTACCAGCCTTCATCGTCGAATCCCTCGGCTCAGGAGCGGAGGTTCTCGCCAGCTATCTCACCCAGCTTGCAGAGTCCGGACTAGATGATCCGAATGGTCATCCTCCACCAGCGCCAGTGCTCTGCCGTATTTGCGAACGCCAGATCCCGCCTTGGTGGTTCGAAAAGCACACCGATTTGTGTCTACAGGAGCATAGAGCGGAAATGGATGTTCAGATGACCCAGGAAAGTCTGATCGATCACCGTCACGCCATCGTCAAAGTACTCGACGCCCTCGAGGCGCGTCATAGCCGCACTTTGATTGGAGACCCGGCTAATTTGCCGATTGCCGAGTACAAAGGCATGCCCATTGGTCCTCCAACATCGACGACATCGTCCCCAGGGACATCATCGCCAAGTTCGAACTCGGGCCGGTCGAGGGACAGATCATCCGGATTCGGACATTCGAGAGCCAGATCTTTTGCTATCCGTCGGCCACAAGCCCGGATTGTTGAGCTGCTCCTTGATCTATGCGACACTGCGATCGAGATCAGCACCCCTGCCATCAAGGAGTCTACACAAAACCCGGCAGAATTTCGTACGCAGTCGCCCCAGTCAGAGGGCCGTATCTCCCAGGTGATGCAATGGGAAACACCTGGCACGAATACACTCGAACAAGAACAAGGTCTTGCATTGCTATGTACTGATACGGAGACCGTTGCCAAGGCCAAGGTTGAAGCTGTCTTCCGCCATCGCAGGATTCTTGAATATGCCGAGAGGATTCGGATCGAATTTGCGATCATGGTCCAGGACTGTATTGATGAGGCCATGCGCAGGGCTGCCAAGATAGCCGCTGGTCGACTCAGTGACTCTACTGAAGAGGAGGAAGAAGAGGAGTTCGAGCAAACTGAGGACGAAGAAGCGACGCCTGCACAGGAGGAAGGGATATTCCCCGGGTCCTTCGATGCTCCTTCAACACTGGCAATGGCTTTGGAAAAGGCCCACATTTCGGGAGATCGCCCCAGCCGCCGATTATCAATGTCGATTAAGTCTACGCGATCCAGCAGTCCACAAGGATGCCCTACGCCTCGATCCAATCGGGGTACACTCGGTAACCTGACCAGCGCAACCCAATCGAGACGAGAATCCATGCTTTTGGAAAGTGACGCTGGCGATAGCGATGGCGGAAGCGTCAGATCCTCCTCTGTTGCCTCGAGAATGCCAACCCGAACGGAATCACCGCTGTCTGAGTTTAGTGACCTTCGCCGGCATGCAAGTTCCCGACAACACCACCGAAGGAGCCTCATTCTTCCAGGAACGATATCTCCTCGAAGACAGGAATCCCCGTCTCGAAACGGACCACCGTCGTCGCCCCTCCGACCTCACAAATTGCGCAATCTACCATTCCCTTCTGACAGCCTGGTTTCGCCCGAGGCATCACCGATGCTGCCGAGCAGTGAGTTTACTTCCCCAACCCCTCCCAGTATCCATCATCACCGGCGACAATCCTCAGCAGCCGTGTCTGCATCAACCGGAGACCTTGGCTTTAAACCTCCACCATCGCCCCGTCTCAGCGCGGTCGTTAGCGCTCCGCAAGCCAAAGCAGTCCCCCCATCGATCAAGGACTTCGAGATCATCAAACCCATCAGCAAGGGTGCGTTCGGAAGCGTCTATCTATCCAAGAAAAAGTCGACCGGCGAATATTTTGCGATCAAGGTCTTGAAGAAGGCCGACATGGTAGCCAAGAACCAGGTCACCAATGTCAAGGCAGAACGCGCCATCATGATGTGGCAGGGCGAAAGCGACTTTGTCGCAAAGCTGTACTGGACATTTTCGAGCAAGGACTACCTCTACCTGGTGATGGAATATTTAAATGGTGGCGACTGCGCATCATTGATCAAAGTACTGGGAGGTCTCCCCGAAGACTGGGTGAAGAAGTATCTCGGTGAGGTTATCCTCGGCGTCGAACACCTCCATAGTCGGGGCATCGTTCACCGTGACCTGAAGCCCGACAATCTGCTTATTGACCAAAAGGGACATTTGAAGTTGACTGACTTTGGCCTCTCGCGCATGGGTCTCGTTGGTCGACAGAAGCGTGCTCTTAACAATGGCGCCGACGCAGCTCCAGACTTGCTCAAGCAAGGCCCTTTTGTTCGATCCTCTTCGATCGCATCATCTCGTTCCACTTCTCTCGACGTTCATGCTCGCATCCCTTCCCCTCTCTCAACCCCCCAGATGACGCCAAGCGATTATGGTGCCAGCCTAGGACAACCGTCCTATTTCAACCTCGGGGTGTTGTCTCAAGAACCTCGACGGTTATCCGCGCACCGCAGTGACAGTGGCGGTAGCGAGGCATTGTCGCATATGCTTCCAAACCTGTCCTTGAACGACACTCATTCCGTCCCGCCTCAAGCCGTTCAGTCCCCTGGCGAGCGTAGCGAAGCCGACGAGGGTGCATCCCCAGACTTTGTCTCGCTCTCCCATGCAACCACGCAGAGCAGCATAGACGCTAACAGAGGCACTCCTCCACAACAACCTCATCTGTCCCCGCCGAATTGGGCGCTTTTCGACCCCGAGGATACCAATCGCCGCTTCGTCGGAACACCCGACTACCTGGCCCCCGAAACCATCAGGGGAGAGCCTCAAGACGAGACAAGTGATTGGTGGTCCGTTGGATGCATCATGTACGAGTTTCTGTATGGAATCCCCCCATTCCATGCGCCTGAGGCGGAACAAGTCTTTGAGAACATCCTGGCTCGCAGATTGGAGTTTCCTGATGACAGTGACATGGAAATCTCACCAGAGGCCAGAGATCTGATCAACAAGTTGTTGTGCTCGGATCCTCATCAGCGGCTTGGGGCAAACCGCGAAGACAAGTTTCAGTCAGGAGGCGAGGAAATTCGCAGTCACCCGTGGTTCGAGGGTGTCAATTGGGATACATTGTTGCAAGATGATGCTCAGTTCGTTCCCCAACCGGAGCATCCAGAAGACACTGAATACTTTGATTCGCGTGGTGCGGTCCTCCAGTCATTTGCTGAGGAAATGGAAGACCAGTCTTCACCTCCTAGTTCAGCCCCAGCATCTGATTACCATGACCGACCGCATGATGCGTTGGCAAAGGTTAGGTCCCAGGTCAACTCCAGCATGAACACCGTGAAGCGAGGTTTGATGCCGCTTCATATTCCCCCTCATGTTCGTGATTTGAAGAGCAGACGCTTGAGCGAGCCAGTTGCTGCCGATGATTTCGGGAACTTTTCGTTCAAAAACCTGGCTGTTCTTGAAAAGGCGAACAAGGATGTCATACAAAGACTACGGGCAGAGGCTGCAGAGTCTCAGACCAAGCCCATTAGTCCTGGAGGGCTGAGCTCTATCGGCACTCCTGGCCAGATTGGAGCCTTGGAAGGCAGTCCAGTAATCGCCAATCCCGTGCAGAGGACGCTCTCTGCTGCAAAAGCATCTCATCGTCCCCAGTCACCTTCTGGTGTTGGACATTCGAACTCTCCAAACAGAGCTTCACAACCTTCTTCACCCCTCCTTGTGTCGTTTGTGGCTGGCCAAGGCGCGGAAGGTCGACGCAAGGCGTCCAGTAACTCGTCCAGCCTTTCACACCAATCGGGAATCTCGATCCAGCCTGCGGTGGAAGGGCCACGTGTTCCACCTACTTTCCAGAAGGCGGCCACGACGATTACTGCGTCTTCCCCGTCAAACGGGCGGCTCGTCTTGCCTCCCTTACCTCTGTCCCCACAAAAGACTGTTTCTGGACACACATTGATGTCAAGTCCTCGAAACAATAGCGGCCCATCTACAGGTCGTGCTCGCTCCCTCACTGTTGGCTCTCAAGAAGGCAGTGGCAGTCCGATATCTGCCGACATTCTGGCTCATCATAAGCGCAGGAGTCAGGTCTTCGATATGTCGCCATCATCATCCGACACCGAAGGGGATAAGGCGAATGCGCTTCTTCGGGTACAGCGCCGACGTCAAAGCTCTAGACGGATGTCGCAGGTTTTGGATGGACCCATGTTCCGACCGCTTGATGTGTTGATCTGTGAAGACCACCCGGTGTCTCGCATGGTGATGGAGAAGCTCTTGGAAAAGCTACGCTGCCGGACCATTTCGGCGTCAACGGGCCAGGAAGCTTGCAGATATGCTTTGAGCGACATCAAGTTCGATATCATTTTCATGGAGTTCAAGCTACCAGTCATCAACGGCTCTGACGTTGCCCGAATGGTCCGCGAAACGAAGAACAAAAATCACCATACTCCTATCGTTGCTATCACGGCGTATCTCAAGGAACTTCACGCTCCGCATTACTTCGATTCGCTTATAGAGAAGCCGATCAGTTCTTCGAAGTTGAGTGAGGTCTTGAGTACTTTCTGCCAGTGGAAGCCCGCTTCGCCCGGTCAGGCCCAGATGTTGTCGCTGGGCTTACCACCGCCTATACCATCAGGCCTTCGACAAGAGAGTCTGCGCCTGGAAGACAGCCCTGTATCCGCATCCGGCTCTTCGAAGTATACAGCCCACTCCGGTGGTAGCGTCAGGGAGGAGTCAACTTGCTCAACATTCGGCGACTCTGAATCTGTTGCAACAGACGACATTCCTGTAGTCGTTAGCCGCAAGGCCACTGGTGACTGGAGCGAAGGCGGGCTAGGCATCTCAGGCCCAGAGGAGGTTCTAGTTACCGGCAATGATGGATCCAAACCACCAGTACACGGACCATTGATAACGCAGCAGTCCGCACCAGCGCAGATGGAGCACTTGGCAGGCAAAACAAAAGGACCAGTGCCACAGCGCTCACTCGAGAAGTTGAGAGCAAGACGAGAGTCCATCGAGAAGCGCAGGCTTGAGGGCTGCATCGACTCTGCCGATGACGAGGATGAGGAGCTTGGTGCTGGTCAGGCGAATCCCGGACAGGAACCGCATCCTTCCAAGCACCATCGCCCCAAATCCACATTACCATCGTCGAAGTTGGGAATTGAAATGATGCGGGCAAACAGCCATGACAGCATGACTGCCACTGATGACTCTGAGAGCACCAGCAGCGCTACACTCGGGCCACCGACAGCCCAGATTGTCACTCCCATCACCGATGTGCAAATGGAACTTCCTCCGCTTGTTGTTGATACCGCAGAGGCAACATTGGCTCTAAACACAGCTGTAGTAGACGAGGGAGCCGCTGCCGCCACTGTCTCTACGCCTCCTGACCTCAAGCCGGAAACAGAGGGCAGGAAAATCTTCCACATTGAGCAAACGCCTCGCCAAATATCTCTGTCGAAGCTAGAGGAGGAAGGAGCCGAAGCAGATGAGGAGCCTACCCCTCGTCCACTTTCCCGGTCGGTGGATCAGTAGATGCTCTGGTGCTCAGAAGCGCAGTCAAGCGGGATCAACCCAAACATACTACTTCAGCTAGAGATAACACAACACATCGTTATCCGCATTTTCCTTATCTTTATGGGTGTTTCTTTGGGGTCATATCCGTATTTTATCCAAAGCGCGGCGTTATTGGGGGGCGGTCTAACATTAGTCAACAAGGCCTGTATCATCTACCATCCATTATCATTCGGAAATTCTTTCACATGTTCATGTTAAGTGTTGTTGACTTGTGTGTCGCGTGCAAAGCGTTGTGTGATGGTTTATGATGTCGTATAACTGATGTGTGTATGAACGAAAAAGACCCCGAGGCAGAGGTATTTGGAGCGTCATTGGGCGTAGGTATGTGAACATGGAAGGTATGAAAACTTCTTATAACTCAATTGGCTGAAAGGGAGGAAGAGAGGGAAGGTGTTACCCAAAAGGAGTGACGAGTTGGGTGTGTGGGTGGACGTGTGGGTGGACGTGGATATCTCCGACCGACTAAAATGGATATGCTTCTCCCACCCGATATAACCAATGAAGAAAGGGAAGAGCCGAGCGTTATTACACGCAAGCCAAAATTGAACGGTTACGGGCTTGCCGATGGAAAATCAGAACTCGCTCCATCGGCCATCACGATTGTATCTACACAGAATGAGATATGAACTACTGGATTCAAGACTGACTGACATGATCCAAGCTAATATCGCCAACAACGGCATTGATTATATTTCATACCTGTACTTAAACCATCATGTACTCATCTCCCCTTTTCCTTCTCTGGTACACACCATCACATTCCCGAGATGAAATGCCCAAAGGGCATCCAAATTGGCTTCAACACTGGGTCGAGAACTTCCCCTCTATTAGTGATTAACGAAAAAAGGATCAGACACCCGCACATTCGAACAAGGTTAGGTGCTGGATAAAAAATGAGAAATCAAAGTACGAACAGCAGCAGCAACCAGGTGACAGCAGCAGGCAGGCAGGCAGGCACATATCTGCTCACACCACCAGACCACCCGCCCCCATAAATTACATATAGTGTATCCACAGCCTATAAATCGTGCATGATATACATGGCAGGCGCGACTGTCAGTACAGACTGGCATCACTGGCATCGATCAGTACCAGACGGGCAGCTTTGTCTGACTGGTGCTTCTGAGGAAGGTGCGTGCGTCTCTGAACACGGCGGCGGGTAATGCTCGATGACGCCCACCCGCCTCATCTTAATAAAGCGTTAACAACTGCATAAGGTATTTCGTTCGCGGGATTAATCGCCTGTGAAACCGCAATCATTTCAGTATCGAGAAAGTTTCTCAAAAGATGTGATATTCGAGAGATTTTTGACATTGGTAGATAAAGTGAGATAAGATGATGAGATGCCGTGTAAGATACCGTACATGGATCTACCTACTTGATCTTGTGTAATCGCCGTCGCCGACTAATATTCAGTACCGTTTCTAGTTCGCCCCCCAGCGTGGTTGGACAACATAGACCATCTCGGCCTCGCCTCGGGGGGCTTCATGTGGAGAGGTAGTGAGTGCTATGTTCCGTCGGTTGGGATATCCGTCCCGACCGACGACTGGAGGTTACAATACCAGTCAGTCCGGTAGGGGTTAAGGAGATGACGGAGCGAGGGAGTGAGGAGGTGAAGAAACGGACAGACTCGAGGGATTAAAAATCGATCGTGGAAAAGATTAGCTGCAGAAGAGAAAGGTTTCGACTTTGCCAGCTTTTTATTACTTGTCTCTTCAACGGGGGTTCAACCCCAAAAAAGATGGATGATATGATATGATCTCTTCCCATCACCACCATACCATGATATGTGAGTGTATGAAGTGAAGATAAGGTTAACTGCATCCATCGCCAGCAAGCCAGCAAGCAACCAAGCCAATATAGTAACTAGCCCATCCGACTAGGTAAGTTCTTCAGGGGTAGTTTGTCCAACCACTTGATAACTCGTATATCAAGTGAATATCCCCATTATTCATCGTACTCTCCTCATGATATATCCCAGTTTCTTTGAACATTAGCTGGACAAATATCAAGCGAGGCGCATAGCAATATCGTATCTACTGGGTACGATTAAGGTTGAGGTTGAGAGGACGACGTTGAGCAAGCGCGGTTGATGTCTCGCGAGATACGCCACGATCTGCTGCCAAGCAACCAATTCCATCTTCTATATCTCCCCCGGTTTAAAGATTACCACCATCACCGGCATTGGAGATCTCAACCGAGACACAACACACGTGCCCCATGTTTATGTTAGGCAGGACCCTTGGGCGCTTTTTTAGGAAAAGGTAGTGGTGATGTCGGAGTAAAGTTGTGTGACACGTAGCGCTTCATAGCTGGACGGAGCTGGATTTAGATCCGATGTGGGGGAACTTTGGGGCCATGGGGAGTTGGGGAGAAGGAGGCTGGGGGGGCATCATGATCCATGACAAGGGTTTTCAGTTGGTTGAAGATTAACGGACATTTTCATGGATTTTTGGGGTTATGGCGCGTAGCTACTGTACTGTGGTAGAGGGATGTAGCTAGCAAGCCTCACAACCAAACGTTTCGCAAGAGGTTCATGATGGTTGATCAGGGGGGGCAGGCGTGATCAAAAATTAAGTTTGGTACCGAGTGAGTGGTTAACTTTGACAACATGAGGTTGTGAGGAGGGGAAACCGGGGAAGAGGGCATTGGGATGAACGGTCGTCCTCGCGCTTGTTCGTTCTCACGAGGGGAACGGTTGAACGGTTGGGTTCGGCTCGGGGGAATCGCTCGGTCAACCCCGTGGGTCATCATCGGCCATCGAACACCACCACCATCATCACGGAGAAGGCGGAGGTTGTTTTACGTACTCGGTACTGGTGGTCGATGGATGGGTGGATGGATCCATCCGGACCACGGAGAATTGGAGTCTGGCAGTTGAAAGTGTGGGATGGGTATGGGATGGGTATGCCGAACCAGTGCATCGGATACCGGCTACAATGCAGTATTGCAGTGCGCGGTGCTCTGAATGACCTCTCTGTGTGACTTGCGTCATGTCTGACAGCATCACCACCTCGCATTGTGACAAGCCGTGATGGAACAACGATTGGTCCCAATAGAGTTTGATGAGCGTACAAAGCTTAAGGTCGAAATAAAGTTGTGTCGTCTAATTTGCCGAAGGGTTGGGAATCTCTCGGTTGCTGTGGACGGATCATTCTCATGTGCCGAAATTGCGAGCTTCCACTTTGACTTCCACTGTGATTTGCCCTACGGAGAACGGAGTTGTGCGGCTCAACAACACCTGTCGACCTGTCGACCTGTCGTGAGCACATGCCATATCGAAGCTTTGTCAATGAAAAGTGGCCGAGTGAACTCGCGGCGCCCGTCGGGGCTAGCATCGGAATGGAACAAAAGCTCCCCTTCTTTTTCCCCATTTCTTGACCGCTTTCTGGGCTTCCAAAAATCCCCGAAATCCACGGCCGGTTCCATCCATATCGGAGTCCGTTGTGGAGAGCGACTCCGGAATCCAATCCCTCAAAAAGTCAGTCGTGCCGCTGAGACTTTCCATCCCCCCACTTGTTGTTTTCGCCGAGGTCAGCGGAGAAACCGGGGGCGGCGGAGGCGGCGACAGCATTGTGAAGGACAGATTGTCGACGATAAACGAAAATGGGGTTTGAGGCTGGAAAGCAGCAAATGACATCACGGCTTTACCACTGCTTGGCCTGCCAAGCCACAGGTGCGCACAACTTTTTGTGAAGCTGTCGTGAGGCGAGAGATGCCGGACGCGGCACGAGCCACATGCGGCAGATTCTGCATTTCCAATTGTGCGGTCCAACAGTCCAATCGATAAGCTTTCGTGGCATTGGATTCTGGGCGGCTGGTTATTTTTTTAGACGAAGCATCCTTGCAAAAACGTCGACCGACGAGTCGGGGGCTCGGGTGGTCTGATGGGCGCCAAGAAATGCGGCCTTGAGGATTCGGCCCCACATCTCAGGGTCTGCCCCTCGTGCGGAGAAGGTTGAAAGAGCTCGCCCTTGGTTTCAACCAATCATCGACACACGTGGGTGGTCTCGACGTCGTGAATGGCAATCCACCAAAAAGCGACAAGTCCAGACGCCGCCAAACACAGCTGCCAGCACTCCCCAGCGGCGCACCAGGCACGTCGAACAAGCAGCGAGCTAATCTGCAGGCTGTTGATCCGAACTGCATTCGACTGCATTCGCTGCCACGCTACCACGCTGCACGCACAGCGCACTCCAAAAATGATGCAACCCAGAAGATCTTGCAGCCTGGGGCAAAGGGGGGATGGGGGGGAACACGGTGTCGCGTAACGGACTTACACGGAAAAGACGAGGGACGGTCCAAACAAACCGACTCCGTCCGCCGTCGCCGCCGCCCGCAGTCCGCATAGCTCCATCGTGGTTGGCCGGCGAGGCTGGCAAAGTCAACAAAGCCAACATGCCATGTGTGGGTCAGCTTCGTTAGGACGCGGCAGAAGGGGGAAGGAGGGCACGATGGCACAGCTCTTCACCCTCTGGGCGACATCTCTGGGCATCTCTGGGCATCGTGACAACAAATTGTCGAATAAATGTCGCGTGTGTGTCTTCCTCTTCGGGGGATGCTCCTCCTTTCTATCGTTTCTTGGTATCTTGGCTTCGTCTACCACGATCCACAATTCGGCCGTGCATCAACGACATCCAGGAGGTCCTGGACGAGCTGGACTCCTCGGGAGTCAAAAGAATCCGTTGAAGAATCCATCGCTAGATTTGAGGTCGGTCGAGGTCGGTGTCGCGTGTCGTCTGTCGTGTGCTCTATCACCAAAGTCAGCCTGGTGGCGGTCCCCGATACCGCGGTAACGGGCGGATGCCGATGCGGCTTGAGAGAATTGGGCCGTCGGTGGTTGGCTGCCGAGGCTGTCTGTTTGAGGCGGCAAAAGCTTGACAAAGCTTGACCTCACTACCAAGACTTCCTGTTCCGTTCTGTCTCTTGCACGTCGTGGTTGAAACAAGGAAGCTTCAGCACCGCCGCTGTGGCACCAAGATTCCAATATCTTGGAATACTATCACTTCATGCCGTGCCCCCCGCTGCGTCACTGTTACTGGAAATGCGTTGCGCTATGATGACAGTGATATCAGTGTTAGACTGTTAGTGGGCGCAGCGAGCGAGCACGTGTCCGTCCCTGCCTGTCCGCACAGGCGTTGTTGATCGATCGCCAACTTTTTCATTTTTTTGCGGGAGCCTTTGACATTGTGATACTCTCATCCGTCAAGGGTCCCGTCACAAGGGAACCCAACTCTAACGGTTCCGGATAACAGATGAATAAGACTGACCGTCTCACAAGATATAGACATGCAGCTCTTTTAAGAAGCTCGTAGTTAAAGCCATGAATACCCATTGGTTTCAGAGGAGACCGGCATCCTTGGCTGTGATGCCAGAATATCCAATGCATCGTGTCCAGAGAAGAAAGAAAAAAAAAAACAATGCCGGAAGCGCACGGGGAAACTAATGTCAGCGGTCAGGGTCTGCGACTGCTCCATGAGCCCCGTTCCCCCACAGCCTCCATCTGTTGGATTTGGATATTGAGAGGAAAAATTCCATTCTGACATCTGCCAATGACAGTGCTCGATTCGACCACGATTTCGTACAAGGCCATTCCTTCGAGCGTTCGGCGTGGTCGTTTGTAACTGCTCCCCTGTCCTTCAATCAGTCGAGGTAGCTGTACCCCTCTTGCGTGCTGAATAATGGTGCAGAAACAGGTACTGCTACCCCTCCACTCTTTCTCCAGTCTCGCTCCTCCAGTCCCTCCACCAGTCCACACAACATCCACGCTATCCCAAATCAGAAAGAGACGGCTGGTATCCCAGCACCATCCCCAAGCTCTTCCATCCCCCTCTTGCCATAAGAACTCGCGACGGGTCCTGGCGTTGTGGCCATCGAGTCTCATATCCATATCTCTTCCTCCAGCGCCCTTTGTCCTTCTCTTTCTTCCAGAATCAACACGCCTGCTGTGCTGTTGGTCTTGGGATCTCGAGCAAGAGGACAAGCCTCCCCCGTATCTCCTTGACGCCTTCCAAGGACCTACCTACCTACCAAAGGGGAGCCAACCTTATACCTACTTTTTGATATCTTTTCCCCATCTCGCTGTCCTATAAAGCTCTTCTTAATCTTTATATACCCCACCCATATACAACCACTTCAGATCTCCAACATGGACGACGACGTAATGAGTCCCGACGTTCACCACGACCCTACGCCGGGTCTGATCCCCGTGCCTCACGGCCCGGCCACCGGTGACGAGGCCCTTCAGCTGCCCTTCGGCGTCACCCCTGATCCCGACCACGAGAAGGCCATTTTCGCCTACCTCACACACCCTGACGACATCTACACAAAAGACGGCACCTACTGGGCCGACCTCCCCTTGCGCGAAAGGATAGCCTTCGTCAACAAGGTCCAGAATGAGGAGGCGAAGCAGGAGCTCAAGGCCATCGGCCGCATGATGAAGAAGGACCCTCTCAGCCCCGTCTCGTGGTACTTCCGCAACGCCGTCCTTCCCGGTGCCGGTCTCGGTCTCGAGGGCTACGTCCTCTTCAGTATCGGCAACATTGAGCCTCTCTTCAGAGCCACCTGGCCGCAATGCTGGGGCACAAGCGCTACCGAGTGCAGCAGCAACTGGATCGCTGCCGTAACGTATCTCGAGGTTATCGGTATCATGGTTGGCCAGTTGGTCGTCGGTGTTATCGGTGATTGGATTGGTCGTCGCTGGGGTCTCATTCAGGATGCCGCCATCATGTTTGTCGGTTTGCTCATGCTCACGGCTTCTTGGGGTTTGACCCTCCAGGGCTGGGTTATCTGCTATGCTTGGTCTCTCTTCTTCTACGGTACGTTCCCTCCCAAGGCGCAAAGTCGCATTACGCGCGAAGCTAACAGGATTGGTCTCCAGGTTTCGGTGTCGGTGGTGAATATCCCATTACTGCTACCTCCTCCATGGAAAACTCTGTCTCGTCCGGAAAGCTCTCCACCAGAAACGATCGTCTTCACCGTGGCCGCAAGGTTACTACCGCCTTCTTGATGCAGGGTTGGGGTCAGCTTATCAACCAGGCCCTCCTCATTATCCTCCTCCTCATCTTCCACGGCGGTGGCGGAGGCGGGCCTTATGGCCTAGCCACTGTCCAGTGGACATTCAGATTGTCGTTCGCCATTCCCGCCGTCGGTACCCTTTGGCTCGTCTACTACAGAACCTACAAGATGCCCCACGCCAGCCGACAGCTTATTGCCGCCAAGAAGAAGAGCAACGTTACCGGTTACGATTACGACTCCCTCGCCATGACCACCAAGCACTTCGGTGGCCGGCTCCTCGCCACGGCTGGTTGCTGGTTCTGCAACGACGTTTTCTTCTACGGAAACAAGCTCTTCCAGTCTCAGTTCATTTCCGTCATCAGCGGCCCCTCGAGCTCCGTCATGACCGGCTGGATTTGGAACTTGTACAACGTCATCATCTCTCTTACCGGTTATTACTTGGCCTCGCTCCTCATGGACAACCGCTTCTATGGCCGCAAGATGATGCAGCAAGTCGGTTTCCTCATGTGCTTCATCATGTTCGTCGTTCCCGCCTTCAAGTTGGAGTACTACACCAGCCCCGCCGGTATCAAGTCCTTCCAGGCCATGTACTTCCTCTCCAGCTTCTTTAACCAGTTCGGCCCCAACAGCGTCACCTTCCTCGTCGCCGGTGAGGTCTTCCCGACCCCCATCCGCGCCTCCGCCCACGGCTTCAGTGCCTGCTGCGGCAAGGCTGGTGCGCTTCTCGCCTCCGTTCTGTACAACTACATCGACACCCAGACCAAGTTCTACGTCGTTCCCTGGTTCGGTCTCGCCGGCATGGTCCTCACCTGGATGTTCCTCCCCGACACCACCGGTCTTGATCTCAAGGAGCAAGAGCGGCGGTGGAGCTACATCCGCGCCGGCAAGCCCGACGACTACCACGGCATCGCCATCCACCCCATGCACCTGTCGCTCTGGGAGCGTCTCCGCGGCGTCGGCAAGAACTACAACCCCGAGCTCGACCACAAGCAAAAGATCGAGGACATGCGCGAGGAGTGGGCCGGCAAGGAGCGCATGCGCCGCGAGAAGGAGGTCAACGGCCAGAACACCATGGGCGACGACCTCGAGCACGACGACTTCAACGACCAGGTCCACCACTACTTCCGCAACACGACCGACCAGGGCATGTTTGTCAACGACGGCTCCCCCGGCCCCAGCAACTACTCGAGGTCGAGGAACAACAGCAGCGCGCCCCCCTTCGCTTCGGGAGCGAACTCGAAGGAGGTCACGGAGGAGAAGATCCGCCCTGAAAGCCCTTCGACGACACAGAGCCCGTCTTCGACGCGGCCCGTGAGTGAAAAGGAGCAATAAGTAAGGGTTGGGTTGTGGTGGTTTGGCTTTTTTATACTTTGCATGAGATGTATACCCACAATTTAAAATGTTAATGGGAACTGAGAACAACGGAATGATTCGAACCAAAAAGGGAGTCGAATGGACAACACGGAGCTGGGCCGGACATGGACATGAAGAAGTCCTGGGGATACTGGCACGATGGGATGGATGAAGTTTTTCCTCCTGTTCTTTTTAGGCGGGCAAGGCGGGCGGGCCTGACTTTTTAGCATTCTACTGGCGTATTACTTAATGATCATGATACCTCCAATGCGGAAATGATTTTGGATAACTCTATGGTTCCTGTTCCCTTCGTGACCTGCATGAACGTGAGGGGGGATTGGTTTGGGGAATGTTGGGGCAGTCGGCGGAGTTGATGAGATGAACAGTTCGTTCCATTCGGGTTGGAGACTTTGGTAGACTCCTATGACGAGATTTTGACCAGTTGATGGATCATTGATTCCATTTGGAGACTTACTTGCCTTATGTGACAGATATTTGGATGCGGTTGATGGATAGTCGATTGATTGATCAATAATGGAAACCACCTGTCGAGAGAGCTTCGCTGGATATTGAACAGTTAACTATCGTTTTAAATTATCTTGACGGCTCTGATACCCAAAGTGGTCTCAGATATGTCTCTTCCGGCGCGCGCATTTGATCACCATGGTTACATTGTCAACCTTCAACTTTCCACAACCGATATTCAAGATTGAGTGTCGTAACTATCAAAATCTCCAAAACTCAGTTGACAGGTATGTCCAAAAAAATCGCGAAGCCAAAACTCACTGCCATGACAATGACATGGTATCCAAAACGGAGATGGGGGCGTATTGGTGATGTTTTGGTCTCGAACACTTCATCACTCCCACTCTTCCCCACCCAGCTTGTCTTCTCCCACCATCCGCTACCTTCTCCCCCATCACTCACCACCTCCCTCATCCCTTCCATTCCCTCGAAGACCCTTTCCCATCCAACTCTACCCTTACCCATTCCCCTCCAACCCAAACATGGCACTAACAACATCCCAATCCCAACCCGCACTCGGCTCCACATCACTCAGATCCCTAATCCAATTCACATACAGCTCCACTGTCTCCTTGGCCTCCATCTCGAACCTCTCTCCTCCGCACAGCGTATCCTTGATCTTGGTCAGGATCGGCACCTTGTCGCTAAGCACCAGATGCAAGAGGACCAAGATCCCAAAGAAGTTCTGCGTGAAGAAGAAGGGACAGGGCACGAGCCGCTTGTCCAAACACGTGGGCGACATGGCAATGGGCCACTTGAGCGAAGCCTTGAGACACTCGGCGGCGCCGATGGCGTCGTCTTGCGTCATGGCGTCCGGGTGGTGCAGGGCTTTGTAGAGGAAGGGGCGGTGGATGAGGTACTTGGCGTAGTAGTAGCGGGAGCGGAGGAGGGCTACCTGCACGTCGTGGGCATACGGGTAGCGGACAGGGGGAGCGTCGAGGTCGGCCGTGAACATTTGTGGTTGAGGTACCGGTTGATGTTGTTGGAGACCGAGGCCGGAGTTGAGAATCGGTTGTTGGTGGGACAGCTGGGGGGAGCGGAGGCCGGAAGCTGTGATACTGGCGACGGATTGTGGGATGACGCCGCTCCCGGACATGGAGACGCTGCCAACGACCGAGCTGACGGAGCTGATGGACATGGTGCCTGCTTGGGGAGTGGGAAGCATGGGAGAGATAGCCGGGGTGCTGTTCGTTGTCGTGGTCGCCGTTGCTGTCGTGACGGGGCTGTAGATGCTTGGGCCGTTGTAGGTGGTTGCGCTCGGCGGAAAGGCGCCGGGTGTGTCTTCTTGCCATTTTAGGTTAGGGGGGAGGTAGCCGCGCCAGTGCTCGAGGTCCGTTGCCATATGGCGGATCGTATTTGGGGTGCTGCTAGTGCTGGGAGCAATGGTGTTGTATGGTGCTGCAGAGGATGTGCGTTAGCGAGGGTTGGGCACGAGTGTAGAGTGGGCAAGGGGAAGAAGGGTGCCTACATCGACTGAGCGTCCCGTGAAATTCCACAAGCAATCGCCTAAGAGCTATTTGAGACGCAAAGTGCTCTTGGTATTGTGTCTCTTGATTGCTGATATAATCGTCGTCTGAGAAGCTGGTGCTGAAGTCGGGGAGGGAAACTACGTTCTCCATCTTCTCGAGGCCTGTAAGTGGGAACCCTAGCTCAAGGTTGAGGCAACTGGCAAATGCCGATTAGCTTGAGTTGACATAATCGGGGTATATCTGGTACATACGTTTCCATGACGGCACAATGCCAAAATGCTCTTCTGAGCAAGTCTGCTTGTGGAGAAGAGAGCACCCCTGGGTTACTGCCATGTGTTAGTTTGCATACTGGACAAATTAGGAGGGATATTGTTGACTTACATCATGATCAAGGACTGGCAGGCCAAAGACGCCTCTCTACTCATTTTCCAGAAACCCTACGTTTGTTAGTACATGATCACCAAAGCGACAGGTAATATTTGCACGAAACAGCGTAGCAGGTATATAAGGGGAATATACCATGGGATATGAGCAGGTTGCGCAATAGGTACTGTGTGTGTACTTGTGGTTAGAAAGACTGATCACAGGGGCTCAGAACGACGTGCTTACCTAGCCAATGTGTATGCCTGTACCATCTCGAGGCTCGTCTCGGTAACACTAAAGCCCAAACGTTTCCTCGCTTCGTTGAACAGCGTGATGCCTGGTGGGTGACTTTTGGAACCTCCCCTCATACCGCTCGGCCTCCCTCCGTGCGCATTGATGGGCGCGCCCCTATAGTTACCTAGAGCAACCTCGCCTAGAGCAAAGACGAGAAAGGCGATGGTGGACTGCAGTCTGTGATCGACTCCGTTCTTGAACAAAGTCGGAAGTGTTTGAGTTAAAAAGGTATGGCGGTCCAGGATAGGATGCAGGAGGTTGATGGCGTCAAAGTAAGCCATGCTCAACGTTTGCATAATGTCCCAATCCAATCCAAAGGCTGATATTGGGGCCGAGACAGGCGCAGGATTGAAGTTGTCGCCATTCTGCAGGCTTATGGGTATGGTGTAGTCCATTGAGAAGTGAGCACCGAGTGCTATGGCCGGACACTCAGTCGCAACCGACTTGAGGTCTCGGGTAGGGCATTTGGGCTGAATGGCCGCCAGGTGGCCTTGTATTGCCGGCCACGCCAGCATCTGATGGGCAGCAGACACATATTGGTAGTGCCCCTGATCCTCGGTGAGCGAAGCAATATTGGGGAGCGCATGAGGCACCCCATTGGACAGTCCTTCTGGCGAGCGGTGGTGCGCTACGGCAGGATGTACTCCATGGATACCAGTGGAATGCCCAGTGGAAACGGTGAGAGGGGGAGTAGGGGCGAAGTGAGTTGCCGTGATGGAGTTGGTGTTGGGATGACATGTGGCCGACAAATGGTCCATGCGCGAACTCAAGTGGTCAATCTTGTTCTCGAGGACATTGAGAACATCTAGGACCTTGAGCTTATCCAGGATTTCCACCAGCGTCTTGTCCTTTCTAGAGCCCGTATTAGATCAAGCCATCTCAGCAGGCGTAAGGCGTGGACTTACTTTGTAGGCTGTGGTTCCCTGTAGTGACACTCGACATGGAATCTCTGGCAAGTGCCGCACCTTGGTCTTTGCTCGTCACATTTCTGCTTGCGAGCCCTGCAGGTATCGCAGGCCTGAGCGGCGATGGCACCGCGCTCTTTCCTCAGACTTGTGCCTGGCAAGGGCGGTGGGGGAATTGTGCCACTTGAGGAGGCCGGCGAGCTTGTCTGATGGGGGTGAGCCGCAAAGTCATTCATTTTCAGGGACTATCTGCAACCGCTGCACCCGAACAAGGAACCGGGTGGTCGTGCCCGTCCTGTCCCGAGTCCGAGTGGTGCCGGAGTTTCTGATGAGGTGACGGTTGAACTACTGGCTCTAGTCTGGAAGACACCAGAAGCCAGCAAAAGGGGGTGGTTAGGAAGACCGCCGGGAATTTTGCCGTGACCTCTGACAGCCTATTGGATGTGGACGTGCGGACGTGTGGGCTTTGAGGGGGGCGCGAGGCTCTTCAGATCTGTTGGTAAGAACACAGTCGCGAAATCGGCCCGGGTTTTCCTGTTTGGGAGCTGTAGCTAGTCGGAATTCGGTATTTGTGAGTGAATCGGCGATGAAGTGCAGCGAAGATGGGCGGGGAGACGGAGCTGTATGGTAGTATGGTGTAGTTGGGGATGTATGTTGTAGAGTATGTAACCGGGCAGCCGGGGTAGAATGTATGGACTACCTCGACTACCTGGCCGGGTTTTGGGCTATGTATACTCCTGAATCTCTGTGATCTGTATGGCTGGGCTCATACCAATGACTGTGTTTCCTATGATGCGGAAACCGGGACACAACTGGAACGAGTGGGTACAACAGCTTGAAAGCCATCCGAATCAACACCAGGAACAGCGGGAGCAGGAACAGGAACAAGATAACAAGACCACGAGACCACTTTGTGGCAGGCTGAAGAGCTAAAGTTCAGGTATGAAAGCATTCTGACAAGATGTGAAAGGAGGATGCGCATGTGATGGGGCACTGGCCAGGAACACGCATTGTGAAATGTCGATGATAGCCGATGGATGGGCATCATCGCGATGGGAAAGCTGGGGCCACTACAGCTGGCTGCGGATCGTTCCAAGTGCAATCGCGGCGGGAAAGCGCCAGACTGTCTGTTCGACTCTTTGGGCACCTGGAAACCCAAATCATGAACTGTCGCGCTTGCCAATGTCGTCAACGAGACCTTGGAAAAAAGTTGTGGTGGCAGTCGACGTCATCGTACAGGGGAAAGGGTCCGTACCTAGCTACCTAATTGAGGGAAGCACAGATCATCTCCGCCAACCGGCCCCAGTCATCCCAGTCCTCCTTCCTGAAGAGCGCTCCAGTTGCATCACACCTTACCAGTCTCGGCACACCACAATCAAATGACCCCCAAATGACCTCCCTCTTTCCCTCGCTGTCACTCTCCGTCGGGTGCCTGACGATTTGTGCTTCATCCATTCAGTCCCCGGCGCGGCTAGGTCCCTCGCGACTGGATGCTCTCTGTTCCGTGCCAATCGCCGCTCTTTGTGATCCTTAGGGTCGCGGGGCTCGATTGAAGAGCCTCAAGAATCCAGGCACCTTGCTGAAACTCAACCTCAAACCATATAATCGATGCCGTTTTGGTCTGGTAGAGCAGAAAACGAACCCATAAGGGAAAGAGGATCATCAAGGGAAAACATGTTGGGTGTCAGGCTCCAGATTTGAGAAAAACATTTCACGAAAGAAGGAAGGAGTGACGTTGAGATCCAGCCTGCTTACATCAGCAAATCACACACGCTAAACTAGAATAGGGCAAGTGCAATCAAACTAATACCCCACATTTGCCAGAGGAGCCACAAACACCCCTAACCCACAAGACGTCCTCTCTTTGTGATTCTCCTGAAACCCCTTGCTTGAAGCACCTCATCATCCAGACAGTCGGGAGCGCCTGCCGAATTGCATTCTCCTGCATAAAAACACCACAGCCAACGGATTCGAACATCATCCACTGGCTTCCAACCGGCACCTGTCACTTACGGGAATCGCGACACTTTGATCCCTCGAATGATGAAGCTTTCTTCCTCACCACGGGCATCAAATGCCTGCTTGTTGTTTGGAGACATCGTGGTAACCATTGGCCAGGAAGCAGATGTGGTTTAACAAAACAAAACACGTTGTCTGATCAAACTACCGGGCAACACTTCCAAACCATCATATGGAGAAGCAACCATGATGATATAAAAGAGCATCCCACGGACGTATTGGACACTTCGCTCCCTTTGAGACTCTGTCGGCGTGGAATCTTTCGAAATATGTGGTAGTGGGAATGGAAGTTCATCAGTTGACAAAGATATCAACACAACGTTCTTCGACTCTCGCATCTCATGCTTGTGACATCGTGAAAAAAAAAAAAAATTTCCTGTGTGTAATAGACTTGATGTCTGTACCTTATGGTCGGGTGGTAATCCCGCCTTTGATGGTCATTATCCTTGTAGTGGAGGAAGGTACCAAGCCAGTACTTTCCCGGAAAAACAAATCGGAGCCACATCAACTGGACGACTGGCAAGAGCAGACCTCGACTCTTTGAGTCACATATGGCTTCCTTTTACATTCAGTTTTAATGCTTGAATCTTTCCGGCGCAGAGGAAAAATTTGTAGTCTGCAGAAACATGCGGCCGATCATGCAGGCCCTGACCTCAGCACTTTTCTCCGGTAGCCCCCCTCAACCCTCCGTTGATTTTGATCAAAGCTAGCTGCTCGCCAGTGCACTAAGGACATTTTTAGCAGCCTCGGATGTCAGAAACACACGGCAAAAAAAAAAAAAAAAAAAAAAAAAAAAAAGACTCCCGTGCCAAAACCAGGGAACACGCAACACCTCTGCAGAGCAAGAATAGCCGAGGCGATATCAGTCACTCTGGCCATTGCATGTTTTCTGTAAGGATAACATCGCCGATAACGATCCATCAAGCCCGAGCCAAAATCCGGCAGTCGGTCGACAGACGGACCGCTACGCTACGTCTGGGGACCGGATACCGAGCGGAGGAGTGGAATAAAGAAATGGGATTTTGGCCGCATATGCTGTACTTTCCTCATCATCAGTGATGTTTCGAAATATGTGCAAGCGTACATATATATACGCATGCCGAATTCGGTGTGGCGGGTGTTGCCATTTTAGGGTGTTCCCGGATCTGTATTTGGCTGCATGACCGGCGGGCATCGAGGCTCTTCACGCCCTTGGTCTACATGCAGCTTGCAGCATGTAGTCTGTGGTAATCGGACCCCGAACCCGAACAGGCTCATCCGTGGAAAAGTCTGGACAGCGAAAGTTTGGGGCGTGCTATCAGGGCTTGAATGGCTTCACTATCCCAATAATGAGTTGATAACACGGAGTACAGGAAATTTCGGCCGGGCGGGATGACCGGTGAAAGACACTCGCATGTTACCAGATACCCAAGGGGGAATGTGTTATCAGAATGACAGCACGACAAATTGCGCGTGCCCGACTACCTTGGTGTAGAGCTTGAAGCTTGCATGATTGAAGTGGTACAGTTCACGTGAAGGAAGTTGGGCAAGAGGAACAGTTGTCACAGTTCCGTTCAAGGCCATGCCCATCATCAGGTTTACTTGCAGGTTCCTGAAAAAGATTCACGGCGTTGAAACGTCAGTCAGTATATTCGCCAGGGCCGTGTTCGTATTTCCTCGAGTCCGCATATCATCTGCCCTGGCCGCATATTTGGGACTCCGATTTATACTGCAGTAGACATGCCGCGCAACAGAACACGGGCATAGGAAGGTTTTGCCTCTCATGACCTCCGATACTTCGAAGAGCATGCACATGGTGGATGAATGCCAGGTGGCCTCTGCCACCGCCCAGGATATTGCAAGTTCTCATGCTTCTCCCATGGGTATAAAATCTCCCCTACCTGTCCTTCTTTTTTTTTTCCTTCTTCATCCAACAAGCTCACTCCTCACAGCTCACCATACCTACTTTACCCAACACTTACTCAGACTCACAGTCTCACCACAACAAAACCTTTTCAACCACCAAACTCAACTCTCTTCGCGGTATGTTCATCCCTGCTATCTTGTCTTTTTTCTTTGTTTTTCCACAAAGCAACACAAGCTGACCAGTTCATAGATGAGCGTCTCCGATGCCACCAACATGAACACCCTCCAGATTGAAGCTCCCAAGAGGACCAACACCAACAACTCGGCAGCACGCACAACGTACTATACGTGGGATGAGTGGCAGTCTCTTATGGGCAAGGGGATCAAGACCCCGGCCATCCAACACAACAAGATTGGGGCTCCCAATCACACCAAGACCAACAAATCGGAGGTCCGCGAAACATACTATACGTGGGACGAGTGGAAGGCCCTTATGGCCAAGGGAATCAAGACCCCGGTCGACCAGCCCAACACCAACAACTCTATGTCGGCAGCTCACTCATACCACATGACAGTTGACGAGTGGAAGGCTTTTGTGAACGAAATTTTTAAGACCCGGACAGGGTAGCCAACAGGCCGGCATGTGGCTGTTTATTTTGACTTTTTAACCAACTAGCTATTAAACTTTCGTTCTTGGGGAAAAGAAGATGGTGTTATCTGTGTCTGGGAATAAAGGGTTGTTTCTTCATTGTTTCTTCAATCTGGTCGAGTTCATAGTAGTTCATTGGGACCGGCAAAATAATTCCGCCGTACGGAAACATCACAAATTTTACTACATCTTTTTCTCAAAAGCTTTCTATCTGTCAGGCCTTGACATGTACTGGTCCGTAATAATCCGATCCGAAAGAACAAATAGCAATGTTAGCCTTGTAGTGGAGTCACATATCCCAAATTTCGCAGCATTTTGATATTACCTATGTTGGTAACCGTCGGCGTACATGTAGTGTCAACGACGGAGGGACGCCTGGTGAAGGGACGGAGGGTGGAACTGAGATGGAAGATACTCGCCAGATTTTGTCTGGCATACAGTATGCAATATATTATTAATAAACCGTTTTATAGTTTTCCTATATCGGCGTAGTGATTGGTATATCCGTCCGTAACCAGAACCTTCCGCGCCTTCACTTGTGACTCCGCCGTAAACATTACAAACTTTACAATATCTCGTGTGCCTAAAATCTCGTAACACTACGACTGACCACTACTCTTTGTGCCCTCGCCTTCTTCCCTGACACTCTTCCTAGCGCTGACCTGAACGTGACCTACTCGGTTACAATCTGATTACCAAGAACACATAACGCAGCGGCATTGGGCTCATAGTTGAACCGAAAAAAAATCACAAATATTGCTCGGGCCTGTTTTTTTTTTTTTTTTGTTCTTTTTTCCTCCTCTTCTTTTCCTTCTGTTGTTTCTCGTTTTCTTTTTTTCCCTTATATTTAGAGATCATCGTCGCCACGGCCGACGTAGTGTCAACGATCGGAAGTGTTCCCCCTGTGGAGGGAGTGCTCAGGTCACAGATGCAGAGGTTCGGGCCATATTTCGCGGAGCCGACCTCAAGTGCGAGGCGGAGAAGAGGATACGCAAGCCGCAGAATGCTCCGAGACAGACAGAGACTGAGTCAGAATGAACAACTATGGTGTATCAAAGAAGCTGCCTGGCGGAATCATAATCCTCGTGCGTTCGGTGAGCGGCATCTACACGCAGCATACCTAGAATACCTCTGCATAGAGGTATAGCAAGAGGCTGACTTGCACCCTACGAGGGGGAAGCACATAACAGCGACGCAAGTGAACAAATTTCTGTCCAGAAAAACTCAGAGTGACTCACCTCTACAGGTAGTGTTGATGCAATGTATCTCGAGTGGCGAAATGTACCTATTACATGCTACGGCCAACATGAACACAGTCACCCTTCGATATGGCATGAAGAATCAACAGGTTGACCGGATCTCTACCTGTCACGAGATCAACAAGATATTGGCAAAGGTCAGAGGCATGTGAATACCTCTGTTGAGGTTCAGGAAAGCGGGCAGGCAAAGGGACGTCGGGTGAAACGGAGATGGGAGATAGGTACCTACCTTAACCTGAATGTTTGGGCCGGCATACTTGACCTCTATGCACCATTAACTGCACGGTGGCCGCATTATATATTGTACCTCCTTTTCTGCACAGAACCTTGAGGCTTCGTATGCACCGGCGTGGTGAATTGCATGTCCGTAACCAGAACCTTCTGCGCCTTCACTTATTTTACTTCACCAACATATCCGATCCATACATTGCTCAAACCTTTGCATGCCCGGGTGACGAAGCGTTGGTTGGCCTGCGCCACGCATTCCCGGATATTCGTGGTGGTTCTCACCTACGTGGTATAAAAACCCACTCACCGACTTGATTCTCTTCCCCTTCTTTTCTTTCTTTTACCAACTTCAGTCATTACTCACCAGAGATCTTCCAAGTTGAACATCTAGATACTCTCGACCCCCCACTATTACTCAATCACCAACAAACATTCACAATGTCCTCTACCAACAACAGATACCAGAAGCGCGGCGGTGCTAATGGTGGCGGTCGCAAGAAGCGTGACTGGAACTACCGAGGCCCTGCCAAGGATCGCCTGGACACCGAGATGACCCAGGAGGAGGTCGACAATTGGTTTGAAGAAGCAAAGAAGATGCCCTTGGTATGATCCCTTCCATTAGTTGCTTTCCAACACCCTTGCTAACTGAAATGTCCTACTTTGTAGAACACCTTCTTCTCCGAGCCTGCCGAGCCCGTCGCTCCCAAGGGAGAGCTCCAGCTCTGCCCCGGCTTGGCGGCTTCCATACATAATCCGGCCAATAACGGCCAGGCCACTCCGGTCCGTGGGTTGGGAGCTTCTAGACACAATCCGGACAACAACAATAATATCCAGACCGGTTTGAGCACTCCTGAGCCCAAGGTTGAAGCCGCGTCCCCCAAGGCTGGAAGCCCCATCAACGAGGCTACCAAGCCTGTGGTCAAGACCGAAACCCCCTCCCCCAAGGTAAATACGTCCCTACATGCTTGTCAACATCTGATCTTGTGAAGTTTGAATGCTAACCAGTCTCCAGAATGGCCATACCAACGGCATCAATACCCCCGCTAGCCAAAAGAACGAGACCAAGACCCCAAACAACAACCACTGCAGTGAGGCCAAGACCCGGGCCGTCCTCCTAGCAGAGCAAAGTCTCGCTGCGGCCGAGGCGGCCAAATACGCAGCCCAGAAGATGTTGCAGGCATCAGAGGATGCCGTGATTGCCGCAAAGGCACAACTGTTGCTCGCGCGGACCCAAACTCAGCCCGATTTGCAGGAGGAGGAAGAGGAGGAGGAGCTCTGAAGAGCCTGCCTAGGTGGCAATGGAAGCGGTTAGACGGATGGGAGACCCGGCCAGGGTAGCTAGCAGGCCAGCATGTGGCTGTTGCATTCAACCAACCACGATTTGACTTTTTTGCTTGGGAAAGAGAATACAACCTCAACCCAATTTGAAGGAGGAGGAGGAGGAGGAGGGGGAGCTCTGAAGAGCCTGCCTAGGTGGCAATGGAAGCGGTTACGGATGGGAGACCCGGCCAGGGTAGCTAGCAGGCCAGCATGTGGCTGTTGCATCCGATTTGACTTTTTTGCTTGGGAAAGAGAATACCTCTAGGGCGTCATCGGCGTTTGGGAATACCTAAGTGGCTTCTTCATCGCTTTTACAATCGAACTTTGCTTCACAGCTGAATTCGCGTCTTCATATTGTGCCTTCTGTGAATGTGTATTCGATCGTCAGTCGTTACCGAAGTGGACAGTGAGCGGGGGATACCGAGTCATAGGAAGCTAACGCGGTGATCGATACCCGGTCGGGGTGCCTGCCGCATTCCACTCTTTTGCATTGTGAAGCTGTTCTAACATGCGTCCATTCTCGAAATTTACTCGCAGCTTCTTGAGAATAATTCCCGGTGGCGAAGCTACAAATGGTCCATTACGCTAGCCCAGTATATTGAATGAACCCCCCGTAACTTACAGGAAAGAGGCCAGCACCAGTCCAGGAAAGACTCCACCAACTGGAAGGAAAGTGGGCATTGCCAAACAGACTTCTGGAAGGGAGGAAGCCATTGTCGGCCACAAGACACATGGCTGATTGGGAGCTGGGAGGGGCAGAAAGGACATGTATATAATCTGGGCCTCCCCAGCCCTTTTCGCCGGTCTCTTTTTCTCTCCAGCATCAAGCACTTTTTTCCAGATCTTTCGCATCATCTGACCTTTTCTTCTTACATAATTTGCTTTTCATTCAGTCTTTTTTATCTTTTTCTTCTTTTTTTTCTTTTTTTTCTTCTTTTTTTTTTCTCATCCCAACAACCTCATCGGCACTGAACATATCCGGACAGTGCCTCCACGTGATGTTCTCAACCATTTCAACCACCAAACGGCGATGACACAATGTTATCTTCAAAGTAAAATCGTGACGGTGTTCGGATTCGCCGAGGACGCCTTAAGGCGTGCCGCAGTTTTGGGTATCGTCATACTGATAGCCCTTGCGATCTTTTGGCAGTTATTCCGGGGGGACCACCCATTCTGGGTCTTGTAAGTTGACTTCATTCCTATTCATTGTTTGCCATATCTCGAACTGTGTTGGAATATGCTAACCGAGAATCCAGTCAAAACCCGGCCCTAGCGCCGTTTGAACAGCCCGCAACCCCGAATGCACCCGAACAGCCTACAACTCCTAATACACCTAGTGACGCTCGAATTGATATGGGAAATGACGGGCGTTGATAGCCGCCGAAACCCTGTCAAAGGAAGGCTACCAGCCCCAAGGAGGAGGACAAAAAGCGGCTACTTCCTAAGGGAACCAAAGGGCTCGCTCACTCTCGCTTTGCCAAGAAGCCTTCTAATAAGGGAAACGGCAAAGCCCAGTACACTAAGAAGATTGGTCCTACTCCCGATGAGGACGCCGCCGTGAAGGCGTTTTTTGCCGAGTCTCCAAAGAAGTATAAAGAGCAAAAGGTATAGTCACTGCCCAAAAAACACCCAATCAATGTCTATATTATCTGAAACACTTACTTACCAAATGGGATCTTAGGATAATGGTGAATCGTCTTACCAAGCCGCCGACCACGATACACCCAGGGCAAAGAGGGGTACCTCCCTCAGAGCAATGGGAGCATGGACGGACGAAGAAGTCCAAGACTGGTTCCGTGGAGGAGAGAAAGAGTATGAGGCCATGAAAGGTAAGCAGCTTCCCAGGGCCATTACTGAGGAAGCAAGTTCCACTAACACGCAAGCCCACAGGCTGGGAAGAAGGGCTTCTTCGCCGAAGACACTGAGCGAGCCAAGCCATCGGCCGTCACCGAACGCAATCAGATCACCGACATATCCGGTCCATGCATTGCTCAAACCATTGCATGCTCGGGCGAAGAAGCATTGGTCCGCCGCCGCCATGAATTTCCGGATATTCGTGGTGGTTCTCAGGGCACCTATAAAAACTTACACACCCACTTCCTTCTCTTCCCCTTTCCTTTCTTTTCTTTACCAACTCATCTGAAATCTTCGACCAATTCACGAACATTCACAACATTTCAAAATGGCAAATTCTCAAAGCAGTACCTCTCTCAAGATGGAGTCCATACTCACGTCTCGCGAATTCATCACCCTCCCGAGGTTATGTTCTATATCTACCGCGACGTATGGACCGTTAACGAGGAGCACTACTGGGTTAATGAAAACTTTCCGCCTTTGTTCAGATGCAGAGACTACTTCAAGGCTCAGCAAGAAGCACTCTGCAAACTACAATTGTTATCCCGCGAAATCAGAAACGAGGTCATTGCAGAGTATTTCCCCCGAGCCCAGTACAACCTGTGGTACGATTGGCCTCCGCCCAACACCAACGTCAAGTATTTCCAGAAGGGGAATAGCAAGCAGGCGTACTCCAAGAAGTTCCGCCCTTCTGCCGAGGAGGATGCTGCAATAAAAGCGTTCTTTGCCGAGTCGCCAGAAATCGACAAACAAAAGGTACAGTCACCAGAAAATATCCAGTATCCACAGTATTTGGAACTGTTGCTTACTCGGATCTTAGGTCGGCGAGCAGTTTTATTACCAACCAGCCGACCACGACACACCCAAGGCAAAGATGGAAAACCCGCTCCCTCCCGGAGCTAAGGGCCTAGCCGCCTCATGCTAGGCTAAGAAGGAGGAGGAGGATCCGAAGCCGTTGTATCCTAAGGCAACCAAGGGGCTTGCTAATTCTCGCTTTGCTAAAGATGCCATCGAAAAGGTATATATCTCCTTGTCGCTCACTCCGGACCTCGTAATGTTTGGTGTATGCTGACCAGTTCACAGGATACTACCGCCGCCCAGGTTGCTTCCCCTTCTGTGGCCGCCTCAAACACCAAGGCCGAGCTGGCTGCTACAAACACGACGGCTGCCCAAGCCAGCACACCCGTCACCAGCACCACGCCTGCCGCCACGTGATTGCGGAGTGTGCCCCCAAAGCCCACAATCCAACCGCCGAGGCAATCAAGCCCGCCACCAAAATGGAGTCCGTGGCCCAAATCCAGCCCGCTCCCCAGATGGAAGAGGTACGCAATTCCCTATCACTGTACCCACCTAGGCCTATGAATGTTAACCAGCCATCAGACCGACCAGTCAGCGGAGATGAAGACCGCCGCCATCAGGGCGGCCGAGCAGAGCCTGACTGCTGCCATGGCCTCAAGACAGGCGGCCCAGATGATGATGCATGCCTCCGACGAGGCCATCATAATCGCCAGAGCCCAACTTCATCAAGCACAGGAGAATTATCAGCAGGGACTTCCGAAGTACGAGGAGTATGAGCAGTATGAGGAGGAGCTCTAAAGGGACAAGGGAATGACAGAAGTCAGGGATTTGCGGTTTTGTTTCATTGCGACTAGGCAAGCCGGTCTGTGGCTTTTCTGCTTTTCTGCCTTTTCTGGTAAGCATGGACTCTGAGATTAGAACTGTTCAGGGAGGGAAGGTAGGCGTTTGGCGTTTGGGTTTAGCTGGAAACTTGGATGATAATGCCTCCATCTGAGAAGGCCCGGCTAGCTTTTGCTTTCGTCTTCAATGAACCTCTTTCGTCTTTAATCAAACCTTTTTCGTCTTCAATCAAACCTCTTTCGTCAATTTGAACCTGTGTCTTATGCCTTCAGTGGATCGGTGTTCGAACGTGCATCAATCTCTGTCAAACCAACGGGCAATTAAATGGAGCGTGTTCTGCCATCTCAGCGGCGGTATTTATCGTGAGTGCTATTGTGCTCTTTTCTATGGGCGTCGCTGCTGACCGCGGTCCAGGCGTCGGGGTGATCGGGGGCCAAATTGATGTCGGAAGTCCGGAGGCAGATCAGAACATATGGCAGCTGATTGTATAGTCGGTAACCGACAGCTGATTTGGGCCGTCCACTTTTTCGTAACTTTCATCAAGGCCTTCGTGAACAGCTGGTGACGGTGCCGTCTGTCGGTGCGGCGTTGAGGTCTCGTCAGTCGTAGAGGTACGCAGTACTAGCCTTATCTTATCAGGCCCGATTAGGCAAGAGACTTTGCTCTGATTGGTGGATCATTCGGCAGGGTCCGTGCATGTGTCGTCTTATCTTATCGATTGTCTTATCGAACACCAAGGCATGTACCTGGACCTTGCATTGAGCTTCTTCTCTTCCCCTTCTCGTCATCCACGCTTTCGCTTTTTTTGCTTTGGGATTGAGACACAACCTTCATTATGTGACACTCAATCTCGCCGTTCCATGGTACTCCGGGTTCATTTCCCAAATCATTCTCTCCCTAGAAAGATGTCGAAAGTCCACGGTGATGCTGGGCTGCGCCCGTCGCTGTGCTCGACGGGGCTGGCGGGGTTTGGTCGATCGGCATTCCAAAAGCGCGACTCGGTCTGATACATACTTTTTTGGTCTCTCCAGGTTATTGACACATGCAAAAGCTGCGAGCTGTCAAACATGGAGCCAAGTCCATCATTGTATCAAGTTCAGAGGTTGGTCGACTTCCGTGTCCTAAATTCCTGTTCATCATCACTTGCTTGGTCCTTCAGTATGGTGAGCTTCCCCTTTTCAGTTAATCGTGTCGGCTACCACTCAACCACTTGCTGTTTGGTCGTTTGTTCAGTGTCTTCAGTCAAACACATCTAGTTTCCTGTAATCCTTTTGTCATGGAAAACCAGGTGCCAGAACCACCTCCGCGGAGGATCAACATTGTGGAAGTCATGTTTGATCTTCTCATCCCTCTTACCGATCTCTATTCGCATATAAAAGCCTCATGGGATTCCTTCTGCTTCGATACTGGACCACACGAAAGTTCCGCGGTGCAAGATCATCGCTACTTCATCCCTAATCATCTTGAATTTGGTCAACCACCCTATACTTTCTTGTGATACTCCCTTCGATACCCTGTAATGGTTCACCACCTTGCCTCTCCCAAGCCTCCATACATGGCAGAATGATGGATGATGAGCGTGCGGTTATTGGGCCCGCGGTCACTAAAAGTCATTCTTCTAATCATGAGCGATTCGGAGAGAGTGTCATCGTTTTCTGACTCTACATCCAATCAAACAAGAGAAAGACCTTGATCCAACGCCTATATCATACAGAAATCTCCACAGCTACCCCCCAAAGGCAAAATTCGGACGCGGATTCTCTCGTGCATCCCGTCAGTATCCAGTTGCCGGGTTTGGATATTCGTATCTCCTCCCGCTACTTTCGTGATCATAGGCAGCTCCTGCTTTTTATTGCCACTCGACGTTCTTGCATATTAACAATAGCCCGACAGTTTTCTCCCCGAAGCTTACAGGGCGCAGCGGGCGTCAAAGGGTGGCAATACTGGATTTACTGCACGAAAAAGCATGTATATGCCGTACTGTCTTGATCACAAAAGTCCGAAACTTTGGTCATGCATAACGGCATACCAAACGTCTGGCAGTGATGCTAAGCTAGGTTAAAAAAGGAGTCAGAACTTCTAATTCATACTGCGGGAGATGCAAATGCAAGCCGTTCTTCACTGTCAACAGCATAAAAACCGCTGTATAGACTCCGAATACTGCAGACAGTGAGAGAAGAAACGCGGCCCTGCAGGTTTTGTGAAAATAAATGCAATGCACACACGCCAAAGGACTACGGAAGTCCGTTGCATTTATTTCTCACATATCCTGCCTTGGTGGTTTTTTCCAATGGTTCAGCAGTATAAATTAAACCTCTCTCTTCTGATCTTTCGCCAGTTATTTTCTTCCACCACCATCATAACCTCCAGACCTCTCGCCATTTCTCACATTCTCACCGCAAAAGACACAGATTATTCTTCTTGCCTGTCTCAAAACCTCTCAAGGACCAAAGCATCAACTCGCTACACGAACAGCTACAGCATCTCGAAATGGCACCCAACTCAATCTCCAAGGCGAACCCCAACGGCTATAAGCCAAAGGGAAAAAAGCCCACGAATTTCAAGAAGCATCTCTCTCTGTCTCGCGAGGAGCAGGCCGCAGTTGACGAGTTCCGGACCTTCTATTCGGAATCTCCAAAATCCAACGAAAGAAAGGTACGATCACCACGGTAGAAGCCAGAGTACAAACTTCTTAAACCTATTGCTTACTCGGATCTTAGAACGACGAGAAGTCGGGCTATACGCCAGCCGACTATGATACCCCCAGGACAAAGATGGAAAACCCGCTTCCTGCGGGTGCCAAAGGCCTAAGTGCCTCTCGCTGGGCTACCAGCCCCAAAGAGGAGTCAAAAGATAGAGCTCCTTTCGTCCCTCAGATTTCGACAACATCAACCTCAAAGGCCAAAGCCCAGTACCGCTACTCCAAGAAGTTTGGTCCTACTCCCGAGGAGGACGCCGCCGTAAGGGCGTTTTTTTGCCGAATCTTCGAAGAATGATAAAGAGCAGAAGGTACCTATAATTAAAAAAAACAATACCCAATGTCTATATTATTTAAAACACCTACTTACCAATTGGGATCTCAGGACAACGGTGAATCGTTTTACCAAGCCGCCGACCACGATACACCCAGGGCGAGAATGGAGAACCCGCTCCCTTTCGGAAATAAGGGCTTAGCGGGCTCACGCTGGGCCAAGAAGGAGGAGTCAAAGGATAGAGCGCCTTTCGTCCCTCCGATTTCGACAACATCAACCTCAAAGACCAAAGCCCAGTACCGCTACACCAAGAAGTACGGTCCGACCCCCGAGGAGGACGCCGCTGTGGCGGCTTTCTTTGCTGAATCTCCGAAGAAGGATGGTAAAGAGCAGAAGGTATAGTTACTGCCTAAAAAAACACCTAATGTCTACGTTATTTGAAACACTTGCTTACCAACTGGGATCTCAGGACAATGCCCCTGGTGAATCGTTATACCAGGCCGCCGACCATGAGACCCCCAGAGCGAAAATGGAGAACCCGCTCCCTTTCGGAAACAAGGGCTTAGCGGGCTCTCGCTGGGCTAAGAAGGATGAGTTCAATAATTGAGCATTTCTCGTCCCTCCGATTTCGACGACATTAACCTCAAGTATCACGACGACGTGAAGCAGTTGGAGGATCTTCAAGCTACCTTATCTCTATCTTTAACGACATGTTTTTTTTGGTCGAGTTGTCACAGTCTCTGAAGTCTGAAAGCGAGGAAGTCAACGAGAAAGGTGAACATCTTGGAGCAGGAGGAAACCAGATAGGAAGAACAGACTCGTTGTCGTTTACCACGACACCACAGAGATCCCGTCGGGAAGGCAAACATTTGATTCTGCAGATGATAAAGGACGCAGAAGGAGGGCGGAGGATAAGGAGGACATTCAAGGAGAATACCATCGGGAAGGCAAACATTTAATTCTACAAATGATAAAGGACGCAGAAGGAGGGCGGAGGATAAGGAGGAAATTCAAGGAGAATACCATCGGAAAGGCAAACATTTGATTCTACAGATAATAAAGGACGCAGAAGGAGGGCGGAAGATAAGGAGGACATTAAGGAGAACACCTACCGAGTATTAGGGCAAGAGGGAGCCTGTCCCTCGGTAGGAAGGAAGTCATTATCAAGTGACACAAGGTTAATAGACGGAATCAATGCTTCTTACTTGCCATTTTCCCTTAGGCAGTGGATTGTATACCCGCTCCTACATCTACATTTATTTATAGGCTGCTTTTGCTTTTAGTAACATTTCCATTGAAACTTCTAAACCAATTATATAAGGTATATCTCTGTCGCTTTCTTCCAATAATCAGTTCCTCTACTCTTCACCATTACCTTCGTTTAATTTTGTTTTCACCTTCTCTCAATAAATCCAAGCCCTCCCGCGTCCCGAGCCTGTACGGCATGACACTTGGGACATTGCTATTGACCAGGAGGCTGGATGAGTAAACGAAACAGGCGCCATTTGGAGGAACCGGTATAATCTTCTTTCGTCTCTTCGGTTATCCAGAACATAATCTGGGAATTCGAATTTACCCTTCACCAACCTTTAGTAGGTACTCGTCAAGTGAATGAACCGACCCTGCTCCACCTAACCTTACGATACCTTATAGGTTTGCCAACAATTCCGTAGTATAAAACCTTTTTCTGATCTTTTGCTTCTTGTTACCCTTCACCACCACTCTACTGTTCACGGTGAAGGGCCCTGGAATATTTGCCAGGGCCTCTCCCGTACCCTATTTAAGCGCACCAGATCTCCCGCTTTCCTTTCTCCTTTCAACATCACAGAACACAGCCAATTATCTCTGTCTGTGCCGCAACCACCAAAGCACAGCGACTCCAGTAACGAGGCCGTCAAACATTCTGCGCCCTCTCTCCAGCCAAACCTAGTAAAGCTACCTTACACGGACACTTACAACATCTCAAAATGGTTCCAAACAACAACCGCAAGGCTCATTCCAACAAAGGAAAAGGCAAGGCCACCTACCGCAAAAAATACGGCCCTACCCCGGAGGAGGATGCGGCAGTGAAGGCATTCTTTGCTAAGTCTCCGAAAAGAGAGACGCAGAAGGTACAGTCACCAGAAAACACCCAGTGTCTACGACATTTGAGATTGTTGCTTACTCGGATATTAGGCCGGCGAGCAGTCATACCAGGCTGCAGACCACGAAACCTCCAAGGCCAAAATGGAGAATCCGCTTCCTTTGGGCAACAAGGGCCTAGCGGGCTCCTGCTTTGCAAAGAAGGAGGACCCGAAGGACTGAGCATCTTCCCTCCGGCTCATCTACCTTATTCTTGATCCCTGGAAGTCAGGAAGAAGTCAAAAGGGCCAACATTTTGAAGAAGGTGGAGTAGAAAATGAGAACGCAATACTGGTAACATACAATGCGCCTACTGTGGCACGGGGAACATGCCCTCGGTGTTAAGGAAGTGAGATCTGGTATCTCAAGGGTAGCAGTAGTTACGAAATCGATGCTTCTCTCTTTCCATTATATCGATGATATGGTACATCAAAAATACGTAGATACTTGAAATTTGAAACACAAGTCGATTGTTCGCTCCTTCTAAATTTGGTTTCCTTGAAGTTGTCGGTGCGAGATTGTTGCCTGCACTCACGGCATTGCCCTGCATGTCGAACTTGGAAAGTGGGTCGCTGCTCAATGAGATGCGGCGCTATCGGGATTGCCGCCACTGTTAAGCAAGAAACTGATAGTGCATTAACAGGTGTTGATGTTCTTGGCACGTCGACAGACGTCCTTCCCACGCTCTGGCCCAAGTGCCCCTCCACCCCTCTTTTCACCTTCACCTGCACTTTGGATGCATGTTTGAAATGGAACTTCCGGCGTGGCCCAAATGAAGGGGATAATACCTACCCTTCACCAGCTCAAGGCTTATCGTCGCGGTGGGTTTTGTCTGCCTGTCGCTGCTTCCTATAAAGAACCTCCTCTTCTTCCAAATCCTTCCCATTCTTCCTTCTCTGCCGTCGGCGCATCGCTCGACGCTCAACGATATCCTTTCGACACCCGAAAAAATGGCGGGCCGCAACAACACCCCGAAGCCTTTCGGCCGTAAACACTTACCGTGGAAACCACGGCAAGGGCAAGCGCGCCGGCGGGAGGCGTGCCTCCCAATTTTAGCAACTCCATGGCTTCCAACAACGATCCGAAGCCCAAGGGCTTGGCTAACTCGATGCATGCCAACAAGTCGGGCAAGGCAGATGAGGCTGCCGAGTCCAGCAAGCAGTAGTGGTAGGTAGGTAAGAATTACACCCAGCTAGGCCTACTATTTTTCTGTTTCGAAAACTAACTTCTAGTGTCCAAAGAAAAGTCGGTAACGCCCAGGCTGTCACTACCGTCATACCGACCCGCGAAGCAACACCTACTGAGGAAGACAAAGTTGAGCGACACCAATCTACACGTAGCTAAGAAGACAATTTGGCAATACTGCGTTTAGACGTTCGAAGAAGTCTTCTTAGCTGGGGTGAGCAGAAAAGAAGGCATTCGGTGCAAAAGTTAGGACATCTGGTAGATACGTCGGTGTATAGCAGTTACCTATCAGATAAGTTCCCGAAATACCTCATACATCATACTCGTTGAGGTCAAATCATGTCAGATCTTCTCTTGATTCTTACATTTCCCATTAATGTTCGCTTCTGTTTATTTCGAGTTGTTTCAATGCTTGTTTTGTCTTTCTCTTCTCAAGTGTCTCCGGAATTGACGCGTTTGGTGTCTCTACACTCTCTCGCAACGAGCGCGCATGGTTATAGACGCCTTGGTTCACAGTACTGTCTTCATTTGCTTGCTGTAGGGGCCTGTTCTTCCTCTGCGTTCTTCTTTCTACAAGCGTGTTGTCAAAACAGCACTCTCCATCCCCCCTTCCGTTCTCAACATCCCAGGTCCTTGCGGTACTGAGGCTGGTCCTGACAGATCCATGTTTAATCTCCAAAGGATGGTACAAGAGTGCCGAGCCTTCAAAGGTTCACAATGCTATGTGAAGGTGAATGAACTTCAGGACTGGCAGTGAACAGGGGTGTTGCTCATCACCACAGGTCCTCGGGCTCAAGGGCTGGTGAACACGCTTCCTAATCACCACAGGTTCTCGAATTCAGCTGTCGGTGAATAGGCTGCCTGAACATCACAGGTTCTGGAAATCAGTTGCCATATAAAATTCCCCTCCCTTCGAAATTCCTCCTCCTCAATTGTTTTCCTTACACAACATTCGATGACATATCGAATATCACGACATCCAAACAAAACATTCAAACATACCACCAAAACACAACAACCCAAACACCCGACATCGACACTTTCAAAATGTCCGACTTTCCCAAGCGCAACGATTCGTTCAACCCCAATGCGTATCGCAGCCAGGCTGCATACAACGCCCACAAGAACGCCTTGGCTGGCAACATGAATGCCCCCAAGTCCAGCAGCTCGGTCAACCCTAGTGCCTATCGCAGCCAGGCTTCCTACAACGCCCACAAAAACACCTCAACGATTCGCGTCAACGCCCCCAAGCCCACCTGCTTTTCCAACCATACTGCCTATCGCAACAAGGCTGCTCATACCGGCGAGAAGAACACTGCAGCTGGCAACGTCGATGTTCCCAAGCCGACCAGCTCTTTCAACCCCCTTGCCTACCGCAGCCAGGCTTCCTACAACACCCACAAGAACGCTGCGACTGGCAGCATGGATGCTCCCAAGCCTAGCAGCTCATCCAACCCCAATGCCTATCGTGGTCAGGCTGTTCATACCTCCCACAAGAACGTCTCACATGGCGGCGTCCATACTCCCAGGATGCAGCAGTTCCGCAAGCCCGAGAATAAATGGGCCACCAAGCAGACACAGACTACCCACAGCAAGGCCAAGAACACCGACGAGCCTCACTATATGTCGGATGCCGAGGTCAAGGAGTGGTTCCGTCAAGCAGAGGTCGACTACGAGCGAAAGAAGAAGGTTAGTAACTCAACATTATGGTCTATGAACACACATGCAAATCAGGACAGCTTCACTAACTCATTGCCTTGATGCAGGCTGGTCACTATGACAACTACGTCCCAGCCGGGGGCCACACCCCGGACTTCAGCGATTTCCACCGCAAGTTCGCTGCCTCGGAGACTAAGTGCCCTGGAATGAAAAACTCGATGCACGCGCCGAAGGCTGCTGAGCCTGCCCAGCCCGAGCATCGCAAGTGACGGAGAGGTAGATATATCAAGTTCCCGCAGGACGCCCCATAATTATGTCTTGTACTAACGTTTTTCTACCTAGGCAGAATTCGATGTTACGATCCCCTAGACCCCGAAGACGCCGTTTGAGACTGCCGATTGAGAATGAACAACAGATAGCAGGGAAGAATTAAAATGGGGGCCAATGTTTTATCGTTAAATGCATCAACCACGCAGTGACTTGAGAGTTCATATGGCATAATGTTATCAAATTACAAACTTGTCTGCATAGTGTTCTTTTGCTACTACACATGGTGACAATGTTTAGTTAATCATTCATTTTCTGGCTTTTTCCGATTAATCTGTTTATACACTGGTACTACAAGGTCTATTACGGCTCTTCCGGCTTACTGTTTTCCTGCACCAACTTGCCCATCTTTCTGTTGACATCGTACACGTTTCTTTCGTTCAAAGACATACACAAAACAACGGGGACGGTAATCGCTAACTTCAGGTTTGCCACAGGCCGGAACCTTCGACGACTATGTCTCGGCAGGAAGCATGCCTCCTGATTTCAACAATTTCAGGGTCCCTAACGACAAAAGTATACCCCGAGGTTATTGTTCAGTCCTGTATATTGAACACTAAGACTGGTCCTTGAACATATCCATGTTCAATCCCCAACGATGGGACGAATTCGCCAAGTCTCCCAAGGTTCACAATACAAGGCATGTCAAGGTGAATAGCCGTTATGTTCAGGACTGGCAGTGAAGGGCTTCCTGATCACCACAGGTTCTGGAATTTAATTTCTGGTATAAGATTCTTCTCCCCCTCCATCCTTCCCTCCTCCAATTCTTTCCTTTACACAACTTTCGATACATCGAATATCAGAACATCCACACACCACACCTTCGCACAACACTCGCACACAACAACACTTTCAAAATGTCGGACTTTCCAAAGCACAACGGGTCCTTCAACCCAAACGCATATCGCAGCCAGGCTGCGTATGACGCCCACCTGAAGGCTTCCCGTGTCGCCAATGCCGCTCACAAATCCAGCATCGCCTTCAAACCGAACAATGATCACCACCAAGTCCGCGTCAACACCGAATCTCACAAGGCCGGCAACGCTCCGGCCTTCAACCGAAACGGTTATCGCGCCGACACTCGTGTCGTCAACAACGACTTTCCCAAGCCCCGCAACGCCTTCAACCCGAACGGCTATCGCAGCCAGGCTGCGAATGGCGCCTCCAACAACACTTTCCGTGGCAAGAAGCAATTCCAAAAGCGCTACAACGGACAGGCCACCCAGAAGGCGGGAACTCCCAGCAGCAACGAGACCGACAACACTCATGAGCCCCACTTTATGTCAGACGCAGAAGTTAGACAGTGGTTCGCCGAAGCGGAAGCGGACTATGAGAGGGACAAGAAGGTGCGTAACTTTATGCTATTATCCAGGAGCGCATACATACGTCAATAGGGACAGCTTCACTAACTCGATGCAAATTTCTACAGGCCGGCAAGTACGACAATTAGGTCCCAGCCGGGGGTCATACCCCCGACTTCAGCGCGTTCCGCAGGACGTTTGATACCTCAAAGACCAAGGTTGGTGGTCTGAAGGATTCGATGCACGCGCCGAAGAAAGTCTCGGGCTCGGAACCTGCTACGCCCAAGGGTGGCAACTGATGGAAAAGGTAAATATATTGACTGTCACAAGAAAGATAACTAGGACTTGCGTTAACTCTTTTTGTCTAGGAAAATTCAGCATAGGGATCTTGAAGACTTTGATGGAGCCAATCGAGATTCAGCATCGTCACCGGCTTTTTGTTTCCGCAGTAGCAGCCACAGGGAAGGACTGGGATTGCGGTCATTTTCTATCGAAACAGGATTCAACTTGGCTTTTACATGGAAAGGCATGAGCTAGAAATGGCAATCCAATTGTAATTAGGTGTTGGAAGAGATCAGTCTTAGCCATGAGAAAATTTTGATTGGCATTTGGGTTTCAAACATGTGTTCAAATCGAAGAGTGTCGAGGATGAGTTTTGGCCTGTTTTTGCGGGAAGTTTCAAGTCGGGCGTTCTTGCCTTCTTTGTCAAGCTCGAGAACATTTGGTTGGAATCTCAGGCACCGACATTTTGGTCTGCAATTATCCAGATACATCCTTTTTAACACAACAATGTCTTCCTATCGGTCCTCATGTGTATCTATATATCTTTCATGGCTTCTGTCCCCGTGATCACTTCAGCGCCATAGCTGCCGCGCCTCATCACCTGACCGGATGGAATCCTCAAGAGTCAAGATGGAAGAGTCAGGACAACATTGCCAAGCTTCTCAAAGTTTTTGAACCTGACCGAAAGTGAAGGGGCTTTGGTCGAGTGAAGGGTCTCAAGTGTCCTGTGCACCAAGGTTTCCAACGAACACTGGTCCTGTTCGTCTCTTCCGGTCGCCCTATTTAAGATCGGTTCCCCCCTCCATTCCTTCCCCTTCAAATTTTCTCCTCACACAATTTCCATCACATCCAACACCACAACAACCACAACACGCAATCACAACAACCACATCCAAAATGTCTGACTTCCCGAAGCGCAGCGCCGCTTTCAACCCCAACGCTTATCGCAGCCAGGCTGCGTATAACGCACACAAAGCCTCTTTGCGCAACGACACCGATCTTCCGAAGAAGCAACCGGCCGACTTTCCGAAGCCGACCGGTCCCTCTAACCCCAACGGCTACCGCAACCAGTCTTCTTTTGCCGCGCAGAAGAGCACTTTGCGTAGCGACGTCGATCATCCCGAGAAGCGGTCGCCCGACATCCCGAAGCCCGATGCCTTCAACCCTCAAGCCTATCGCAGCCAGGCTGCGTTTGACGCACACAAGAACACTCTACTCAGCGACGCCGGCCTTCCCATGAAGCAACCGTCAAACATGCCGAAGGCCAACACTACCTTCAATCGTCAGGCCTACCGCAGCCAGGCTGCGCACAACTCAAACAAGAACATTGCACGTGGCAGCACTCATCCCCCCAAGCAGCAATCCTCGAAGCAGCAATCCTCGAAGAAGCAGTACCAGAAGCCTCAGTTTCACAAGGCTCAGACGAAGCGTTCCAGCAAGCCGGCCGAGGGCTCGAGCACCCAGACCAGTGCCGATGAACCTCATTTTATGTCCGACGCTGAAGTCAAGGAGTGGTTCCGCCAGGCGGAACTCGACTACGAGAGGAAGAAAGCGGTGCGTAGCTTTGCCCAATAATACATGTACACAATACCGACCAGGACAGCTTCACTAACGACTTAATGCAATCGATACAGGCCGGACACTACGATAACTATGTGCCCGCGGGAGGTCATACTCCCGACTTCAGCGCTTTTCGCGCGAAGTTCTCCGCATCCAAGGCCGATGTTCCTGGCTTAAAGAACTCCATGCATGCGCCGCTCAAGGCCTCCGAGCATGCTAAGCCCCAGGGCGGCAAGTGATCGTACGTGCAACAACCTCGAGCTGATACACTTGTCACCAAACGCTAACATGGTAGTTCGTTAGACCACCACGCTCTATCAGACTGACAATCGTCATCATCGGCTCTGGAGGTATGGGGGAAACACATGGATAATGGCCAGGGCTGGGGTTGGAAGGGTATATAGTTATGACAGCCATCATTTCCACCCAAGACAAAGCTGGGAATCAAGTTATCACACAGCGGTTTTAGCTTTTAGAGCGACCCAACCCTTCCAGAATACACCCCATCACCCTACTCATGGAATATCATGCTCTCTTCTCGAATATTTTGGCCCTTGCACTTTTTGTCCCTATGAAAACCCTTTTGATTCTTCATGTGTGCATGAATTGGATCTTCGTTCTGTCTTTCTGATGATCTAGCCGCCACAGTCTTGCTTGGCTGTCGAGCATTTGATGGGGCAAACATAATGACTGACATTTGTCAGGACGCGTTTGGTCACAAGGGAATGGCATTCTGTTATTGACTCATAAGATGGGTTAGCCTACGTCAGCATTTGCGGAGGAGATACAATGCTTGGGAATGCCGGAGTGAATGGGTCAAGGTTTATGTATACTTTGGGAGCCCGGTCTGGAGGACTACTATTTGACGAATCCAGGTTAGGGTGAAATGGTTGGGACGGCAACTGTCAGACTTTCGAAACTTCCAGTCATCAGTTGCGAGTGAAGGGGATTAAACACAAGCCCTACGTACCGAGGTTCCCAGACCACGCCAGTCGTTCACTTCCAGTCACCTCTATATAAAATTGGTCCCTCCTCATTCCTCTGCTGCGATTCTGCTTCCTCAACACACCATCCTTCTGCACCCAACAGAACCATACATCAACACCATCCGTCGCACTTGCAAAAATGGCAGACTTCCCCAAGCCTAACGAGGCATTCAACCCAAATGCGTATCGCAGCCAGGCTGCATACAATGCCTGACGCGGCGAGTCCAAGAAGCAGCAGCCGTCGAAGTCGCAGCATTCCCGTCCGAAGCAGCATTATCGCCCGAAGTCTCAGCAATCTCAGTCCAAGCAGCATCGTACCTCGACCTCGAAGAAGCAGGGCGACGATACTGATGCCCCGCACTACATGACCGATGAAGAGGTCAAACAGTGGTTCCTCGACGCCGATCGTGAGTACGAGGAAAAGAAGAAGGTACGGGTATCGGAATTATGACTCGGCTACATGCATCTGGCTTTAATGACAACTGAGGCAATGAAGACTAACTCGATACTTTGCACAGGCTGGCTACCACAAGAACTATGTCCCGGCAGGAGGCCATACTCCCGACTTTAGCTCCTTTATTCGCGCCCATAGTCGTCCCCAGCGTACCACTGGTATGGAGAACTCTATGTATGCTCCCAAGCCGCCAAAGCCTGGTCAATCCTCCAAGGAGGTCGCGGTAAGTTTCCCTGTCAAACCAAAGTTGAGGCGTATTATACTCTAGAAGCAGAAACTGATTTGGCAAGAAGAACTCCGGCAATGTTCCGCCTTTCAACGGCGCCGCCCCGTCGACTCATTAGGATGCCACCGAGAAGTTCACATTTGAGGATATCATGACTGGAGAGGTGGATTTGCTCTTTTTCTAGATGAAGGAAACTGGAAGGACATATGGGATTTTCGAAGGCAAATTAGCACTATCTTTTGTTTCCCGTCACCAATCCGAGCTTAGGAGATCTTGAAATCTTGCATGCTTCTCTTGTCCTTATTCTTTCACTTGTGTCCAATGCTTTCCATGAAACTTCTTGATCAGATTCCATGAAGTGTTCACACTGTTGTTTTTACCAATTTTGTCCGCTGTATCTGCCACAGCCCCTACTCATCTGTCGAGTGTCCGAGGTCGTAAGCCCAATGTATACACGATACTTGACCATATGCATTTGTGTCATTACAAAAATTTTCATATCATACATATGGAGAACTGGCCAGCATACATCATGATTTTCGGCAGACAGAACGCTTGGGGATGCCGGAGTGAATGGGGCAAGGCTCATATCAGGTAAATTCGGGGGGGACTGGTACTTCACCAACCCAGGTTGAGATGAAAAGGGTTGCTGTGACAACTGCTAGACCTTGGAGATTTGTCCTTGAACCTACTCGAGACGAGAGTGAAGGGAATCGAGTACATATTTACGTATCTGATTCTCTTCACAGGAACGGTCTTTTATAATTTCAAGGCTTCTATATAACTCTCCCACCTCCTCCGTTTTTCTTCCTCCTCATTCGCACACACTACCCACCTCTACCCAAGCCTGCTTCTACCAAGCAACCCACCACTGCAGCCACCCAGAAATTCTCAACATGTCCAACTTTCAGAGCAAGAACAAATAGTCGCGTGTTCCTTACGAGGTTCGTACACCGAGATCTTCAAACTTCCCCACTCTCGAGCCGTTCCACCGCGATATTTACCGGAGTATGGCTGCGTACAACGCGATGCTAAAGACCAAGAAGGAACAGCCGGAGGTTCCTCTGCAGCCCCACACCCTAAAGGAGTCCAACTTTCCGACTCTCGAGCCATTCAACTGCAATGCTTACCGGAGCATGGATTCGTACAACGCGATGCTGAAGACCAAGAAGGAGCGGTCGTGCCCTTGCGCCTGGTAGGGAGAGGTGAGTGTTTCCCTCAGTTTACAAGAGGCAAGAACTATTCAGGAATACTAATCCAGTTCCCGCAACAGAACCACATTGACAAGTCATCCATGATGAGAACCACCAAGTAAAAATCTAGGAGGTCACGGGGGAATTCGCTGGAGGCAATCTGAGGACAATGAAGTTGAGGGATGTGGACTTGTTCTGGGATCAAGAAAGGAAAACGAGCACGACAGGCGAAGCAGGGAATAATTACTATATCTCCGCTAAGTAATCACTGTCTGTAGCCTATCTTCAGTGACCGAAGGCTTGGGTCACCTTTTTTGGTGCCCATTTTGCTCCTCTTCTCTTTCCGGAATTCGTCGTGATATCTTCAATAATAGAGGAGTTTAGGTTCAAGGATATGAAAGATGGAGACGCCGATTTGTCCTCAACCTGGAGTAGATGATGGACACTGGGAGAAATTAGGGGAATCACTAACAAGCTTTACCTTTGTTCCCCCGTTATCAACCTAATACAAGCTGGAAAATTCTCGATATCTTACATGGTTCTCTTGTGACAATTTTAGCACTTGCGTCCAATGTTCTCCGTGAAACTCGTTCTCGAAATCTTTTGTGTGTTCAGGTCGTATTCCTCGTATTTTCTCACCAAGTGTCTGCTCTCGTTGTTCATCTGTCGAGAATCCGGCGTCGAAAACCCAGAGGATACAAGACATTGGGTCGTATGGATTTCTGTATGACGAATAACTTCACGTTACTGACATGGAGTATTCCCTAGGCTACATCAGCATTTTCGGCAGGGACAGAATCTCTGGATATGCCGGAGTGAATGGGTCCAGGTTCATCCTTTTGGGGAGGTTTACTGAGACTGGGTTTTGACGAACCCAGGTTGAGATGAGGAGAGTGCCCTTGGCATGGCGACTGTTGACCTTTCGAAAATTCAAGTCACTGACCTGGTTGAGACAGAAACGATTGAAGGGATACGAGTTGCGAGTGAAGGGAATCAAAGCACAAGCCTCACGTACCAACCTGGAAGGTTTCCCGATCACACTGGCTGTTCACTTCCAGTCGCCTCGATATAAAACCGGTCCTTCCTCATTTCTCTGTTTCGCTCCTTCCTCTTCTATACACCATCCTCCTACATCCACCAAAACCCACCGAAACACAATCGCACTTGCAAAATGGCGGACTTTCCCCAGCGCAACAAATCATTCGACTCGATGGCGTACCGCAGCCAGGCTGCGTACAATGCCTCGCGCCGACAATCTAACGACAAGCACTCCGAGCCCGCGAAGTCGTTCAACACGATGACGTACCGTAGCCAGGCCGCGTACGATTCCGCGCGCAGTCAATCTAACGAAAAGTCCTCCGAGCCCACCAAGCCATTCAACAAGAATGTATACCGCAGCCAGGCCGCCTACGATGCCTCGCACGGAGAATCTAAGGCGCAGCACTCCGAGCCCAAGAAGTCGTTCAACCGGATGGCATACCGCAGCCAAGCTGCCTACAATGCCTCCCGCGGACGTCCGAACAAGAAGCACTCCGAGTCGGCTAAGTTGCAGCAGCCCAGTGTCGCCTCGAAGACCACTACCTCGCAGCAATATCACCCTGCCGCGAAGAGAACCACCACCTCAAAGGAGCAAAACCCGAGCGACGATCTCCACGTCATGACGGACGCCGAGGTAAAGCAATGGTTTGCTGAAGCTGAGGCCGACTACGAGGCGGCGAAGAAGGTATGGAACTCCATCTAGGTCAGCTAACGCATTCACTTGCTAATTCAACATGCTTCTTCATAGAGGGGAGAATTCGACAACTACGTGCCCGCGGCAGGCCGTGCTCCTGACTTCAGCAAGTTCAGACAACAATTCGATGCCAACGGAAAGCCTGCCAAGGGTCTTGCCAATTCCAGGCATGCCCGGAAGGCACCCGAGGATGAGGAACCCGAGAAGAAGTGATGGTAAGAGATTCCCCCGGTCCAAGCAATGTAGGATATGGAAACTGACTGAGAGTAAAGATGTCCCGACAATGTCCAAACGATCACTTCCGCCAATATTTCATCCTGTGTCGGCGTGTCGACATGTGTGGCCAAGGATGAATAAGCTGTTCAAGGGGTGACATGGAAACTCAGGGAGTAGTAAGACAGGGCGGCGTTTCACAAAGGAAGACATCACGCCCGAGGGACAAGAACTGTCATATACGGAGTCGATGATTAATAGGAATGTTTGGGAGCTAGTGGGCTCGCGACCCTTTGCAAAGAAAACCCTATTTGACTCAGTCGGCTGTACTTCCAGCTACCGGTCTTTTACTTCGATTCAAACTGTTGGGCCGCCGCCACCTGGTAAGGTTGGCTGGCACTTGGCCCACTTTCACTTCCAGACCACACCAGTATTTTTTCCTTCTTTCTTTCTCTTCCCGTAGCGCTTTCTTTCTGAATCATCCACAATATCATCACTTCTTTCTTTGATTCAGCGGATCGCTTCCCACAGGTTATGAGCCCGGAACCGCTTCGCGATCTTCGAAGTCAACAATCGAGCCGCTTCGTTACGAGGTTTACAGCAAATTCAAGCACACCCTATAGGGAGAAAGTCCTGGTGTTTTGATTGATTTGCACGCCCATCAACGAACGCGACCTTCTTGTCGACCCCGCATCGCGCCCTCCATCAACAGTTGTATCTAGCCCATACGACTCACCTTTCATACGACTCACCTTTCTTTCATCACCTTTTCTTTCAACGTCACCTTTCCTTTACGTCGTTATCTACAGCTTCGAGCGAAGTCTTCTTTCCTTTTCAGTCTACTCTCATCCACCGTCATCATGGCTTTGGAGGTCGGAATGAACATCGAGCAGTTGCTCGGTGAGTCCAACATCGACAGTTGGGACAACGCCCTTCGTAACACTCTCGACGTGTACGGCTTACTCAACTATCTCGACGAGGATGTTCAACCTCCCACTCCAAAAGACCCGGACGCCCCGACTGCGGCTGAGAAGAAGGCTGCCGAGGGCTGGCGTGTTGAACGCGCGCGTGTCTTACTTGCCATCACGAATTCCATGAAGAGTCGGAATGTCCAGATTCTCCTTCAGAATTCGGGTTGGAATCCTGCTGACCGCGACCCCAAGCGCCTCTACGACCTCATCAAGCGTGTGGTTCCCAAGGTCTCCCAGGAATCCATCGGCATGGTTATCAAGGAGTATACCAGTCTCAACCGTGCCTCCTTTGACTCCATGGCTTCTTTCCTTAACCGTCATTTCTTTCTTCGTAAACGTTGGAACGATCTTAAGCTTACAGTCAGTCCTCAGGTCGAGATTTGGTTCCTTCTCAACGGACTTGAATCCTCCTATCCTCTCCATCACCGTCTTTGGGTCAACGACCTGACCAACGGTCACCTCACCATGTCCGATTTGCTCGACAAGCTCAATACCATAGCGACAACCGAGGCCACGACGCCGGCCTTGTCGGTGCAGGTTAAGGCTGGGACCAAGGAGAAAGAGGATACGAAGTCCAGCAACAACAAGAAGGACAAGAAGAAAGGCCGACGCGAGATGATCGACTGCACTCATCCCGGCTGCAAGCGTCAGATTCCTACCGGCTTCGTCCATGCCGCTTGTGGTCATCACAGAAACCCCGACAATGACGTCTGTTGGTGGTGTGAACCAGACAAGGCACCAGCTACTTGGCAGAACAAAGAGAAGGCCATCAAGGCTCTGCAGAAGACATCTACAGGCACTACCGCTCTTGTCGTCCACAACTCAAGCAATCTCAACAATCCGGCCACGACTGGATCCAACTTGCTGTTCGCCAACAGTATCCCGGAATTCAGCATGCTGGGCGCTATACTCAACCCAGCGGGTTTTCACTAGAGCTCCCAGCAATACCCTTATTCGCTGAAGTCCAACAAGCTCATGAGGCATTCACCAAAGACAGTGTTGTATACGATACCGGTGCGGCGACCACGATCTTCAACCATATCAAGTGGTTCACCGACTTGCAACCTTTGCCTCAACCTATGACCTATGTTATAGGTGATGGTAGGACTCACTATGCCTACCATGTGGGCACTGTTGAGCTCACCATACCGTCAGACGACGGCGCCTTTGTTCGAGTTACTATCAAAGATGCTTATTATTGTCCAGTTACACCCGCTAACCTTCTCAGCCGACAATCAATGCTCGACGCTGGAATGGAATGGAATATGCGGTCCAATTCTATTGTGTACGCTCACACGCCCAAGACCACCAAATGTGGCACTCTTCGAGGAGGAGTACCGGTTATACCGACTTCCAAGCCTCCCGACTTCAGTCAAAATCGGATCACCCCCGGCCACGCCCTACTCGCCTCAATCAATTACCAGACCATGCACCGACGTTTGATGCACGCCGGGAAGGAGACGGTTATCAAGGCTTGCAAGGATGCTGGGATCGATCTCAAGAACATCAACAACGACTTCTGCGAGGACTGTGTCTTCGCCAAGTCACAAGACGTTATTCCCAAGACATCTCACCCGGTCGCTACCAGGCCATTGGAGTTCGTCAGGATTGACGTCATCTACAACAAGGAACCAGGCCACCTTGGCTACCATTATACGGTCCACTTCGTCGACGTTCTTACAGGCTATCACTGGGTACGGTTCTGTGCCAATAAAGGTGATGCTTTTGAAGCCATCAAAGAATGGAAGACTTGGGTGGAGACTCAAAGCGGCCTCAAAGTCAAGGTTGTTGGCATCGATGGCGGTCCTGAATTTGGATTGTCAACCTCTGATTTCCAAAAGAGCAAGCTTGTCGTGTGGGCAAGACAAGAAGGCATGGAGATCTACAAGTCGACGGCCCATTCACCCTGGATGAACGGCAAAGCAGAAGCGGCGGGCAAGATTATCATGACGCGCAGCCGCGCCTTAATTATCGAGCACAAGATTCCAGTCAAACTGTGGCCCTTTGTCGTCGACAGCGTAGTCAAGATTCTCAATCTTCTACCTTCCAAGTCCAACCCAGAACACAAGAGTCCTCACGAACTCTTCGCCAGAGCAGCCAATTTGCCAGAGTCGTCAGTCAAACCGTATATACGCCACCTTCGCAGCTATTTCTGTACTGCTTACTATCACATCAAACCTCAGAAGAGAGTGCAAGGCGACAAGTTCGCTCCCAGGTCACGAAAGGGTAAGCTTATTGCTTACGATGACCTTCACGGCCGTATTTACCGTATTTGGGATGAAGAACTGGGAAAAGTCGTCCGGGCAAGTGCTGTCCGATTCCATGAGGGTGATCACGACAATCAGGATCTTCCTGTCGAGGATACTGAATATGAAGTCATCTTTAATGACCAGACTGTTCAGGAGATTGAGGAGGTTATCGCCAAAGGCCAGAACATCTACGTTACAGTGCAAAATACGTGGAAGCCGGATGTCGAGGAAGAACCACAAAGCCCCAAAGCACGGGAGCCACCTTCCCAAGACTCATCGCTCAAAGCGCCACCCGTCCAAGAACCCTTTCAACCTCCATATCTCACGCCTTCTGCTACACCAGACCCTAGCTCACAGTCTACACAGGTCACCCAAGCCCAGTCTGAGAAGACTACCGCTGAGATAGCGATTCCCTCTATTGAACCCGTCGAAGAAGTCATCTTTCAGATGGACGACGAGGACTACAGAGATTTGGAAGGAGAGGCTCCCATTCCCCCAGAGGAACACCCTTTCCCGGAAGATTCACCAAATCTGGGCGTGACAGCCGCTTCGGCAGTTCGACCCCAGACTCCTCCGCCTTCCCCTTCCCCTGCCAATATCCCTCTCCCTCCCCCTACCCCTGGAGAGGACATGGTGGAGCAACCGGTACAACCTCAACAAGCTTCTTCTCGACCTCGACGAGCTGCGGCACAGAAACCTGAAGGTTTCAAATATGGCCAGGAGCAAGTCACTGATGGCACCAAGAAGCTGGTGTTCTTACACGGTAATTCCCCACCCAAAGCTCATTCTCTTCCAGTCTTTTATTATGGCATTGATGAACCACGCATGGTTCTGCCTCAGGTTGTCTGCCTTACCTCTATCAAAGTCGACAATGATCTTCGACACCTTGATAAATCTAGTATCCCGAAGAACTATCGTCAGGCCCGGCGCTTGGCCAACTACGAGAAGTGGTGGCTTCCAGCGATGAAGCGCCAGGTCCAGTCCTTGGAAGATCAAGAGGTGTACTTCCTTGTCAAAAAGAAGGATGGTATGAAGGTCTTGCCAGGAAAATGGGTGTACGACGAAAAGATGGATCCACATACCTGTGAGCTTACTGCCCGAGCAAGATGGGTGGTGTGCGGTAACTTCGAAGACGGAGCCTGGAATTTCCAAGATGTTTACGCGGCTGTGGCAAACAGCGTCAGCGTTCGAACCTTCCTCGCCCTCATGGCTGCCTTGGACTTGGAATGTCACCAGTTCGACTTCAACACGGCCTTTCTCAACGCGCCCATTCCACCCGACGATATCTACTACGTCCAACAGCCAACTGGCCTTGAGAAAGGCCACGACATGGTCTGTCAACTGCGACGAGCACTCTACGGCCTCAAGCGCAGCCCTCTATATTGGTTCAAGACTTTGGTTCCCGTTATGAAGAAGTGTGAATTCGAGCCACTTGGTGCGGACTGCTGTCTCTTCCGTAACGACAAGCTTGGTGCAATGATTGTCCTGTATGTGGACGACTTCCTCATTGCAGCAAAGACTGTCGATACCATCAACGAGATTAGCGGGAAGCTTGCTCAACACTTCAAAATGAAACACCTGGGAGAAGTCAAGACGTTCTTGGGCTACGAGGTTATTCGGAATCGCTCACAACGTACAGTCTTTGTGACACAGGAACGATACACCAGATCGTTGATATCCAAGTTTGGGTATGAGGGTCTTCACGGCGTCAAGTCTCCTTGGCCACCCAACTTCGTCTTGGAAGATGGCGATTTACTCCCCAACGAAGGGAAGCCCTACTTGAAAAAGACAGGCTCGGTCAATTACCTCTCGACAGGCACCAGACCTGACATCACTTACACGGTAAATCGATTGTGCGAAGGCAACGCTAAACCTACAAATCGCCATCTTGAGTTGATGAAGCACCTCTTCCGCTATCTCATCCATACGGCTGAGCTTGGTATCCTTCTAGGTGGAAAGCCGTCTCCAGGCAACGACAACGTCATCAATCTGCGTCTTCGAGCATATGCGGACGCCTCATTTGCCGACGAGAAATTCACGCGCCATTCGACAGGTGGCCATGTGGTGTTTTTGGGAGCTGGTCCAGTATACTGGAAGTCGAAGAAACAGGCCTTTGTGACACTGAGCACCACCGAGGCTGAACATTCGAATCTCACCCCGGCAGCAATATCTGCGCTTTGGATCTCGGGCATGCTTGCAGAGCTGGGAGCTCCCCAGCCAGCACCCTCGTTGATCTACACCGACAGCAAGAACGCTCGCCACCAGGTCATGAATCCACAGGTCGCGGCAAGGAACAGATGTATCGATGTACGGTATAAGTGGTTGATTGAGCAAGTCCAACAGGGCAAGTTCACGGTCACCCACATTCCCGGCGATGAGATGATCGCTGATGGCTTCACGAAGCCACTCAACGCTGAAAAGCACGGAAAATTCGTCAAGATGCTAGGTTTGGCATCCAGGAACATTGTCTCGTAAGGAAGCAGGTACATAGGGAAACAGGACAGGGCTGAAAGAGCCACAGGGGGTGGAAAACACCAAGAAAAGTATCACGGGATTGTTTACATGTATGATAGCTGTGTTGGTCTGAGGGGGTGTGTTGGGCCGCCGCCACCTGGTAAGGTTGGCTGGCACTTGGCCCACTTTCACTTCCAGACCACACCAGTATTTTTTCCTTCTTTCTTTCTCTTCCCGTAGCGCTTTCTTTCTGAATCATCCACAATATCATCACTTCTTTCTTTGATTCAGCGGATCGCTTCCCACACAAACACTCGTCTGAGGACCTCTTCTGATGTTGGGGAATATCTGGTTCGACCTCAAGTAACAATATCTTAGGCTGTGATTAATGAAAAACATTCTTGCTGCTACAATAATGCTTTCACGCTGGTCTTCATATTGGGTAGACTCCTATATAGAATCCCTCTCCCCCTTACTTCCTTTTTTCATATCGTCAATCTCTGTACCCATTTCATTTTCTTAGCTTATCAAAGAACAAAACGCCACGGCAAATCGGCGGCCTTAATCATGTTTGACATCCCCCAGTACAGCTCTATAACACCGTTCGACCCTACGGCTCACCGCGGTACCGGGTATCAGAACGCCATGAATAACAGTGAGGCTTATTACAACACAATGCTTGAGATCAAGAACAAGCAATCGGGTGTTCCTTACAACGTCCGCACCCCGAGATTTTTCAACTTTCCGATTCTGGAGCCGTTTTACCACAATGTTTACCGGAGCATTGCTGCGTACAACGCGATGCTCGAGACCAGGGACAAGCAGTCGGATGTTCCTTACCAGTCCCACACTCCCAAGCAGCAAGTTAAGTGAAGGTGTCTTGAGATCAGACTGAAGGGTGCCGGTCCCCACCTAAAATTCACTCCCAACGACCATTCACTCATACCTGCACTTCACTCCCGTCTGCTTTTATGGTTTGCCACTCCCATTGCTTCCATAAAAAAACCGCCTCTCTCCCACTTCCTCCATTTGTTTTTGTCGTCCTCTGCACCCATTCTCTCCCTTTACCAAACACCAAAACACAGCATCACGTCGACGACTATCAACATGTCCGACTTCCCGAAAGACACCAAACCCTTCGAGCGTAATGCTTACCGCGGCTCGGGATATTCCAACACCATGCGCAACAAGTCCAAGCAGGCATACCGCCCCAAGCAGCGCGGTGGCTCCCAGTCCCAGCACTCACGCAACCCCGCGAAAGCCTCCACCTCGAGCTCAGGCCAGCAGGCTCCCGATGCCGACGTCCCTCATTTCATGACGGACGCTGAGGTGAAGCAATGGTTCAAGGAGGCGGAAGAAGAGTACGAAGCTGACAAGAAGGTATGAGAACCAACCTCTCTCGTTAATCATCTCACAATGAGAGTCATTACGTTCTACCTAGGCCGGTCGCTTCGATACTTATGAGTTGGCCGGTGGCGTAGCTCCGGACTTTTCAAAGTTCAAGCAGGAATTCGACGCCGACGGCAAGCCTTTCAAGGGCCTCAAGAATTCTATGCATGCCGTCAAAGTGCCCGAGGCTGATGATGATCAGCATCAGAAGAAATGATGGTAAGTACTTCATCCGGTCCCAAGATTATACGTTTTGGAGCTAACCGAGTGTTCAGGACCCTCCAAAGCGTTGATACGACCACTCCTGCCGACATTTCAACCTGTTGAGGCGATGTATAGGCAAATGAGGCCCAAGGCAGATTAGCTAGGATAGGGTAACAGGAGAACTCAGGAGCTGTAGTTGTGCTCAACGTTTACCCAAAAATAGGGAGTCGATTACACTATGAGGCGTTCGTTAGACAGGTGGCTTTCCCGCCCTCAGGTAGCAGGGGAATTGACTGTCATCTCGGCGGACAATGCTTTTTGTCAGCGATTTCGTAACTTACCGCCCTTACCTGACAACCTTTCCGTGGTCTCGTTTATGTAATTTTCGTGTGACTTTCTTGCCTCTCCTTATATGTCAGTGAATGTCGCTAGTACATCATGGATAGGTCAATTGGTACTCCCACCTGATTTTCGTCTGAACAGAATCAGATTTGCTGCCAAGTGTCGACGACTGGCACCGCCGATTTCCATCTTTATGTTCGCAAAGTCAAAATTAGGGTGAACGGAGTGAAGAGTCTAGACAAAGATTCCTGGTCCCCACTTACCTACACTTCACTTCCACCTTCCTTCTATATACTACTTAAGACCTGCCCCTCCCCTCAATTTCTCCTTGGTTCCTTTTCCATTTCCACATCGCTCCTGCACATCCATTACCCACTGAACGACCCGACGCAAACCGCCATCATGTCGGACACCACTCGGGCCCCCAGCCCCAAGCCGTCATATGCCGACCACCAGCCCAAAAATATGGGACAGTGGGCAATCGATCCAGACACCATTTGGGTCAGCCCGAAGCCGTTCAATCAAAAGGCCTACAGGAGCAAGGCCGCTTACGCTGAGCACCTACGCAAGCATGGTGAACAGTTGGAGATCGCGTCGAACACCACTACCACTCCGACCACCAGTCTGAAGCCGTCCTCCGCGAAGGCACACAGGAGCAATGCCGCTAATGCCGACCATCTACGCAAGAGTGGTGGACATTTGGAAGTCGCGTCGAACACCACTACCACTTGGACCCCCAGCCTGAAGCCGTTCAATCAAAAGGCCTACAGGAGCCGCGCCGCTTACGCCGAGCACATGCGCAAGCATGAGGGACAGCACACCACTTGGATCCCCAGTATCAAGCCGTCCTACGCGAACGCGTACAGGAGCAAGGCGGCATATGCCGAACACCTGAGCAAGCATAGTAAGTAGTCGCAACCATCCTCCTCAAGCGCCGAGCAGCCAGCTTACAACTGAAAACAGCCTGAGATGAGTTTGCTTAGCCCCTTGCCATCGAAGCTACCAACGGAGACACTGTGAGGCCTGGCCACAACAGACGGCTCAGTGGCTCGAGACGCTAGGAAATTCCGGGTGATCAACTCTGTGAGAACCAGGCCGTGAGAAGGCAATGGCAAGGACATAGCCAGCTACGACGTGAAGGAAAGGAATTGGAGGAAAACGAAAAGCTTGGGAAGGTACAATATGCGGTTAGCTTGGAGGGGTGTTTATACCTGTATTCTTGGGATGTCCCATTGCTAGGTAGACCTTCTAATCAACCACCACCTTTCCATCCGAAAGAACATCCTTGTCGAACCCGGCCATTGGGGCTTTCAGGTCCTATCGTGAAGGCGTTTTACCACAACGACTATCGTAGCTAAGCCCACTACGCCGAGGGCCTGCGCAAGACTGGGCGGGCCACAGTGATTCTCACACCCGGATACCGAGCACCCCACGGACTATGAAGTGTTTCAAAGGCCCCAGGATAAATTCAAGCCCGAATTAGTCAATTTCAAGACTCATGTCAATGCTTCCATCAACTCAATGATTTAGAGGATGGATTGGAGAAAAGGACGCTCGAACTTAGTCATCATAGACCGTGAGCCGAAGTCAGCAAGGAATGGGTACTCTTCGAACTCTTATATCGAGTGACCAGAACAAGAATTGGTCCCTAACTATCGCCCGGGAACTTTTTTCTTCCACGATAATGCGAGGATTCAATCTTCGAGGGAAAAAAATACCTTGACCCCTGGACACTCGTGGGATCTGGTGCATAGAGCATCCACCACACTCTCCAGATCTCAACCCCATCGAACACTTTTGGCGCAAGATGAAGCCAATAAGGTATCGAGAAAAGAGTTTTCAGTGCTTCATTTATTGACCGAGAACGAGGAGAATATCCGCTGGTGATATTACTTCGGCCTCGCTGGAGCATCTGGGCTGGACAAAACGGAGGACGGTAGAATAATGGCGACAGACAGTCCGAGTGTTCGGCTGGCTGCTGAGAGAACTTGACATTGCTGTTGCTTTCATCATGGCCTCACTTTGCGGTCTTCAGCACTTGCTTCCCCGACTGCGATACTCGGTATCAAAACATTTTCATGTGGGGTATATCTTTCCTGAGATTTGGATGAAGGCCGAGTGATGACCTTCTCACCTTCAAAGACTGGGGTGAACGAGTGACGTGATCTCGGTCCCCGCTTGCACTTGCCTTCCACTTGCCTTGTCAATACGTACTTGCCTTCTCAATAGGTACCCCCGCCTTCTCAATAGATACCAGCCTCCTCAATAGGTACTTGCCTTCCGTCTCAACTCTCAATAGGCCCGGGCACTTGCCTTCTCAATATGCACTTGCTTTCACAATAGCAACTTGCCTTCTCAATATGTACTTGCCTTATCAATAAGGTACTTGCCTTCCAATAGCACTTACCTTCTCTATAAATACCTTTTCCACCCCTCCATTCCTTCCCTCTCTTCCTTCCCTCCTTCCTTCCTTCTTACATACCGTCATCTTTTCTGCTGATCCCAACACAAACCAACACATTATCACAAATCGCAAAATCGCAACCATGTCCGACTTCCCCACCTATACCAAGCCATTCAACAAGAATGCGTACCGCAGCGCTGCTGCTTACAAGTCGCATCTTGAGAGTCAGCGCATGAAAGCATCACCCATTTCTCACCAAGCGCCCCGTACAATCACCCGTCCAACCCCCCGTCCAACCCTCCGTACAGTCCCCCGATACAGGGCCCCGCGCGCACTGGCATCGCCCAAGTTGATGACAGATGAGGAAGTCAGAGCTTGGTTCAGGGAAGCCGAGGAAGAGTATGAAGCCAAGAAGAAGGTTTGTTACCCCTGATCACTTGATCAAAGTCTCAACCCTCACGCAGCGATCACTAACATATCTTGTCGGCAGGCCGGCTACTACGACGACTACGTCCCGGCCGCTGGACCCAGCCGCGCCGTCCTAGCCAACACCACCAATTCGCTGCCGAAAAGGAAGACCGGGTTGGAGAATTCCATGCACGCGCCCAAGAAACAGTCGATCACCTCGACCCCAGCCTTCGCGGCTGTGGCGATCCGTCGCTGAGGGGAGGGTGAAATTCTGGACCTCGGTTTCCACGGAGGGGCGATGGTTTGAGCCAGATGTGAGGAGGAGTGAGCAGTGGGAGGTTAGTGGGAGGTTACTTTGCTTTCTCAACAATATCGCATGTTCTGGTTGATGGCTTAAGGGTATCGGTGCATTGGTGGAGAGTTTAGGAGTTTATGCCTTTTTCATTCTGGCCCAGAAGAATCGCGGGATGGGGCTCACCAGGGAAGTAATGGGCGGAGTATGTGCTGAGAGGGGTGTGGATCTCTCTGTGAGATCTTTGCGATGTGGTAGAAGTCAAAGACCTTCCGTAATGACGGTCTGATATCCAGCTTCACGGATACAAAAGACAGAATCTGTTGCTTCCATGATCAATCCCCTTGTTGCCGTGAGTGATTGTCCCAATGTGATCGCCGAGTGAGCTTGTCGTTAGCAGTAGTTGAGGATGAAGTGAAAGTGTCACGAGTGTCGTGCATGTTCTCCGCCGTAAGCACCGAGTCTCTTGCCAAGCTCCCATCTGTAAGTCGTCACCTGTTTGCTTTGTTTCCATGCATCGCAGCCTGGCACCAATGCATCTTTCAAATCCATCCTGACCATCCGTCACTCGCGGTGTCTCCGTTCTTCTGTCGCCAGGTAGTATTGCGAGGCTCTGCTGTGGAGACTCGAGACACGTTCAAGCAAGGTCAAGGGAGGTAGGAATGGGAGGGCTAAGCGCGCTTAATCCGGTCTTTCGGATCTACGATGCCTGTGGAAGTTGGATTTTGTCTCAGACACTAGTCTGGTTGACGGACAAAAGGAGTGCTGACCAGCGAGTCTGGTTATAGAACGGCATTGGCTGGCATCAGGGGGTGAAGAATGGCCGGAAACTCGGCATCCAAAGATTTAGTGCAGTAGGTATGTCGTAGTGTCCGTTGTTGCTCGGAGAGAGCTGAGCCTCCGTCTCTGTCACATATCGCCAGTCCAGTGAGACCAGGAACCCGCTTCAGCCCAAGGGCGTGTTCCAATTTTCCAACAGTTGATCCAGTCTGTTAATCCGTGTACAAAGCAAAATATGCAGCCTTTCACAAGGGGCCTCTTGTACCCCTTGCCAAGCTCGAGCCAAGCCCGGCCTTAGCGCTACAGGGGGTGGAACTTTGAGCTCGATTTAGTCGAATTTTGAAGGTATTCAGAAATGGGAAAAAAGAGCTGCATTCGATAGCAATAAGTTGAAAGTATCGGTGTTTGAAATTTCTAAGAGGTACAGCAAAGAATGGTGGAGATATCATCGATCAACAGCAAAAAAGTAGCCTTTTTCTACTTTTTCTAATTAACCCGGCGCGAACTATTACAGCTAATCTAATTGGCTACTAAAGCCTCATACAGGCTGAAAAGCCACGTACAAGGGGGCCTAGCTAGCGTAGTACGTGCCAAGCTCCTGAACGTCTTCTTTGAGCAAAAAATAGAAATTTTGGCTATAATTGCCACAAATGTTGTTACTATTGTAGGGATAGCGTCATAGACGTCAGGAGATCAAAAATGGAAAGGTGCTGCTGAAACTTTAAATAAGAATCCTACAAATATACAGTGTGATCAACTGCATATTTACTGTATATCAACAACAGGGGTCGATTTTGTATGGGGGATTGGATCAACGGGGAGATTTTGGAACACGCCCCAAGTGACAACTCACTTGTCGAGTGTCAAGCCATGTGTTCAAGTGACAATACATGCAGCTCTGCAGAACAGTGTGCATAGGTATCACGTCGAGTTACATGCATCAGGGGACGGTGGTATAATGTATCAAGAGCCGAGGCGAGAGGTAAGTTGGACGGATGGCAGTCTTCTTGAGCGACAAGGCAAGGCGTTCAGAAATGGCCGCCGTTGATGAGGGAGGGTCTTCAAGTGGGTAAGAGCTCGCCACGTATGGGTTCGGGGTAACCATATGCATGGTATTGATAAGGTAGAGGACGGACGAGGTTTGGGGATTGGAAACACCGTCATTTTGCTTTCCTCGGTTTGATGCTCCATCGAGTAACTGGCTGGAGTAAGGTGCTGACGTGACTTTGATAGGAGAACATTGGCGGGATTCCCCGGATATTGGGTCCTGATGAAACACCATGGGTTGTTCCCTGTGTTACTTGTTTTGTTTCCCGCATTTCCAGAAAAGGGGTTGAGGACAGTCCGCGGCTCTTGGGTTCATTCTTGGCACTCGAGTCACGGCCTCACCGTCGGGCCAAAACATGCAACCTGAAATCAACGGCCGGACGCACCCAGGAATCATTGTTAACCAGACGGACGCCTTGTTTGATTCGGCAGCGATTGATGGCTGCCTAAACCAGTCTCTTCGGAGCCAAGGCCGTCTATGATTCGCGAGCTGTGCGGCGGAGCCTCATGTAACCATAACTCTGCGGAAGCTGAGAAACCCAAATTCCATAGTACGGGGTAATGAGGTCGGAGGTATGTATTCCATAGAACGGCCGACTGGTCAGCGATCAGCGGAGAAGTTTTCGAGCAGCTTGATGGGTTGTCCCAACTGTGAAGGGCCGGGGTAGGAACCCCGCGGGGATGAACGACTTCCTCTTCTCACCCCCTGTAATACACACGCATATGTGGCGTAGCCTTCACCAATTGCACGATTTGTGACAGCCACACCTGAGGGAAATTTCTCTCGCCGGTGTTATTCTGTGCCTCGTCGTGGCAGTGAGTCGGTGTTTGAGGCCGAAGTCTGGTGATCTTTTCGCGGAACGCTTTTCGAGTAGCACAACATAAAACTCTCGACAGCTTTCCACTGACGAGGAGCTTGACAATCAGTGTTCGCTGGCGCCCGATCCGGATTCGCTCTCACAGGAAGAACCTTCTTGTCTCGGGAGTGGCATATAGGACATAGATGTGGTGTTGCGTTGGCGCTATGGCCAGAGCTTGACATGGGTAGCGAACGAGCCAAATGCCGGACTGGTACGGTGGCCCAAGTGTTGGCTATGCTCAATTGAAAGTTGGTCCGAGGTCTCAACTGCACCCAGCTGCCAGCCTTTTTATATTAACGCCTCCATATTATTTATATACTCAAATTGGAAGACTCACCTCCATCCAAAGGTATTACATTATCCATCACATTTACAACTCCTATCAACTCCTATTAACTCTTATACCTCTTATTAACTCTTATATCTCTTATCAACTCTTATTCATTCCTATTGCCCAGAGAGAGTAAAAGGGATAAGGATATCTATTTATATTAATACTCTACCCCAAAGTCCAAAATTTAGAGAAGAAGCGAAAGATCTATTTGCACTACTACCTTAAAAAAGTCTTGGCAAATCTCGAGGCTCTCATTTACTTTCTAACTAAAATTTGGAAAAGAACCGGAGGATCCATTTGTACTACTACCCTAAATTTTGGTAAACCTCGAGGTTCCCAAATCTTATTAACTCTCAGAATCTCAGCTCATTATACCCCTTCGACTTCAATTAACTTCCATTGCCTCTAGTTGTTTTATTACTTCATTACTTCATTACTTCATTACTTTATTACTTCATTGCTTTATTACTTTATTGCTTCATTACTTTATTGCTTTATTACTATATTGCTTTATTGCTTTATTGCTTTATTGCTTTATTGCTTTATTGCTTTATTGCTTTATTGCTTTATTGCTTTATTGCTTTATTGCTTTATTGCTTTATTGTTTTATTGCTTCATTACTTCATTGCTTTATTGCTTTATTGCTTTATTGCTTTATTGCTTTATTGCTTTATTGTTTTATTGCTTCATTACTTCATTGCTTCATTACTTTATTAATTTGATAGAGGGTATTGTATTAGATTGTAGAAACTACCCTTTAGTGTGAATCTAGTGCCTACAGCTGGCACGGGCCATTTTCTGACCAAACTTTTTCAATTAATCATAGCCAACACTTAGGCCACCGTAGACTGGTGAGGGTGATCGTCAGGTAGACAACGGGATGGACCGTAACAGTTCCTACACTCAAGCACCTTGACAGTTGCCAAGACTTTCCGAGAATTGAACTGACCACAACTTTTTGACTAACGGACCATCAAAACGAAAGACGAAAATCAAGAAACTCAATTATATCATCAGAAAGAGTACTCTCTTGATAGTTTCAAGCACGCTGATGTTGAATCTACAATCATTTTTCTTTCATCTCCTCATTTGGTGGAGATATGGGCAAATGAAGTCTTGTTCTTTTCGTTTCGATGGTCCGTTTGCCAAAAAGTTGTGGTCAGCTCATGAAACTGTCAAGGTGCTTGAGTCTTGGCAACTGTCAAGGTGCTTGAGTGTGGGAAAGACATGGGGTCTCCTAGGTTCGACCAGGTACCATGAAGTGCTCCCCCTTCCCATGACAAGGTTTGGGAACAAGGGGTCTAAGACAACACGCCTATTCCCCACGTAAATTGCCAAGACAATGCCTATGGGTATGGGTTGTTCAGGTTCGTCCTACATGTGCCCGCAGATACTTGTCTCCCGAGAATCTTCACTCTTTCCTACTGTGGTAATCCCGATACAACTCGAACAGAAGCAAAACCGGCAAGGCAGAGCAAGGCCACAAGATCTCGGAACCATTTCGGGATAAGTGTGTTTCGATTGGGCAGCAACGCCAATCTTGTCGTTGATCCTCAGAGCCCTAATTGTCCTATGAGAAGTCTGGAGGAAGCATCTCAACCAGAGGATAGGCGTCACGAAAATTACATTGGGGCGGCGCCGGGGATGTTGGCATGCGTGTATTGCGTACCACTCTTTCTTGCGCATCTTGCAGTGCACCGCGTATGAGAATCGTTGGGAAAGAAATCAGACCAGTCCGCGCTTAGCGACTGATGTGACTCCTTGTGTTGCGACCTTGCTGTTTGAGGTTTTCGTAGACAGTGTTTCGAGGATCTGGACGGAGCTGAATGCTGGTCACCCAGCGAGTATCAACTCCATCATGAGACGCCAACTGGACGTCCCGACGACTGGTTGGGTACAGGCTGGTCAACGCTCAGTTGGAAGCGCAGAGCCGCATAACCAACTATCAAGCCGGTTGAGGTTAAATAGGGGTGGATAACACCGCAGTAGGTCTGAATCCTTTCTCGATCTTCAACACTCCCAACCAACTCATCTCCAAGAACTCAAGCCCATCCAAGATGGCGACTTTGATCGATAACATCCACAGGCGTGCCCACCGGGTGCACTCCCGCTTCTATCCCCATCACGGCCATCGTCACGCGGCAAAAGACTCTTATATGACATTGACAATCCGTAATCTTCCATTGGGGACCACGGAAAACGACGTCTTTGAGCATATCCGGCGACAACGACCCGATTCTGACCCCATTGTCAATCCCCTGACCAAGGAGACGAACCAGCGCACGCTCTGCGCGGTCGTCACAATTCGGCAGGAGACAGAGGAGAAATGTAAAGCTTTGCGTGACAGGCTCAACCTTACGCGCATCTACCCAAAGCATCCAGCGGGTGATGTCAGAGATTCAGCTGTCATGGTGAGCGATGAGTTTCTCGGTGTAACAACCATCGCCGAGCACGATGACCCTCAATTCGAGTAAGCCGACTTTCCATAACCAGGCTTCATGTTCGACGATGAGAGCTTCTCGCTAACAACACTGCCAACCACAGTATGTACTTTGTTCATGGTCTCGGAGGACATGCCTTCAAGTCTTGGAGCACGGACAAAGGCGCGCCTCACATGTGGCCCAGAGACTTCCTTCCTGACGATGTCAAAGCGAGGCCGCTGAATCCCATGAAGTGGGAAGGTCGAAAGTTGGCCGGTCGCTTTGCAACCGTGGGATATCGTGCAAGCGCCATGTTTGCTTCCGCTGCCACTGCAACGATCGACAAGATATCGCAGAATTTCCTCAACCATCTCAGGGCTGACCGGACTGAGGTGTGTCCAGCTACCACAGTTTTGTCTGCTTGTTCCTGACTGACTTGCATTACAACAGGGATCCAAGCGCCCAATGTACTTTGCTTGCCATAGCCTTGGAGGCTTGGTCGTCTGCCAGGTATGGGAAGCCCTGTCGACTCGAGGATCTGATGTGGTCTTGTCTAACCGTCCGTTCTTCTAGGCCCTTATTCATGCTCTGTCGGAAGAGTCACACAGGCTAGAGCGATTCCAAGACTGCCAAAGTACATTCTTCAACGGAGAAGAATGCCTTGTCAAGGGGATCTTTTTCTTTGGCACTCCCTTCGTGAGTCCACAACCTCCGAACTCCTTGGAACCCCTCAATATGTCAGCGTTTGCTGACAAACAGCGATGACCACAGGAGGGCTCCAGACTAGCCAGATATGCCTCCCGCATCGTCAGGTTCCTGCACGGCAATGACACGCTCATAGATAGCTTGAGCATCCAGTCCGAAGACCTCAATACCATTGTTGCCAGGTTCGATCAGATGCGAAACAACCCACGGACGAGGATTCCAATTGTGATTGCATATGAGATGCAGCCAATGTTTGGCATGAGATTCGTACGTCGAAATGTCGTTTCTGTTTTCGATGATGGATCTCCTCTGAGACCCTAAGAACCCCGATCCAACCTAATGCTAACACATACTCTCAGGTAACCGACCCCGACTCAGCCATGAGCTCATTTGATTGCCAGACCATCGGCATCGAAGGCGACCACCGCACCATGATCAAGATGGAGCACAATCAGGACAGAAGTTACCGTGACGTCGCTGAATTCATAATCCGAATGATTCAACGAACACTCTCTGGATCCAGCAGTATCCCACCCTCTCCCGCAGCGGAGTTTGAGAGGGAAATCTTTCGGGAACTCCCTTTCAGACAGAGTATAGCGAGAGACGAAAGCCCCCCTCCATACCAAGGCCAAAATTCAGGACGGCCTTCCACAGAAAGTTCAGCCAGCAATGGAACATCGGCAACTCGCCCTTCTCCCCATTCCCAACCCGTAGGTTTGGGCATCAGCAACTCAAACCCTGAAGAGAACAACTCTCCTGGCAGATCCCGCTCCAACATAGTCCCTGTCAGGCTCAACGACATTATGATGCCTCTCAATCGTGTAACTGGTGGAAGGGAAGATAACCGAGAGTTCGCCCTGCTCTCAAAATTCGACGTCGTATTCCTTCTCGACGACACGGGATCAATGATAGAAGCTACCGAGGCGGCGCCCTCATCTAACGGCAACTGCGAGACAAAAGAGCGTTCGAAATGGGACGAAATGATCGAGTCTCTGCGCTACATCGTCGATATTGTGACACACTATGACCGTGACGGTGTAGATGTGCATTTCTTCTGCAACGAAGATAAAGACGAGTTTGGAATCCAAGATGGACAACGGGTTCTAGATCTCTTGACCAACGAAGTCAGTCCAGACGAGATTGGTGGCGGGACCTTCATTGCCGAGCGACTTTGGACAATCCTGACGGCTTATATCGACCGGTTCGAAAACTATCGGCGACGGATGGGAGAGCGGGCACCTCCTCCCGAGAAGCCAAAAATGTTGAACCTCATTGTGATCACGGACGGGGCAGCGGACGACAAGGATGCGGTAGAGGAGGTAATCGTCGATGCGGCGAGGAGGCTGGATGAACTGAGGGCGCTTCCAAACCAGGTGGGAATCCAATTCTTACAAATTGGCAAAGACGAAGCGGCTTCGAGATGGTTGAAGAAATTGGATGATGACCTGAACGAGAAGCATAGAATTCGAGACGTGAGTTGAGCCTTCCCATTCATCTTATCCCCCTACCCCGTTGAAGCGATACTAACAGAAAGCATGGGATAGATGGTTGACACCCGTCCCTGGGACAGAGTCGATGAGATCGACAAATCTTTGCAGGAGAGACTCACCGACATTCTCCTCGGCGGCATTGACAGAGCCAGAGACATGGAGTAAGCCCACAAGGACCGGACAAACGGGGTCCTTCTAATGCCCCGCCTGGGTGAAGGGGATGGAGCAGATTTCGAGCATGATGACACTTATGACAAGGTGTTTTAGGATTGATATTTTGTTGCTTCGGTTGGATTTGATCGAGGGCCACATTTGGTTAGCAGCGCACGCGGGCTACGAGGTCATGACGAATGGAAACACTTTCTTTTTGTCTTGATGAGTTATGATGGTGTCGCGGTGTTATGGCCCTTGTGAATCATTCATTGTTTCTTCTATAATCACTGCGAGAATCTCTTTTGTTAGGTTTCAGGACGACATAGCAATGCGTGGGCTGCCCTGACGGGTAAACCTACCTGTATGTTTCCCAGTTCGTGGAATACTCAAACAATTTTGGTCTCCACGCCTCGCTTCAGCCAAAGCACCCTATCCTCCACTCCTGCCTTTGCAAAGTCATTCGCTAGCTGGGTCCCTGATTCCATAAAGTGACTCCATGACTCGAAGTGCAGCGGCACAATAACATCGGCTCCGATATCCTTGGCCAACTGCGCGGCCTGGTCACCGCCCATGGTGATCTGTAGCGGGCCTCCCCCATCGGCACCTCCGCCGGGCAAGGATACCGTAGCCTTTCCGATGTTCAGCATCGCCACGGCAATGTGATATTTTTCCTTCATCTTGCCAAGCTCTTCGAGATGTATCGTGTCTCCGGAGAAGTATATCGCATTCGGACGACCGTCAGGCTGTGTTCCAAATGCCCCGTCTGGAGAGCTGACAATGAAGCCCACTACCTGACCACCAGGTAAGTGCTTGCATGGAGTGGCTGTTACTTCCAACTTCCGCGCCTTTCCCTCACCTCCAAGGTCAAGACAGACAGTTTCCCAGTTCTTAAGGCCCCGTACTCCTGGACGTGGAGCTAGTTGAGAAGCGCCGTCTCTGGTGGTGAGCACCCTCCGACCATCAAGGAGGCGTCGGCCGAGCTCATCTAGGTTATCCGGATGATCTTCATGGCTGAGTAGAACAGCATCGATGGGAGGGAGCTGGTCGAGAGTCAAGGCTGGGGAGTCGGACTTATTGATGACAAGACCGCGATACTCGATTTGGGTACCACCGGGACCGAACACGGGGTCTGTGATGAGGTTGATACGGTTTGGACTGCTTGGCTCACCAAGATGGATCAAGGCGGTAGCTGTACCAATGTTGGTAATGCTGAGGGGGTAATCAAACGAGGCTTGTGTCGAGGGCATGTTGAGAGAGATCAGGCGCCGTGGACAATCACCTTTTATGTCGAAGTCTGGTAGCCGTGAAAGTACACGAGTCTCTTATGATGCTCATCAAGCCGACCGAAATGTGCGTGTTTTAGGACATTCGATCAGCAGAACATAAATAGTTATGTTGAACCGGAGATATCGATCCCTCATCAGTGCGTAATGTGGGCATCATGAGCAACGGCGCCGCAGTGACCATGTTCTCCGCAGCAGTTCTCCAAACCGAATATCGGATGATGGTTCAAGGTTCAGGCATCGAAATGGCAGGAGTTGCAAGAGGCGTGGAGGAAGTCGACGTCAATCGTACATCGGCTCACTGGCCGGTCCGGAAGCCAATCGATGATCATGCTGGACCACCCTGAAAGTGACAGTGGGAAAAGTTGACCATGAAAGGTTAAGAGGTTTGATATCAAGGTGGAAAATTGACAATTGGAGAATTTGAAAATGGCAGAAGATTCCTCAATTTTGGTAAGGAAATTTGTGCAAAGTGGAAGTGTCTGGCATGTCATGAGAGGAAAGTGCGTTGTAGTCCAGTGTCGTCGTGATGGGCAGAGATAAGATAAGCTGATAACGGATAAGGAATGAGAACCCCGCGAGCTCCAACACTTGAGCGCTCGGGCCAGTTGCATTCACAACTTCATCCTCAGCTGGGGCGGAATGCGACAATGCAATGGACCCACCCGCCCAAGGCAACGAGAGCTTGAGGTAAGCTCCATCAATACGTACCTCCGTCCGTGCGTCAACGCCAGCCCATTGCCCGCCTGCCGACCGTTCAGTTGCATCAACACAACAACCCAATCTGGAACCAGTTCACCCATCAAACAAACCATTTCATCTGCCATATCCGAGTTCTTCGGCCTGCGAACTTACCGGTCTACCCACGACCCCGATAAACAGTCGACCAAGCCCGCGCCCCAACACAGCCTGACGTCACCTTTCCCCCACCTAAACAAACCGCCAGTCGTCGCATTATCTCCATAATAATGGCGGACCAGGAGCGCCAGCATGCCTTGGCCTCGTTCAAGGCGAAGCTGATCGAGTCGCGAGAGTGGGAGGCGAAGCTCAAGAACTTGCGTCTAGAGCTTAAGGGGCTACAAAAGGAGTACGACCAAACAGAAGAGAACATCAAGGCGTTGCAAAGTGTCGGCCAAATCATTGGCGAGGTCCTCAAGCAACTGGACGATGAGAGGTGTACGTCTTGCACCCTTCATCCATTATCTGGAAACCATCGCTAACTCACCATGCGACAGTTATTGTCAAGGCCTCCTCCGGCCCGAGATACGTTGTCGGCTGCCGATCAAAGGTCGACAAGGCGAAGCTCAAGCAGGGAACACGTGTGGCGCTCGATATGACGACCCTCACCATCATGCGCATGCTTCCCCGCGAGGTCGACCCGCTAGTATACAACATGTCCCTCGAGGATCCCGGACAAGTCAGCTTCGCGGGTATCGGCGGTCTCAACGACCAGATTCGTGAGCTCAGAGAGGTTATCGAACTGCCCCTCAAGAACCCAGAGCTGTTCTTGCGAGTCGGTATCAAGCCTCCCAAGGGTGTCCTCCTCTATGGCCCCCCAGGTACCGGAAAGACGCTACTAGCCAGAGCTGTCGCGAGCAGCTTGGAGACAAACTTCTTGAAGGGTAAGCTTGCCCATCTATACCTAACATTTGTAGCGACGACATCACTCGAACATAGGTCACTAACACACACTGCGCTCCTCTAGTCGTCTCCTCCGCCATCGTCGACAAGTACATTGGTGAATCCGCCCGACTTATTCGCGAAATGTTCGGCTATGCCAAGGAACACGAGCCCTGCATCATCTTCATGGACGAGATCGACGCTATCGGTGGCAGGCGTTTTAGCGAGGGTACATCTGCCGACAGAGAAATCCAGCGTACACTTATGGAGCTCCTCAACCAGCTCGACGGTTTCGACTATCTCGGCAAGACCAAGATCATTATGGCGACGAACCGCCCCGATACCCTCGACCCCGCTTTGCTGCGTGCCGGTCGTCTAGATCGCAAGATCGAGATCCCTCTGCCGAATGAGGTCGGTCGTCTGGAGATTCTCAAGATCCACGCCTCCGGTGTGGTGATTGAGGGCGATATCGACTACGAGAGTGTTGTGAAGATGAGTGACGGCTTGAACGGTGCGGATTTGCGCAACGTGGTTACTGAAGCGTAAGTCAATATTTCCCTGCGATAACACACCGACCAGCCAACTCCTTGCTAACTCCTTTGTTCTACACAGTGGTCTGTTTGCGATCAAGGATTACCGCGATGCGATCAACCAAGACGACTTCAACAAGGCGGTGCGCAAGGTTGCCGAGGCCAAGAAGCTTGAGGGCAAGCTCGAATACCAGAAGCTATAATAAGCCTGCCGTAATTGGAGGATGGGGGGTTGAGAGAGAGGAGGTAGTGGCGGTTGAACAACAACAGTGACGAACCATCTTAGACGCGGACATAGAAGACTTTGCGCCCTTCTTAGATGCAAGGGGGAGGAAGATGATGAGCGACCTTTCAGCTGTAATTTGTACACAAGCGAGTACCACGATGCCCGCAGAAAGGGCGTCAGAATGACTATTTGATGGCTTATGGCGCAGTTCCCTCTACCTTGAATCTTGGGGTGAAGCTTGGCAGTGGTCCGTCCTGGGCAGTAAGCGATACATGCCCTAATGCTTGCATTTTTGCTCGTACCCTACTCCAATGACTTAGTTAAACAAAATCATTATACACATCATCCGTCTACGACCAGATGATTTCCGCGGTGCTATGGAGGTGTCCCATCCCGAGGTAGTAAGCAAACACAAAAACTAATGGGCTGACCACCCGAGCCACCGTTACCTCATCCCACAGCATTAGTAAAGTATCACCGCTTTCACCACCGCCATGCAGCTTTCCGGCGCTGGTCGACGGCACGCGTGTGGGCTTGGTTTTCCGGTTTGTTGTGCAATCCCAGCAATCAACCTTGTGGAGTGGTTTATATATATGGTATATGGACCAGCGGAAGGGAAAGGTAGAAGGAAGGTAAAAGTTAAAAGGGAAGATTGTCTGTTTGCTGGTAATAAGGCAACGAGGCTTATTTACCTGCCTTTCCTCTCACACACTCACATGTCGGATTCCTGTCCTAGCAAAGTAGCAAAGGACTGAGGAAGCCGAACTCCGCGGTGGTAGTATCAAGTTTCCCGGTCAAACATCTTTTTGTCAATGATATCTGTATGTATGTGACTTTTGACTTTGTGCCACTTCTCCGCATGTTTTCATGGTCCCATATCGCTCTGGTTGCCTTATGAAGATGGATCGACCCGAGACATCTTTTCCCCCTACCTAGAGGTACCTACTTACCTCAATACACGTAAAAGAAAATCGGAGATGCTCAGCTTGCAACTTGCCAACGTGCACTTTACCTTTTGTGATGTGATGGAACAGATAGTGCTATGCGGCTCAGTGGCTGGGATGGGTTGTAGTGTGAAAGGCGCCGCCGGCGGGCGGATCAACACGATACGAGGTAGCATGGCCGATTGGTAGTGGTAATGGCAATGGTAGAGCGGCTATTCCGTGAATAAGGGCCTCTCTGGGAATAATTATTCTCGAGGTTGGAATATCCAACCGAGTTTTCGATGTGGTGAGTAACGCTAGCATCACCAACCTTGAGGCTAGATGTTAGTGTTGTTGCCATGTGAGTGATATAGAGTGAGAGCTTGCCGCCTTTGGCCAAGGCGCAGCCGTATTCTGAAATTGCACCAAGGGCAAAGTAAGCCGAAGCGGGTTGTGAAATGGCTGGTCAGAGAATCGAAAAGGGAAATATGGACCGCGGACGTTGCTCGTATTTCTCTTTCAGTTGTGGTCGCTAAACATGGCGTTTACAGAAAGGTATGGATGAAGTCCATCAACCCGAGAACTAGTGAATTCCTTGTGACATCGTGTTTCTTTTGGGGAGAGTTTCGTGCGCCCAGCATATGAACGACCCGGCATTCTGGGAGCAAAGATATCATGGGTTGCTAAGAATAGCGCATCCCGACCGGCGGCCGAATATGGTGCTCGTTTTCCACTTTTTTTTAGCGGCCTGGATGGTCCTCCTTGTGCCCGTGGAAAGGGGTCCCGTGTCACAGCCGTAAAAAGTGGGCTCCTAAAGGATGATGACTTCCTCTTCTGTTGCTTGGAAATTCGGCTAGCGACCCGGCGGCAAGCCGTATGCTCGTGTGAAGAGTACCCAAGGAAAATTTTATGGATCTTGAGGGCGCCTGGGAACGAAGAAAGGCCGACACTAGGGTCCCGGTAGTTTATGCCTTGGGGAAGGGTTGTTTGTTGTTGTCGTTGTTCTGCTCCGTCCCGGGTTCGGGAGGCTGAGTATGTCAGGGGTTGATCGACACTAACCGCGTGATGGCGCCCCCGTACCCCGTATGTTTATCTGTTATCCCGCACATTTCGGAAAGGATGCCACGGTCGATCGCCGGGCTTGAAGATTGGATGGCGCGCGTCATACGCGAAGGGCAAGCAGACAGTGACGTCGCGGAGGGCTTGAACGGGTGCTGGCCGGGCTGCCCCCCTTGTTCGGCCCACTGTTACGAACGAGGCTCTCCACCGCCATTGCCGTGAAACCCCTGAAAACATCGACACAGCATAAACACCGGAATTTGGGATTACGTGCTCACACTTATCGGAAGGTGAGGGGACCCGGCAAGGCGGTGAGAAGGTAGAGATATCGAAGGCTTGCAGGAGCATGACACGGTCCATCTGGAGAGAGCTTTTACTTCCATTATCATTCGAGGCCTGGGGTGACCGAGTCGTGGATGTCAGTGCGTGCAGTGCATGAGGTTTGCGTGGGCAACCATCAAGACCCCACCAATAAAGGGAACCCCGTGCCTCGTTCTGCTCGTTGAGAGTCGCCCATCAATGACAAAGCTGGAATGGCTTGCATTTAACTGTTTACCGTTGACAAGTATGGCGTCCACCAGCGGCTCAGAGTTGTGGCCGGTTTGACGATCTCGAGTTTGGCTGAAACACAAGATATCGTGCAAAGAAGTTGACAAGTCAGGAAGTGCAGTGTACCTTGCGGTCTGGCCTTCTACACATATCGTGGTGGGGTAACATCAGCTACTTCAGCTGAGTCTTTGCACATGTAAGAGCTACTCGTCAGGGCTACAAAATCGCCGTCTGACTAGCGGGGAGCCCACTAGGAAGAAGTCATTGATATGGCCATCATGATATTGAGTTATCAAGAAGATTCCAGATCGCATGAAAGTGAACTGTTAAGGTGGGTGGGTGGTCTGTACATCAAGGTACCTGTAGAAGTCAACAACAACAATCCCAATAACAACAAACCGAACCCCTCCATCACAAACCGTTCGTCCTGCCCTGGAAACTGCTACGTCCCCCGCCATATCAAGGCCACCACCGAAACAACAATCCCGAACAGGTATCACGCTGAAACGCTGGGCTATATGATCACCACAACATTCAAACTCACAGAGGAATTATGAACTTCGCTCACTCCGTGGACAATGGGGCGGAGCTCTGGAGACAAAGGCGATGGACAAAGAAAAATTGCGAAGCATGGGACGATTTTGGCAGGGACGCAGAGACCGTTCGGGCGGTCCAGGTGGACACAAAGCTTGGCGGTCTTTCTTGTCTGTTTGGCCGGCCAAGGAGAAGCGAGCAGGTGGGCGAGACCCCTGTCCTTGGCGATAGTGCGCCTGTGCCCCACCTGGGAAGCTGCACCTGCAGCAGTCTCACCAGCGAACCGGTCAATGCCATTGGTGCCGTCTGTCCCTGCCGTCCCTGCCGTCAGCGCTGGCCAGTGCTGTCCACCAAGTTGCCCGTGGACGGGGCAACGGGGCCGACCTGAACACAGCCAGTCTCCAGTGAGAGATGCCAAAAGAGGACCGAAGAGAAGGAACCAAAGAGAGCCAAGAGAAGTGACGACTCAGAGCCCGGCACCCTCCCCGCCCGTTTCGGCCATAAAGACAAGTCTCCCCGTGGCCGTCGAGAGTCTTTGAGCCCTTCTGGCCTACTCTATCTATCCATTCATCTTCCTTTCGTCCTCCAAACGACCCCGACTGACCCCGACGTTCCTCACGTTCGCTTCGCCTTCTGTCCGTTTCTTTAATACTTGATACCCCCCCGATCCAGGTCCCGCGCCCGTACAACTCCGTACACCGTCTCACCGCAAGACGATAGCGACCACTACCCGACTTCCACAAAACAACTACAACAAGCTCTAATCCTCTATTCGGTACCGTCGTTCGTTGGTTAATCAGTCAACATGTGGTACGTTAGGCGCAAACCCAGCCCCCTTCAACTCGAGATCTTTGCTAACTGGATTCTCTTTTTGCTGTGCAGTGGCATCTTCGGTTATATCAACTACCTGGTGGAAAAGGACAGGAAGTACATTCTAGACACACTCGTTAATGGTACGTCATGAATGCTTGCGCGTCCTGTCCCTCTCTATACAACACCAGAACTTTTTCCGGCCTTTTATCCAAGGAAACGCCATTTACGAGGCTCCGAACCCGGAAGCAACGGTAGCTGACCGCTAACTCTGCCAATTCAGGCCTTTCCCGTCTCGAGTACCGCGGTTACGACTCTGCCGGTCTTGCCATCGATGGCGACAAGAAGAACGAGGTGCTCGCCTTCAAGGAGGTGGGCAAGGTTGCGAAGCTGAAGGAGCTTATCGACAGCCAGAACCTTGATCTTGAAGAGACCTTCGATTCCCACTGCGGCATCGCTCACACTCGCTGGGCCACCCACGGGCCCCCTTCGCGCGTCAACTGCCACCCGCACCGGTAAGTTTTGCGACTTGCATAAACTGCCTTGGAAAAGCGGACAATTTCTGACCAAGCCAATCACAGTTCTGATCCCAACTGGGAGTTCTCGATCGTTCATAACGGCATCATCACGAACTACAAGGAGCTCAAGACTTTGCTCGAGGGCAAGGGTTTCAAGTTTGAAACCGAGACCGACACCGAGTGCATTGCCAAGCTCGCCAAGTACCTTTACGACCAGCACCCTACTGTCGGCTTCACTGATCTCGCCAAGGCCGTCATCAACGAGCTCGAGGGTGCCTACGGTCTTTTGATCAAGAGCGTTCACTACCCTCACGAAGTCATCGCTGCTCGCAAGGGTTCGCCCCTCGTTATCGGTGTCAAGACTCAGAAGCGCATGAAGGTCGATTTCGTCGATGTCGAGTACGCTGACGATCAGCCCCTGCCCGCTGAGACTGCCTCCCAAAATGTTGCTCTCAAGAAGTCCGCGGCTGGCCTTCTTTCTCCCAACGGTCTTTTGGGCGCTGCCGACAAGTCTCTGCTCCACCGTTCTCAGTCGCGTGCCTTCATGACCGATGATGGCATGCCCATGCCCACCGAGTTCTTCCTCTCCTCGGACCCGTCCGCCATCGTCGAGCACACCAAGAAGGTCATGTACCTCGAGGACGACGATATCGCCCACATCCACGAAGGCTCTCTCAACATTCACCGTCTGAAAAAGGCCGATGGTAGTTCCAACGTCCGTACAATCCAGACGCTTGAGCTTGAGCTTCAGGAGATTATGAAGGGCAAGTTCGAACACTTCATGCAGAAGGAGATTTTCGAGCAGCCCGAGTCCGTCGTCAACACCATGCGTGGTCGTCTCGACGTTGCCAACAAGACGGTTACTCTCGGTGGCTTGCGCAGCTACATCGACACCATCCGTCGCTGCCGTCGCATTATCTTCATTGCTTGCGGTACCTCTTACCACAGCTGTATGGCGGTTCGTGGTATCTTTGAGGAACTGACCGAGATCCCCATTTCTGTCGAGCTTGCGTCTGATTTCCTCGACCGTGAAGCGCCCGTCTTCCGTGACGACACCTGCGTCTTTGTTTCTCAGTCTGGTGAGACCGCTGATTCGCTTATGGCGCTCAGGTACTGCTTGGAGCGCGGAGCCCTCACCGTTGGTATTGTTAACGTTGTCGGTTCTTCCATCTCCATGATGACCCACTGCGGTGTGCACGTCAACGCCGGCCCTGAGATTGGTGTTGCCTCCACCAAGGCCTACACCTCTCAGTTCATTGCCATGGTCATGTTTGCTCTGTCCCTTGGTGAGGATCGCGCTTCCAAGAAGCAGCGTCGCGAGGAGATCATGGAGGGTCTTGGCAAGATTAGCGAGCAGATCTCGGCCGTCCTCACGCAGGACCAGAAGATCAAGCAGTTGTGCGAAGAAAGGTTCAGGAACCAGAAGTCTCTCCTGCTCCTTGGTCGTGGAAGCCAGTACAGCACAGCTCTCGAGGGCGCCTTGAAGATTAAGGAGATTAGTTATCTCCACTGCGAGGCCGTCATGAGCGGTGAGCTGAAGCACGGTGTACTGGCTCTTGTCGACGAGAACCTGCCCATCATCATGATCTTGACCCGCGACAAGCTCTTCAAGAAGAGCTTGAACGCCTACCAGCAAGGTACGTTACTACATTTCCCCCCTGAATGACTGAAACTCACAGGCAAGATGCTAACCGTTTCAATAGTCGTCGCCAGAAAGGGCAAGCCCGTCGTCATCTGCAACGAGAGCGACACCGAGTTCCAGACCAGCGATGCCGTCAAGATCGAGATCCCCAAGACCGTCGACTGCCTTCAGGGTATCCTGAACGTCATTCCTCTGCAGTTGATCGCCTATTGGTTGGCCGTTATGGAGGGCCTCAATGTCGACTTCCCCCGAAACCTTGCCAAGTCGGTGACTGTGGAGTAAAGGGATAAATGAAAGGGGTCGTCGAGCGATCGACTTTGCACGAACGAAGAGACGACGAGACAAAGGAAGACAGGTCTTCTGTTGATGAGCGGATTTTTGATGATATACCTATTTGTAATCTACATCGTGCTTTGGTCTATAGGCGGGCGTGGAGTTTTCTTGCTGGCTGGGAAGCACAAACATCTGATCTGGGAGGAAAGGAGGAAGAAAAAGGCGAAAAGCCAAGGCGCGTTGGGGAGGTCAAAAGTGAAATGGAAATCAAGGGAGTCGGCGGGATGGAACAAATGGGTTCCGGGATACTGTGCTCATGGTTTGAAGCGTACTTTGCGATCTGTGATGGACTGTTATTAAGGAGTTAGCTAGTAACAGTAATGGTACTGTCTTGATAATGTATGTCTAGGCAAGTGACGAAAGGGTATTTCATCCGTTTGATCATTTGTTGCACAGCTCAAGGGAAGAAAGTCGATCATAACAGAACCACGCGCTACTCTCTCCAGAAGCCTGGAATCGGAACCTGATGGTCAGATCAATGCCATATTGTGTAGTTGCCAGTTGGTACAGAAATATCACGGCTCTGCTACAAATTCCATTGTTTTAGGATAGTAAACGGCCACTGTATATTCATTATCTGCGTATGACCAGATATCTAGTCATTGATTCGATTGTCTTCCACTCAAGGCCTCATTACAACCACCCCGAGCCCATACCACTGTCCTAAGCAATGCTATCTACAGACCACCTTTACACAGTCTGAGTACCATACCCCTTAATCCGCTCAGCAAAAGCCCAGCTCTGCTTCTCAAGCTGCTCATCCTGCTTCAGCTCCACGCCCTCCTTCGTCACAACCGCAATGCTGTACCGATCCAAGCTCCTCGCGTCGCGGTAATACAGCACCTTCATGCACTCCTTAATAATCTCGACCGCCTCCTCGCGGCTCAACTTAGCAGCATCCTCCTCCGTCGCCGCATACCGGCGCATAATAGGCTGCGCCAGCGCGCTTCCGAAGCCCGTCGCCAGCGAGGGCGACGTAAAGCTAGTGCCCCGCAGGTCGACGCTGGCCAGGTACGGCTTGGAGTCGCCGTCGAAACCGGCGATCAGAAGCTGGTTCCAAAGCGGGTCGAAATCGTTGCGCCGCTTGTAGAGGAGCTTTTGCAGGTACTTGTGCAGGTTGGCGGCGTTGAGGTGGCCCTTGCCGTTGGGGACAGAGGTGCAGGAGGGGTCCTCGTACGCTTCGTCGATGGAGAGCTCGGTCAGGTGCCGGTCGAGAAATTGCATGTCGGAGACGTCGCCGGAAAAGCCGATGACGGAGGAGTCGAGGAAGACGCGCAGGCGCTTGACGTCGGGGAAGCGGGCTAGGGAGCCGTAGGAGGCTGTGAAGGAGGGGGGAAGGGGATGGGTTAGCAACGGTGTTTGCGTTATGGGTGTATTTAGGTTTGTCGCGAGTGGTGAGATTCAACGTACCAAGGTTATCCGCGGCCATGACTACACCGTCCTTGTACTTGATCGCGATGACGGAGGTACCTGTCACGATGGGTGCTTGTGTCGCCTGCCTCGGGCCGCTGTTCTGGAGGTAGGAGTGGTCATAGGCGCCGTAAACATCGTCTCTGGGCTGTAAGTATCGTGAAGCAACATGTTAGTTCCATGCCGTTAATGTTGGGTAGAGGTATGTATTAAATGCTGCTGCGACAGCGGGTTGGGGGGGGGGGGGGGGGGGGGGGGGGTGGAAGACGTACACGACCCCAAGCTTGCGGGCGGTGATCCATAGTTAACTAGAGTCGGGAATCGAGAGACTGCTCTAAATGCGGGGTATCGTTTCGTAAACAAGAGAGGCTTCGGCGAAAGAACTCGGTCGCTATTCGAGATGTTCGTGGTCGCTGAGAAAGGTTCGTTGGTTGTTGTTGAATATGGCAAGATAACGATAGACGGGGAATGGTTCGTTTGGGATGATGGTGTTGACGTGGGGAGCTTCCGCCTGGTTGACTTGACGTTGCGGCTGGAGGAGCTGGCAGTGGCAGGCTGCGCCAGTCCGGGTCCAGTGAGCTCCAATCCCCTGCCCTGCAGCTTCGCGTCCAGGTGCTGCCTTCCACTCCCGCCCGCTGTCCACTGTTGGGCTTGGCTTGGCGTCACTGTTCCGGGCAGCCCACTTTAAACAGTGGGGCCGTAGCTCAGGAAGGTAGGAGAGGGCCCGAGCGTCTTGAATGTTTTGGTTCCAGGCTTGGCCTTGAGCCTCCCATCAGCACGTGACACCCTTCATCTCGAACTCAATCTTGACTACTCATCAACAACGGCGCCCTTGTGAAACTTGGATCATTTTACATCAATTGATCTGGTTCTTTATTTCCCATACGACCATACCGATTGGAACAATAGCGCAACCATGGCGCTTGTAGCGTACGACAGCAGTGACGAGGATGAGGATGTCCAAGTTGACACCCCGACTGTGGTAAGAATATGGATAGCTCTTAGCATACAGAGCATGTGTTGTTCACCAGCTGACAGGGTTTCATAGCCACAAAACACCAAGAATGACTCTTTTTCACATCAATCACAAAACGACGCCGGTACGCCCCCTCACGCTCAAGTCAAATTTCCGCGCAATGAGCCCAACAACAATGAGATGTCCCTCCGCGGTCGCTAACCCATCCACAGTAACGACATCATCATCAACAATCACCAATGGTCACAACGAGAGCACACTCTCACAACCATCAGCACCACAACCGCCAGAGCCCTCAAACCAACCACCACCACCACCACAACAACAACCACAACCAGCCCCCTCGCCATCAACACCCCTAGGCCCAGTCCTCGGTCCAGCCCTCGGCCCCTCCATGCCCCCTCCCACGGGAGCCGCCTCATCCAACACCCTCCTCCCCGACCCCGACTCCGACGTCGACATGTCCTTCCTCGACGACCCCTCCACCTCCTCCACCGCCTTACCCTCTGCCCCTTCAGCAGAACCCCCCAAATCCCCCTACACCACCACCCGCACCCTCCTCCGGGACCTCACCCTCCCCGCCCTTCCCAACATGGACATCCCCGCCTCGCCACCCCTTTCGCCTTCTGACATCTCTTCGGTGGAACGCCTAGCGAGCCTAACCAGCAAATTCGACAAGTTCCTCGAGCTCAAGCGCACCAAGGGACAGCACTTCAACTCGCGCATCGCGCAGAGTGCAGCTACGAAGAACCCGGGGTTGATGGATAAGTTGATGAGGTTTGTGGGGGTTGAGACGGAGTTTTGGTTTGATGATGATGACGACATTGCCGCCCAAAACGACATCTCCTTGGACAAGGGCGCGGAGGTAGCGGCGCCGGCGCCGCCGGCTGGGGCAGAGCAATACGCCACCACCCTGTCCAAGGAGGTATGGGATCCATCTGCCATGCCGGGGTGGGCGTATAGAGATCGGCTGCGCAAGACGCAGGAGAGGATGCAGAGGGAGAGTGAGAGGAAGAGGGGGGAGAGAGTGGAGTTTGTTAGTGGAGGGTCCACGACGGCGATGACGGGTAGTGGAATGGCGAGTAGGACGGGGAGCGCGACGCCGCTGGGGAGTGTGGCTTATCCTGGGGGGATGAGCGGCGGGACGGGGACGGGGACGGGGACGCCGAGTGCTGGTGCTGGCGCTGGTACGACGGCTGGGGTGAAGAGGAAGTCGAGGTTTGATACGTGAGGTGGGGGGCGCTCCGGATTCTTGATATGTTTTCGTTGTGCCCGTATGGAGTTCGAGGTGGCTAGAGGATCTAAATCGGAATAAGAGTATGCGATGGGCCAGTTCGTTGATAGCGACGGATCGATCATACATCTTGTTGTCACAGTCATGTTAACTCCTGGCACTTTTTTCGCGCCCGGTCCTCGCCGTTATAGGCGAGCGGGTTGGTTCACCTTCATACAAATCCATATGCACCAACCTACCAACGCGCTGCCGCAACTGCTTTGTCTATACGGACACTTCTTGACTCTCAAGGTATTGGCATGGAGACTTGTCAACGAATGTCTACATCTACATCTTGATGAGGGCGTTGCAAAACAGGGCGATCTAGAAACAATACCCGATGGCAATTCAGACACAGACACAAAGACCATGAAATTGGTGCGATGAAGGTGAAGACACAACGGAGAAGAGGTCCAAAGTTACTTTGAGCGATTGTGACCCCATGTCTTTTCATAGTAGGCTCCATGCATGGCATCCGAGAGCTGAGTTGCAAGGACAGAAGCTGATGCGTTTGATATCGGACAACCTCGAACGCGATGTTTACATAGTTAACTGAAAGGTTTTCAAAGCCATTCTAAGTCACTCAAGCACTAGCACACGATTGGGTTTCGCATGATGGTTGGTATCTCTTTATTATTTGTCTACTTCTTTGCTGTCGTGGCAACAAAGCAAGCTAATGAACACTCTTACACATGTCAGATTCATTCCAACTCGTTAGAGTATTCTCTGCGTTAATCGTTGCGAGAGAAGCTCTTCATTCCAGTTTCTCTCAAATCTCAACCGTGCCTCCTCATCCCTGGCCCTGTGCAATTCCATGGTATCTTCAAACACATAAGCATAAAACATAAATGACCCCCTATTTATCCAAACCAAGGCAAGAATGAAGTGGCGGCGTGAACCTGTACACACTGCAGGCGCAATGCGGCGGTTCAAGAAAAAGTAAATTAGATCGTCCAAGTGCGTAACCTGGCACTAGGCAATGTTTCCGCGTAACCTCGCCATCCATGGGTATTCGAACATCAAAACACGTGTTGACAGTAAGGATAGTTTACGCGTCGGCGCAACCGAGCGTAATACCCATCGAGCGCTTGACAGTGCCACGAATGTCGATCTGGACGGTCTGGTTTCCGGTAGCCAAGGCATCGGCGATATAGGAGAGGCTTTCGCCATGGTTGATGACACTCTTGCCGCGGAGCTTGAAGGGGAGGACACCGTTGAGCTTGTCGCAGTAAGGCCTCTGCACGGCAAGGCCGGTGACGTAGCCGAGGTCGTCAATGGTGGCGCGCATAGGATAAACGTTGTCGTTGCCGGGCTTGAGGGAAAGGTTGTCGAGATAGACGGTGCCGATTTCCTTATCAAGGAGGTAGTTGTGGAAAGTAGCATTGCCCTGTGAAGCGACAGGTCAGCATATCATTAACGAGTGGAAGAAGTGAAGAGTTGAACTTACAAGCTCGAAAGCAACCTTGGAGTAGTTGGGGATCTGGACGGTACCGAAGAAGTTGTTCTGGCCCTTGGGAGCAGTGGCGTTGACGGTGGTGTTGGTAACGATGGTTCCGTCAAGCATACGGAGGCCTGTTGTTCCTGTTAGTTACGATGTTCGCAAAACATCAACATGACAAAGGAATGCTTACCGGGCATGTCAATGGTCTTCTTGAAGGTGACGCCATAGGCCCTGGCGATACCCTTGACGTGAACCTTGGTGTCACCCATGACGGTAACCTTGAAAGTCTCGTTGTGCAGAAGCCAGGTGTTGAAGGTGGTGAAAGCATCCATATCGTCAATCATCTCAAACTGGGTAATGTTGACAATCTGGAACTTGTCGCTGGTGGTCTCGGGGAAGTGAACCTTGGCGAAAGGCTTGTGCTCCGGCAGATCCTCAAGGTACATGACACCCTCGAAAGGCTCGATGGTAGCCTTGACCTTTCCGTCACTCTTGATCTCAGTGTTGATAGACATGGTGAAGTTTTGAGCCCGGGAGTTGGTCATGACGATGCTGTCAAGGATGAGCTCGGCATGGTCGAGCTTTTGTTGAGCGATCTTGGGAACGCCAACAAGGACGCTGTGGTATGACTGTTAGCGACAAAACACACCTTTATGAATGAGGCCATGTGAATTATCTTGACTTACACAACAGGGACGACGACGACAACGATGACAATGACGGCGACCAAGTAGGCCCACCAAAACTTCAAGCAGTGGCCGGCGCAGCCACGCTTGCGCGGCTTGTCGACGACATTCTCCGTCTGAGTGTACACGGGCTTGTTATCCATCTTGTAGGAGTTTTCTTAGGTTTCGACTTTGTGAGATGAGTGTGGAGGTGAGGGCGTTGGCCGGTAAACAACTCAAAGAACCGGTGTAAGTGCGGATGGCGGACCCCTATTATCCCCTTTCCCAGATCTCAAAGCCAACCGTACTGATTGGGTGTAAGAGAACAATTCCTTGGTTGAAGAGAAGCAACAACCGGGAGGGAGGAGAATGAAAGAAAGCGGATAGTTCAACCAGGAAAACGAGAAAAGGAGAGCAGGAGCCAGACAGAAAACGGGAGGTCCAGACGGGCAACGGGCCAGGTGGTTATTATAATCGTATCCCGTCCCATCGATGTTACCAGGCCACAGTCCACAGTCCACACATAACCTGCGAAGAGACTTCAAGTTGCAGTGACTTGCGAGCTGGGGGGGATGCACTAGGGAGGAGCGGGTAGGAGCGATTCGACACAAAGGGAAGTGGATGTGATGGTTGCATGGATTCCATGCTTCCCTGCTTCCACCTTCCCCAAAAGCTGCTTGGCTCGCTTGAGCTCCTCCGTAGCTGCCCTCGGGAAATCGACGAGCAGCTTTCTCAGACAGAGGGAAAAAGAGGCCAAAAAAGCTCGCTGCTAGTGCTGTTCTAGCTGTCTAGGGATCGCCGCCCCCCCCTTCAACGACCACACCGCGCCACCCCAACAAAGAGATTGACGAAGGCATCCTCGACTTCTCCATGTGCCTACCATGGTAATTGTGAGCCATGCAACCATGAATGAAGATGGAACTAGCCTCATCGAGCAGTATCTCCGACGCCTTCTGGTTCCCCAAGCCCCCCCACCCCAACCACACCTCGAGTTGTGCCAAGGCGAGCTCACCACCATCCATTGGATCAGCGGTGTCCCTGTAGCAGAACCCTAACCCTTTTGCGTCCATTGCGCAGTCTGACCAGTTCAACTCTGGTCGGTTCTTTGGCTCTCGAGACCAGCTCGTACACGAAAAGTACCGGTAGATGGACGGCGTGGCTCGCTTTCCCGTTGGCTCTTTATCCGCCATGATCGGTAAAGCCCATGACGTCGAAAACATGTGAGCACATGAGCACTTGATAAAAGGCTCGCCAGTTCACGATGCTGCTGTCTTTTCTTTGAGTTATCTGCCCAGTGTTCTGGACGCCTTTTTGATGGAACCCTCTCGGACTCGTGTTGAAAGAGATGCCAAGGTGGCCAAGCAGGCCAAAGCATCTCATTTCGCAACCTCCCGACTTGCCTCCCTGGCCCCATCTCCGTCCTCCAGACAGGACGCCGGGGAACCCAACCAGATGCGAATGCGGGGGAAGTGGATGCATGTGGAGGAAGGTGGAGAGGAAGAACACCCTCTCTTGCTTCTTTGGTGCCTTGTCCGGAAGGTGTTTTGATGCTCATCGGAGACTTTGCGCTGCTCAGGTGAGCCATGGAGGCCGGTGCTCACCGCGGGAAGACACTCCATGGCGCACATCGTGACTTTTGGAGCTCGGCCGGAGCGGTGTTCCCTGCGTCATTCACCCGACCACAGGGCATATTTTGACCAAACGCTCTCGAGACGACCTTCAGTCTCGGCCTCGTCGAGGGATGCGGCATACCGGAGCGTTGTTGCTCATTGCGACTTTACAATCATACGGTAATGAATGCCCAAAGCGGGTACTAGACACAGCCTGTCGTTACCTGAGAGGTTCGACAGCAGGCATTCCCTTTTGTCTCCGATTCATGTTGCCAACATCAGCAATTGTCTGTAAACGTCTGGATGTCTGATCAGTTGAACTCTCAAAGAGCAGAATCCGATTTGTCATGGAAAGACGAGGGATATCAACTGATGCCAAATAAGGTTAGAATAAGCTCCAAGCTTGAAAACGATCGTTGGAGATTTCCGTCGGCGGTGACTTGCCAGAAGAGGACGGGATCAACTCTTGCCCCGCATACCCTGGGGTACCTTAGTGCCAGGGGTCGAAGTGCTCCGGTGTGTCGACCCCTGCAACGCCACTCAATTTTCGGTCACGCCCTCGGCTCCTCTTGCACAAATTATGGAGCATATGAAAATTGGAGCTCGCCGGGACCTCTCTCACTGTTCCATCAGTTTTGGATGACAACCTCGACTATCAGACGATATCAGAACATCGAACAACGGGACAAGAAAACGACGCAGAACACCCGAACGTCAAGAAGCCGCAAAAGCCAAACCGCCAGAGAGAGTCTCTCGTCCTACGAATGAGGCCAAAGGTCAACTTCCAAAGGACTGGCCTGATGGCCATGAGCGATTCTCACATGCAAAAGGATTGAAGCCAAGTCAGGTCCTGATCTCCAATTCGAGCGAGCGATACAACCTCGTCTGCAACTACTATGCGACTTGGCGGGCACCTTTGCTTTGCGGCTAGCCAAAGAAACTATTTGTGCCTACTGCTTCTACGACGGTGGTAAACTTCGAGGCCACTCCAGCCTTTTGGGAGACCTCCAAGAATTATTATTTTCAAACAATTCATTGTCAATGGTTCAAACCAAAATCGATATTGGTGGAGCTATGCCCAATCGGTTGACTTAGATGGGTTCCGGATGCGGATTGGCTCACGACGAAATGACAGGATGGCCGGCTTTTCAGAGTGCCAACGGACGGTTCCGGGCCTCCATCCGCACCGTGACCTGTACCAGATCTCCGGAAGGAACAATAGAGAATTCCAATGGATGATATAAACGACGCCTTTGTCCGCGACACGAACTTTTCATTACCGGGCCTGACGGCAGGCCGGCAATTCAAGACCAACAACGACAGGCAACCCGGCACTGAACCTCTCCATCAATTTACGGGAGCCTTTCCGTAGGCGCGGCCGTTGTCTAGGGCCTCCCTCATGGGATTCCATTTGCTGAGTGCAGTGTGCACTGATGCCAGAAAATCTGGATTTTCGACCTTCGGCTGACTACCGCGTGATCTTTCGGCCCTTTGTGGCTGCCCCACCCTTGCCCACCTTCCCGTCTAGATGGGAATTTTAGTCAACAGCCAACCAGATCTCGAAAACCCTGTGACACCTCGCGGCTGTCCTTGCCTCCCGCCTGTCCAACTGTCCCTCCAGCCACTTGACCAGGAAAGACTGCAGCAGTAGATACCTCAATCGAAGATCTCTAGAATGAAAAGAGGCCCTTTGGTCAACGAATCGCTACGGCCAGCGAACTCAAGAAACAATCGACTAACGAACTCTACCTCTTTGTCTTTGACCACAACTACCCAGCAAAGTTCTCTTCGAATCCTTTTTTGCTCAAGGAAGCAGCTTCCGTTATTCATTGGTATCAGTTCTGGCGTGAGGAAGTACAAGATTCGGAACAAGCCAAGCGCCATGTCAGTTGACTCGTTGCGCAACGACCTCTTCAGTCTTCACAATATCACCGCAAGGCACGGCCTTGTCAGTAACTAGGACGGCTGGCCCCATCTGATAATGAATCTAACGCAGCTTTTCCTGCACTGATGATGTGCATGAAAAAAATCCAACGGCGTAAGCCACCAGCTCCTATCATGCAGCTGCCATTCGCACTTTGCCTGACTGGTGGCCCAAGCTCCGACTCTTCAACGTGTGTACATCAACACCAAAACCCAATCGAAGACAGCATGAATAGCATCAAGAAAAAGACCCTTCATACAGACGATGGGATGTTTTAGGGTTTCTTGCGACCATCTTCGAGGCACCCAGAACGGTTCAAGTCTGAACATCCCAGAACTGCAACCTTCTGGCACATTGAGGGCACATCCCTCGCCACCAACGCAACCTCCTTTTTTGTTGGACCCCTGATCTTAACGTTCCAGCGGATGGACGGAATACTCGGGAGCTAAGACCAAGATGGTCAGCTTCGCCGAGATATGATGCACTGTCAAATTGCCTCACCAGGTTTTCTGAAGAAAAAAGGCACCCAAGACGGGATCGGGAAGAATGGCATCCTACCAGACGAGTTACACTGACAGTGCAGTTGCAACACGGACAGTTTCTGGATTGCCATGTCATCCATCTCCGTAACAGTCGCTTCTTTGAATCCGAGCGTTGCACCATCTCCGATAGCGAATGTCCGATAAACGGAGGGTAGGCAAGATGGTGGACAGCAGCTTTGGCGCCATGTTAAACGCGCGGGCTAGAAGCGTCAAGGCTCGTTATCGATACGCCACGGCGGTTGACGACGAGGACGGTGACGACGTAAGGAACCCTTCTGCCGGTCTCACGAGCGTGGCATGTTCCGTTCTTTTCGCCAATCCAACCTTGAGGCGCTCTGTGCAGATGGGTTGAGTTAACCCACAACACTGTCTCTCGCCATCTGCTTAAAATGCTTATCTTGCCCTTGGGAGGTAGATACCCACAAAGGGCACCGTTGATCTTGAAACACAAGTACCTGCGTGCCTAGATACGGCATATCGAAGCCAAGTTTTGCGAAGCAGATCGAGTCCAAACTTGAGCTTACGACTGCCGGCATAAGACCACAGTGACGACTGGTCTATTATAGTGCCGTCTCTGTGGCCAAAACACAAGGACAGATACAGAAAGACACGCAAACATGCTTCTTCTCGTCGTTGCGATATCACCATCGTCTACCTTTGTGTTAGACGGGAGCATCGTGATTTGTTGATCACTCAAAGATCGCCAGCGTGACCATTTCAGGAATTCAAATCGCCCGACTCAAAAGGGTTCACAGCACTGCGTAATGGCTCTCCGCATCTCCATCTCGGGGATCCTCACAACCATGAAACAACGTACAGCTACCGGACAGCGGACACAAAGTCCGCAATTCTCCATTGGTTCGTCCGACGTCTCTCTCCATAGTGTACACAGTGGTGGAGAGAAACACGGCTCTTGAAGCGTTACAGTTTGGAGATCTATGGCAAACTAAATCTCACCGTATGGCTCTCTCTCCGCACTTGGTTTTTGGAATGGCCCCCACCAACCCACGTGTCAAAAAGAATCATATATATTTTTTGACCTCGGATGCTCGGTTACAAACACCTCACATTTTGGAAATATTTCAGCCCTCTGGGCCCATCAGATGCCACTCACAAGGTGTGCCAGGCTCCGCCCCCGCTTCCCCAGGATCGGCCCCATCGTTGCCAAGACCTGGGGTAGGTATACACCATCACGCGCGCAAACTCCCTTTCCTTTGTTCCCTTGAGACGGATACTTTTAGATACTTCACTTTTAGCGCTTACTCTCTCAGCTCAGAGCTTGGCACGAGATGTCCACAACCCGTTTTTGTCAAGACCGGCGTCCCCATCATAGATGTCTCGTTCGACTATTCTGGTGTTGATCTGTGTGGCCGAGTTAGAGAGCTCATGAAAAGATGCCATGTGATGGAGGGCAAAGATCTGCTTTCATTATCATGGAAAAGGGGCGCAAGGGAGAACATATGAATGTGCCGAAAAAAACGGGCAGACTTACGAGTCGTGGGCCAAGATCATCCACCGTCTTTGCTCCCAAGAGCTTCATGCAAGTAATGATCTCCTGCTGAAGGACTGTTTGTTGTGTTGGCAAAGTGTCAGCATATCCACATCGTGTGTGAAACACCAAAAGGGAGTGCTTACTCTCAAAAGTCCTCTCAACACCCTGCCACCCACCCGCCCCAAGTCCCCAAAGCGCCGCCCTCCCCACACCCACCGCCTTCGCTCCCAAACACAACGCCTTCACCACATCCGTCCCCCTCTTGACCCCGCCATCAATCCACACCTCGACCGCCCCAAACACCTCCGGGCAGTACTTCCTGATCTCCAGCAAGGTATGGACCGCCGGCGGCGCCGTATCCAGCGCCCTTCCGCCATGATTCGACAAGATAATCGCCTTCACGGTGCCCGGGTGTTTCCCCGCATACTGCGCCGCCAGATACGCATCTTCATGGGTCTGGATGCCCTTCAGCACAATCGGCAAATCGGTATGCTTGGCCAGCCACGGAAGCGTCGTCTCCCACGTCAAGTCGGCCGCGGTGCCCCAGAACAGCTGCTGGCCCACGCCGCCGCCGCCGGGTTTCTTTTCGGCGTCCGTCTTGGCGTTGCTGGCGGATTCGACAAACTCGCCGGCGGCTTCGAGGTTGGACTTCTCGTCGTGCTCGCGCTTACCCGGCTGCGGCGCGTCGAGGGTCAGGACGATGCACTTGAAGTGGTCGCGCAGCTTGTTGATGCGCGCCAGCATCGCTTCGGACTTGGATCGCGTCGTCTGCACGTACAGCTGCCAGCCGAAGACGGCCCCCGGTTTGGCCTCGGCCACGATCTGCTCGGGCGTCATGGACGCGTTGTTGCTGACTAGCTGCATGGCGCCGAACGAGGAGATGCCCTTGGCGATGCCGGCTTCGCCGTCCGGGTGCGCAAGGCGGGCGAGCGCCGCGGGCGAGACGTACAGCGGCGTGCCGACTTTGTGGCCTAGGAGGGTGGTGGAGGTGTCGGCCTTCGTGCAGTCGACGAAGACGCGCGGGCGCAGGAGGATGTCCCGGAAGGCGCGGGTGTTGTGGGCCTTGGTGTAGAGGTCGTCGGCGGCGGAGAAGTAGTAGGACCAGCACTTCTTGGAGACCTGGGACTTGGCTGCTGCTTCGATCTCGTCGAGGTTGAGGAGGGTGTGGAGCGGCGGCGGTGCAGACTTTTCGGATTGCTGGGCTGAGGTGGTGTGCGTGGTGGTGCCCATGGCTGAGCCGGTCGCCTTTGCGCGGGCTTCGCTCTCTTTCTGGTGAAGCTTGGCTAGCGATTGGGCGTCGATAATGCCCAACTTGGCCTCTGGCTTGAGGTTCTCCTCAAGCGTGCCCGGCGGGTGAATCGGGTCGTACTCGGTCGTGGCATCGCGGCCGGCGAGCTGGAGGATGATCTTGTCGCCGGCTGGATGGGAGGGCAGAAATTCGGTTACGTCGTAGACATTGCCGTAGAGGACCACCCAGCAGCTCTCTGGCGATCGATGTTTGGCAACTGTTCAAGAGGTAAGTATTGGGTCTGTAGAAGGATGGGTGAGGTGAGTCTCCATTACATACCTTCCTCTGCCGTAAACACTTTTGGTGGTTTAGTCATTGTCGCTGGCTGAGCTGGACTTAGTAACAACAGAACACGATGAAGGTCAAAGATAACAGAACACAAGATCTAGCTGAAAACCATAATGCCATTGCTATATGTAGGGCTTGAGAAGACTCGAGATTAGGTGGGATTCTTCCATCTTAGCCGTCCGGTCACGCGGGGTTCTTCCTGCTGTGAATCGCGTCAATCGCCTCCCCGTACGTATGTGGTTGGTTGGATCTTCCGAGAATACACTGACTGATCAGTGGTGAGCGCCTCTAGCGCCCAAGAAGAGCCCCTGCGTCGCATGGCATCGGGACTGGTTTTCTCCACCTCGGGGGGAAGATGGGGGTCACGGCTCCGACAACGGGAAGATGGAAATGTGCCGGACGGGTGATTGATGGCCGAGACAGGCCCACCGACCGTGTCTTAAAGCCCATCGTCTTCCCCTCCTCAGCTATGGTGCCATCCCATGATTCCCAACTTGTCTACACTTGCGGGACTTGTAAGAATCGATGACGAGAGCCAGGGGTTTGACTTACACATATACTCGAAATCAAAGACTCCAGGATGGATATTCGGCAGTATCAAAGACATCGACCCCTGAGACTCCCTCATGAAGCTGAGCTCTGCCCTCAACCCCACCTATCCCCATCATCACCAACAACAGCAAGGACCCCTTGTGCTCAAGTCAACAACAAAACCCACCAACCCCCAGGAAATCAAAAACTCCATCTGGCGGAGTTCTCCCGGCCTCAACAGTCAACACACTTTTTAGTGCGGCTCCGCTCGGCGGCGTGGCTTTTTTGACTTTTTGGTGTTTTCGAACGGTGCCTGGGTGTTTTTAACCGCTGGTCAGGCCCTTGTACTGACAGACCCTGAGGATGTTGTTTGTTAGGTCGCCGGATCACTGCCTGCTGAAGGTGTGGTCCGGTTGCCGTACGTGCCCCGCCCCCACTGCAGTGCCGTCACTGCCCGTACTTGCCTGCCCCGAGGAATTGCTCCTACATAACATAGCCTACAGCCCGGGGCAGGTACATGCCACGCGCCTACCTCGACCTGATAGCATCGCGGTGAGACACAATCAACCGATAAGTAATCGGCTGCCTTGTTCAGCTGCCAACAGTCAGCCTGTCACACCTTGATGACTGCTTTGCCTTTCGCTTCCTTTGATCCTTCCTATTTACAAAATAGAACATCAGCTTCGAGTTATTCCTGTTTCCACCAGCGACCCGTTCCGCTCGATTGTTTCGACACTCAATTGACGCCGTCGAAGGACATCACAACTTCGGACCTTATCCCGTCTGCCCGGTCAGGCTTATCAACCCTTATTTAATACCATAACATCGGACATTCCATCCCACCTCTATATACGCCCAAGATTGTATACCTTTGAACATCCACTTCGACAGTCACTGCGGACCGACCTCTGAACCACTCGAACAAGCGCCAACGACGACGCAATGCCCACCTCGAAGCTCCGAATCCTCTGCTTCGGCGACTCCCTCACCGAGGGCTACTCCGGCTGGGGCTCCAGCTTCACCCCCTACAGCACCAAACTCGAAGAGATGCTGCGCATGGCGTTTCCCGATGTCGACGTGGAGATAGTAACAGACGGGCTGTCGGGTGATTTGGTGACAGGCAGCGGGGAGTTCCTGGAAAGGATGCAATCACACTGTAAGTAGTCAGCGTGGCCCGACAGAAGTTGGAACAAATGGGCACGGCTGGGAACTTTTTGCATCAAGAACCTCCTGCTAACGTTGCTGTATCCAGTCGCCCCAAGGAACCCAACAGACTACAAACCGTTCGACTGGGCCATCGTGCTCGGCGGAACCAATGATCTCGGCAGTAACATCCACCACGAACAAATCTTCGAAACTCTCACACAGATCTGGGACTTGGCCCTAAGCCGCAAATGCAAGGTCCTCGCCCTCACTGTTCCCGAGATCGAACTTTCCGCGGGGAAAATGAAGGACCTACTGGACTTTAGGAGGAACGAGTTGAACCAGATGATCAAGACCTACAAGAAGCCCAACTAGTATGTCCTCCCCCCACCCCCTCTCTGCATCTTCCCCCTCTTTCAAACCCACACCCACACCCACACCCTCCCTCCCTTTTGTGACCCCCTAACTAACACCCCACTCCCCCCAAAACAGCTACACCTTCGACCTCCACGCCGCCTTCCCCTTCTACGCCATGTCCGAAGCCGACCGGGAACACTACTGGGACGACAGCCTCCACTTCACGCCCGCGGGCTACGATCGGATGGGAAACAAAATCGGCGTCACGTTCGTCAGCATACTTGTGAGAGAATTTTCGGACAACGACCGGACGCCGATGGGCAGGAAGAGGAGGATGTTCAAGGACGACGAGAAGGTGTTTGAGGAAGAGGAGGACCCGGCTGAGCCGACGGCGTTGGGGCTCGATAAGGGGTATATCGTTGTTCGTAGGAGAGATTTGGATTAACCTTACTGCGCCATTCAGTCAGCTGCCTGGTTCTCAGTGGCAGGCGGGCAAAGTGGCGTACGGAGGGTAGCGACAGCGTCGGTCAGGGTATAGCGGCATGGATGTCTTTGGGTATATAATGGGTTTGGGACACAAGAGTAACCGGCGTTTTCTGGGGGCATGCGTTGTGTTACGATTTACGACTAGCATAATAGGGATGGTTTGCGGGATAGGCATGGTTGGATATACGATCATGGTTAGACATTAACGGCATTAGCATGACAATATTTATTCGCGTTATACCTGCCTGTCTTCATGTAACTCTATTCTGGCCTCGATTAGACGCTAGGCTATTATTGAGACACTGTCATGACAAAGTCCCATCTGCAACTATGCCTCCATTGCTGTATTATGCTCCCTTTCCGCAATGTACATACGCCTTTCGTTCTGGTGTTGTACGCCTTCTTTTTGGTCATCATGCTTGCTTTCTTTTGGAAGGGCTACCGGACTTCACTGGTATGGCTGCGATGAGTTCTTCAATGTCCTCAATAGCATCTTCCATCTCCTCGAGTAGAGCATCTTCCATCTCCACGAGAGGATCGAGATGCCCGCCCAGGGACGAGCTCTCCTAGTTGCCAGGAACCCCGGCGGGCACCAGCTGAGGGAACTCGGCCAGCAAGTCATCCGTAATGCGCTCCAGATCCTCCGCCAACGCCTGCACCATGCCATCCTGCCTCCGCATCTCCTTACCCACCGGTACCTCGGCCCTACCACTACCCTTCTCCCCCGAAGCTTCCAGCCCGCTCTCAAAGTAAATGATCCTGTCAATCTGATCAATCGACCCCGCCAGCCGCCCCTGCTCGATCATCCGCGCCGTGATCTCCTCCGCCTTGTTGCCGCCATCCAGCCCCAGCCACGACCCCAGCGCGTCAAACCCGATGTTGCGGTATAGCCGGCTCACCGCCAGCAGGTTGTGCTCGACCATGGCCTTGGCCAGCACCGTCGACCCGTCCGACGTCGTCGCGAGCTGATGCGGCGCCAGGCCCTGAGCGAACTTATCCACCTCGGCCCGCGTCAGCAGGCGGTCGAGAAACATCTTCTCCAGGATGCCGTATTCTTCGAGGGAAGCCGATCGTTCGTCCTTGTACAGCCTTCCCAGGACGCGTGACCGCGGGGGTCCCGCGGGCGCCAGGACGGCGCACTTGATGGCCATGCTCAGCGTGTGTAAGCGCTCCTCTTCCGCAATGGCGGGCGACAGGCTGATGTCGTAGTACGACTGCGAGGCGGCCAGGAACTGCCGGTTGCTGTCCTGGATGCGGGCGGCGCTGAGCTTGAAGTGCAGGTTTAGGACTGGGTTGTCGTCGGCCACGTTGTGGATGATGTTTTTCAGCTTGTTGAGGTAGATCTCGGCGTTGGTGGCGTCATCGTCCTCCAGGTAGTTGCGGATGATGCGGATCCAGAGATCGGCCTTGTACTTGTCCGAGACGCGACGCTGCGACGAGTCGAGCGGGATTGCGGCGAGGGTTTTGGCGGCGTCAGTGAAGGACTCTTGGGATTCGTAGGCGGCCGCTATGAGGTCCTCGTAGATGGTGGCCGTTTGGTCGACGAGCGAGGTGGCGAGTGTGGGGTTGGACTGGATGTGCTCTTGGATGACCTTACCTACGTCGAGCCAGATGCCGGAGGTGTTGACATCGATGGAGTCTGTGGAGGGTCCGCCGGAAGCAAGCGATTTGAGGGCGTCTATCAGATCGATGACCAGAGCACGGGTAGCGACGACACCAAGCGAATATAGGAAGATGGCGTCGGTAACGGCTTTGAGGTCGGCGGCGAAGTGGCTGGGGTCAGGGCTGGAGGTGATGGTGGTGATTATTGTCCTGAAGGCGGCGGGGCGGTCTGGTAGACTCCAGTTAGGCACCTGGGCCAGGAGATCTCTTACTTCCGAAGACACCATATTGGCCGGTGATGGTTTCTGTTCGTGGTTTGAGTTGCCACCGCTGGAAGCTTGCTTTATCGTGGAGTGAAGCAGACGTGAGGGGCCACCCGGTTGATGGTTGTGGGTAAGAAGCGTCGTCTGCGTATGTATCTCGGTCGTATCTCGGAGTAGTAAATCTGAGTATGGTATCAAAAAGCTGGGTATGTTCGTGTGCTGCTGCTGTATGTCGTGAGTCGAAGAGTTGAGTTGACGGAAGTTGAAACAAAATTGTCGATAAGGCTGTGAGAATGTTGTCAGTGACAAAGTGGTTGAAGCTTCCCCAGCAGCCTTGTCGTTGCGTGTTGCTGCTGGTGGGGGGTGGGTTTGATTGTGGGGCAGCGGGGTTGCTGGGGAAGCTCCAAGTTAGTGGAACCGCAGGCAGCAGGGGCCCGCCATCGGCCGGGGCGCTCTCTCCCCAGTCCTCCAAAGCTTGCATCCCCAGTCAGGGGCTTGTAAACAAACATCTGAAGCGTCTTCTGAAAGAACACAAGACTTCGCAACGGAACATGTTTGGCATGACGGCAGTTATTCAAGATCAGATAAGACTTTGCGTAGTACCAGATGATGAGCTTCGTATCGAGGCTTGTGTTCAAGTTACCAGTTCTCACCCAACACCTTCCTAAAGCCTTCTCCTATAGAGACAATAGTTTTCTAAACGTTCAAACTGTCCCTGGGCCTTTTACTGGTAGCTTCCGTGAATTGTAGGGCTGAATTTTGGTTTTACGGCGCAAATGCCGGCTAGTGATTTCTCCAGTTCCTACCGAAGAGCAAAATCGTACGATGCCCTTCGGCCCGCTGTGACATCTACTGATTTATAAACTGCCGGAGCCGCCTCCCTCGTCACTCCCCTATTGTCAACTCTTTGCAGCGCAGTTCATCTTGTCATTCGATCCAATCTCTCCGACGATTAGTTTCGAGTACAGTCCAGTCGCCATCAGTCGATCAGAACGCCAAAGTATTCAAGGCTCGAGAAAACGTAACACCCAGCAGCATCATGCACGAATTCACAACTTGCCTACGATCTATCGATCATGGCGGTCGACAGCCTTGAATCGAAGACGCGATGGGAGTCCCGTTATTTACTGAAGATTTTCCTAATCTCATCTCATCCCGGGATGGGATGAAATCGGGGCCCTAGCGGATCCAACGCGCTATTTTGACCGGGTAGCCCCGCTATGGCCGGCATGTTCGCCGAGGCTTCCAGCGACGTCATTTGCTGTGCCGCCGAGCTCTTGAGCTTCTTTTCAGTTGGGCGGCGCATCCGAATCGCGGCGTCATCCAAATTTCTCAAATTTCTCTCAGTAGAGGTACAATCCCGTCACGCCCGGCGCAACCAACGACGATACGACCGGAATCCCTTTCTTGACCGCATTGGATGTCCTAAGTAATCATCCTTCATCGAACACGAAACCATCCTGGTTAAAATCCGAAATATCCTTTGTTCTTATCCGCCGCCGAAAGTCGAAAAGAAAACATGCGAACTTCAATCCTCTCGAGCCCAGCAACGCGCGCCCTTTGCGCCGCCTGTCGCAACGAAGCTCACCACGCCGTCGCCGCGAACCAAGCCAGCAGCAGGAGGACAAGAGCAGCCGCCACCTTCTCTACAACAGCATGCGCCAGTAAAAGCTATGATAGCAGGACGCCATTAGTTCCCGAGCAATCAAGGCCACGAGTGCCGACGAAAAGCCGAGAGACACAAAAACAACGCCTCTTCTCCCGCTCTTGCGCATACTCTACCTCATCCGACAACAACGCCTCCCCAAACCCTCAACAAAAATCTCTTCACGGGCCTTCTTCCGATAAACCGATCCCCCGCTACTACGCCCTCTTCCCCACCACCCTCCCCCTCGGCCCACCCCCCTCAGGGCCCTTCGCCATCGACCTCCGCGCCCTGCGCCGCGAATTTCTTCGCCTCCAAGCCGCCTCCCACCCCGACTTCCACCACTCAGCCAACCAATTTGACAGCAACGGCAACGGCGGCAACAGCGACGAGTCCCTGCTGCAGCGGCGAAAAGCAGAAGCAACCTCCTCTCTCATCAATTCCGCCTACAAGACCCTTTCTTCTCCCCTCCTCCGCGCCCAATACCTGTTAAAAGAACTCTACGACATCGACCTAGCGGGCGACGAATCGACGGACTACCAAAATGGGTCTGATCCAACTTTGTTGATGACGGTGTTGGAAGCGAGGGAGCTGATTGATGATGCGAAGACGGAAGAAGATTTGGTACCCGTAAGGGAGGAGAATGAAGCCAGGATACGGGAGAGTGAGGAAGCACTGAAAGAGGCGTTTGCTAGGGAAGATGTGGAGGCGGCGACGAGGGAGTGTGTTAAGTTGAGGTATTGGATGGGGATTAGGGAGGGGTGTGATGAGTGGGAGGAGGGGAAGGGTTTTGTTATGCATCATTAGGGGGTGGGTGACGGAAGAGGGTTATATAGGGGTTGGTTCGGAACAGGGAGAGGAGAAGAGGGTGAGGGGGGAAAGGGCTGGATGGGGTGTTTTTGGTTAGATGAGCAGCCTGGAAGGATTCAGGTGGTTCATTACGGGTGTCAATGGACAAACTCCGACCTGAAGCGTTGTGTCCGGTTCAAGGCTTCGTTGGGTTTTCTTGGCTTGGAGATGGTCCAGCATGCATTCTCAGGCCGGAGGGTCGGTTGAAAATCACCCATCGGGCGCCCTGGCATACATGATCATTGTTTGACAATCGACCTCTTCTGTTCTGGTTCTGGGTACCAGCCAAAAAGGGGTCACTTGCATCCACTCAGTCATCATGGCATTCTATGTCTTTGCGTTATATGAACATTATCTTGTTTATATACCATCCCTCCTTTATCATCCGTTATATTTCATACATATACACTAGATTACTGCATCAAGCCACCATTACATATCATCCAATCCATATATCGCAGCCCAAACAACGCCTCGCTGCAGGCTGGCTGGCTCACCACTCATCCATCCATCATTCTCCGTCCCAATCATCACATCACGAAAGCACAACCGGCTTCCACCGTCCCCTCTCCGTATGCCACCACCTCTCCCGATCCTTCTTATCAACCACCGGCCCACTATACGTATTCCACCGTCCAATACACCCTTCTCTTGTCCTGCTTTGCTCCTCCGCACCAGTCTTGACCATCACGTCTTCCACCTTATCCGCCGCTTTTTCCGCCGCTTTCTCCGCAGCAGCAGCAGCTCTACTCTTACTCTTGCTTCTCGCGCCCCACCACTCTCTCATCCCGGTCCTCGAAGTGCTCCTGCTCCTCCTATCTTCTTTTTTGTCTTCCGAGGACTTTGAATGCCTATGCTCATGTTTCTCAACCTTCTCCGACACGACCTTTGAGGACTTGGGAGGCAAAACCAACGCCTCTCCACAGTCTCCTAGCATATTCTCCACTGTGACTAGCCCTCCTCCTTCATCTGTCGCGCCACTCCCTTCATCCGCTGTCAGGAGGTATGCGATCTTGCTGTCCGTCCGTCCGATGAAAGCTCCAACGCCGTACTTTTCCACCACGTCACCGTTGGGATCGGTAACGATAATGAAGAAACGGGGAGACTTGCGCGCTGCTTCGAGGCGGGCTTGGGCGGCTAGGCGGGCGAGATGAAGGTCTGATTGTGCACGGTGAGAGAGGAGGAAGGGATCTGCTAAGGTGCCGGGTTTGGGTGCGAAGATGGGGAGGGACTTTGGTAACGGTCCGCCGCCGCTCGAGGTTGATAGAGGGAAAGAAGTATCGGTGGGTGTCGATGGCGTGGAGTTGGTGTCCCTGTCGTCGCCGATGGAACTGTTCGTCATGCTTCCCGTGCTGCTAGCGATCGAGTTAAACCCAGAGGGGCTTCGGGCATGGTGGATCATTCCGCTGGTGTTGGTCGGCGTAAAGTGCATTTTGCCTCCGCGGTAACGATCGGTCGGGTGGTCGGCGCGCTCTTTGGGTTTGCAGAGTGCTTGGAAGATTCCTTCGGGGTCATTCGGGCAGCGGATGGCGGTTAACCGGGGAAAGCCGCCGGCGAGAATGCTCTTCGCTAAGATGTCGTCTGCGGACGTGGTCGCGGTGCGTGTGGGTATATCCCAGTGAAGCTTGCGCAGAGAGTTCGAGGCAAGGTAGGGGAAGAGCCAAATCATCTCGTCGCTAGGCATGACGGGGGCGTGGTGTTGGACGAGGTTAAAGGTCTCCAGGTTGACGAGGTTGGAAAAGATCCGTGCCAAAGAGGGAAGCGTTTCGAGGTTCATGTGGATGAGTGTCAATGTAGTAAGCGATGTGGCAGAAGATCGACTGGCGTATGTGGTAAGTCCAGCAGTGGTGATGCCAGGGAGATGAGTCAGGGTAAGTTTCTTCAGACGGGGAGGAAGATGCAGAAGGTTCGCATCGGTAAACGAGCTGCGTGGAAGGTGGGAGACGTTGAGATTTTGCAGAGATGGTAGGTTGCGGAACGTCTGGTCAAGAATGCCGTCAGGGGCCAGCGTTGCTCCTGGATGGCAGTGTACCACAAGCGTGGTGAGCTGTTGCCAGCCAAGGTGAAAGTCGATAAACATGCGGCACTGGGTCAGTGACAGGTGTTCCAGCTCGTGGAGATTGTGTCTGCTGCTGTTGAGGTTGGCAAGATTATGTTTACTCCCGTTTGCAAGATTGTATTTGCTGCCATTAGCAGTCAATGGGCGGATGGCAGCTGTTGACTTTTGCCGTTGTAGTGGCGAGCGTTCCAGGATCCAATCCATCTCTTTCAACTTCTGGCGTGTGGAAAGAGCTTGAAAGATTCGCTGAAAGGTGTGATCGTATGTCGGGTAGTATCCAACCAGCCGCTCAAAGTTGGGACATGCCATAATAACTGATGCTATGAGGTCGTTATACTCTTCAACTGAAGATGCTGCTGATGGCCATGCGGGGGGCTTCAACGACCGCACTATCGCTGCTATCCTCAAGTTTCCTCGTAGCGTCCTGCGCAAAAGAACCAGTCTTGACCCGTAAGTCAACTTCGTTCGCTTCTTCATATGGTATCCATCTGCTCCAACAAGTTGTATATGCCCATACAACGCTTCTCGGGCGTATTTGAGAAACTTCCTGGTGCTTATAGCAATATTGCAGCAGTCCCTCATCCAACATGTTGCACAGCTGTTAGTCCCGGGCTTGAAGTGGAGTTTCCGCAACTCTTCGAGAATGAGCTCGATTACTTCCCCTGGCAGGGTAGCGAAAAGCTCTCCAGGCTTCGATTTCCGCCTGGGAGGATTAGGTCGTGATACCTGAGCGGGTTTCTGGAACTGTGCCAACGAGGACGTACGAGGACCAGCAGGCGGGCTTTGTGCTCGCATCGACTCCAGGCTCGTGTTGCTTCCATTGTTGATAATCGAGTAGCGCGGTCGACTTTCCCAGCTGTCTCGGTTTGAAGGAACGGTGCTCGTTGCTGAGATCCTGCTTTGGCCGGACACTCGCCGTTGTCGATCATACGTCCCCTGTCGATCCCATGCCGGTCCTGCTGGTGTCGAGATTGGCCGGCCTTTTGTCAAAGTGGGTTGTTGAGTAGCTGCATCCGGAGCGGGCTTCTCTACTTCTTTCCCCTTCCCTTTCTTCGAGATTGTTTGGTTGGTATGAACCGCTGTAGCTTCCTCCATTCTTGCGCATGATCTTTGTGTCCTTAACACAAACTCTTGCTCTTTTGGTGGATACATGGTGTGAGGCAAGTCGTAGATCGCTGGTGGCATCGCAGTCTTCAAAGGAGGCAGCCCTACGGGTTTCATGGGTGCTAACCTGCCAGTCTCTGGCTTCTCGTCGCCTGCTGCTGTGCCGCTCGGTGCCTGGTCAGAAGTAGAGGCAGTTGTATTCTTGAAACGCGGAGGTGCTTTTAACTTCGACTCATCCTGGGTCGCATAAGGACGCTGTTGTAAGACGGCAGAGGAAGAATGGGTTCGCTGGTGTTGGTATGCTAGTTGCCGACTGTTGCTGTTGAAGAAGCTCAAGGGTGGGCTGTTGTGTTTCCAATAATGGAACTAGTCAGTAAGCGTCTCGTCTATATGGTTCTCCAACTGCCGTAGTCGCGAGGAAGTGTAACAAGTAGATCAGCCAAGATAGACAAAGGAAGTTGCAGAAAATGTTTTGCTATGACGCTGGGCGGTGCATGTCACAATCTTATGAAGTAGAATAGTGGGATCTGTATGCGGCCCGTTGCTCCCTTCCCGGGATAATCGTTTCCCCAATATTGGGATCTTTGGGCGCTGATAAGACGCAGCCATTCGGAAGCGCAAGATGAGACTTCAACCGCTCTTGGCTTTTACCGCCGATCTCAGGCAGCCTAGGTTCCCCAGCTTGTAAACAACCCCTGAGAGAGCTCGGAAAGGGTGCCGTAACCACCGCTGGCGCCCAAGCCCGTGAGGTCGCAACTCGGCAATTGGAAACAGTGATATGGCTCTTGGAGTTTCTTTAGAGTGTCTCGAATGGGCAGCTCGCGTAGCGACAAGTCTCGTAATCTCACTCGCCGGCCTAGGCGTGTAGCGCGTGCCGAACTGGACCCGCTAAGATGTAACCGCTGCAAACCAGCCATTGCGGGATGTTGCCCACGAAGCGACCACTGGCGACTGTACTAGTGCAATATCGTGGCGCCACTGCCTCTTCGGTGGAGATTGTGACTACAAAGAAAGAACCCGTGCGGGCGGGTATGGCCGTGGGAAAGGGGTGTTTGGTTTAAAAATGGTACGGGAAGGGACAGCAAACAACTTTTGTGTTCATCTTTGAATCCGAACAAAGCTTGGTGGAAGAACGAGGGATGTCGCCTTGGCCATAGCCTTGAAGGTTTGAATGCAACGAGAACCGAGCTGGGCTTCTTGTGAAACTTGACACTTGCTGACGGGCTGAGATGGCTCCTTGTTAAGGGGGCAGATGACGCTGCCGAAACGCCGTAAGATGCGGAGAAGACGAGAGAAGCCTGGAAACGGGATGAGGGCCGCGCTACACAGCGCACCGCCAGTCAACACAGCACCACTTGGAGCCTTGACATGCTGAGGAACGCCGGATAGCAGCAGACAGCGACAGAACTGCTGGAGTTCGGCTGTGAGGCTGTGAAGTCTTGGTCTTGTGAAATGGTAATGTGATGATAAGTGGAGAAAAGGGGATCCTGGATGAAACGAAACTCTGAGGGATCGACAACAAGGAATATCTGAGGGTGAAGAGAACGGCCAGAAAATAAATCGAAAATAGGTCTACTCACTAAGAAGTTGACGATCTGCCTTTGGGCTTGGGTCTCTTCGATTCCTCTTCTCCTCCAACAGGACTTGATCTCTCTTTGCTTGGCGCCCGAGATGGCGGGTTACTGGCTCTTCTGCTGCCCCGGTCGCGCGAGTCGGAAGCTCCCTTCAAGTCGTCCTCTGTAACCGAGTTCCTCCTACTCCGGGACCGTGACCTGAGCCGTTGGACGAAACTGGATATAGAACTTTCGCTGCCCCTTCGACCCCGACGCCACCATCTTGACGAGGAGGGTTCATCTGACGGCGGCTCGGCGGACGAGTCGCGCGACCCATCCGAATGGTCTCTGATCACCATGGTTGGTTTGATGATGTTGGCGAAGTTGGTGGTGAGAAAACAGAGTTGGGTAGCATGAGGCGTGGGCGGATATCTAATTTTTTACTCGGTATGCTGTAATTTGAAAAGGATGCTGAAAATTCCCGGAATTGGTGTTCACTCTAGCATCGTTCGGCGGTTGATCCCCCGAGTCCTGTGAAATCCGGACTTTGTTTCGTTTGTTGGTGATTCCGCTTAGCAAACAGGAGAGGGCGAGTAGTTGAGGCGGCGGTTGTTGTTTCTGTTGGATTGTGATAACACTGATGCTTTTCGAATACGATATTGGGGGGTTGATTACCATGTAATAACTGTTGTTCGTATAGGTGTCCTTCTCCTGGGTATATGGGGCAGTGTGTTGATGAAACGAGCGAGGGCGAGCGAGGGGTCGCCAGATAGCCAAGACCGGGGAGGGTGCCGTCGGATCGTCAAGAAGGACAGATGAAGAAGTGTATAAACGAGTGACTGAGAGTAGCGAGAGCGAGACGGACGGTTCAGTTGAAAGGCGGAATAGCGAATGATGCGATGCGACGGGATGCGACGACCAAGGTTGATGCTTTCTCCGGCTGATTACTTGACAGCCATCAATCGAGCAGGTTGTCCCAGGTTGCACGACTGCTGCGGCAGGATCGATGAACCCCGACTTTTGAGTTGTTACCTACTTTCAGGTGGTGATGAAAGGGAAAGAGTGAAGAAGGAACTTTTAGGCTGCAGACTGCGGCGACTGCCTCCACCGAGATGCATCGACGCTGCATCGACCCTGCATTCATTAGGTTGTCCCTTCCCTGAGTTCCCCCGTCAATCTTGTTGTTTCTGGCGGGTTCCTCCTAGCCCCACAGCATTGAAACGGCGCTTTTGGAACATGTCTATGTGTAGCGGTATCACCAGTGTTTGCCAGTGTATCCCTTGAAAGGACTCTGTGACAGCCCTGATGACTGTGCTTTGTTAATGTGGCTTCTCCCCTACAACATATCCCTCTTATCGGTAACTCGGCATCCTTGGACTTGATCTCCCCGTTCGCAAAACACAATTCCAGCTGGAGTGTGTGTTTGGTAGTTTGAGATGTGCTGTCAAACTGGCTGGACTTGCGAGCTGGCGAGTTACCAAACAAAGTATGGATTATCCACCAGGCAGCTTTTTTAGTGCCGCTGCATCGGCTACTCTGTCCAATCTGAGGCCTCGATGCCATGTTAGCTCGTCGATCCGGCGCTGGTTATACGAGCATCTCTTCCTTGGAATTTGTCATGACCCGGGACCGCCGTTTACAAGGGGTTCCATGATGTCCTTTCCCGCTCACTAACATATTTGGCAGCAGTCAGCACCAAAATCTGTTAGCACTCTTCACATGTCGAATGTTTCTCCAACCCGCCAAGGGGGTACCGACCCACCCCCCTTTGGCATTAAACCCGCGACCCACGCCCGTCTTCCCGTACCTCTAAAGATTCCCCCGAACCCCAAACCATCTAGGGCCAAGGCAAAACAACATGAGACGAACAGCCTCAACATCTCCACAAAACAGACAACGCCGTCGGAGCAAATCCCGTGTTTTCGAGTTCACGGGACCCGACCCCGCGAAGTCATCGCAAACGGCACCCCACGACGGGGCTGACTAGACGAGCCAGAGTACTTACTGGATGGGACCGAGGCTTCGATGAGGGATGATCTCGACCTCGACCGCCTGAGCCGTCCTCAAAAGAAACATCCAATTGTGCTGAAGGGAGTGGATGGTGATAGTGGCGCGACGAAGATCCCGATGACTATCGATTGGATGAACGAACTGTCGTCGCTCCCTCCCAGAATGTCCCAGTTACCAGTCAGTCATGCCAGTGACAGTCAAGCTTTTGAATCTGCACTGCAAGAACAAGTGGAAATGCATCTTTGTCGAACATGCATCTGTCAGGTCCCAGGTGAGTGGTTAAGCATCGCACTGCGGGTTGGCGCCGCGAAACACCTGGTACATTAGTTCGTATACCTATAATTGGTGATCTGCAAGCTGCGCATTCAGCTCTCGTTGACGATACGTTCATGGGGTGACCGACTTCTCTTGGTGTCTTCACTTTGTACAGCTACCCTGGTCTGGTTCGGGTCGTGTCCGGCCCGGTCCAGAAGACAGCTTGCTCCAAACAGTTCCCTTTCTTCAACCCACAACCGGATACATATGGAAATCCATCCTGGACGGGTTCTCCTTTTGGCCGCATTACCCCTTGAACATATACGTCAGACACAAACTGCGGGATGCGAACACTTGAGGCTCATACTCTCTACCCTGGCATGTTTGTCAACACATACGGGCAGATTATGACCTTCAACATGTATTCTCGCATGGGTATCTATTGTGCTACGCTGATACTGAAATTTGTTACCACAGGGCTTGAAATCAAGCCTAGTACATAAAGAAGCAACATGCTGTCCAGAAGTTCTAAAAAGGCGATGGGCATCGCCCGAGCTAAAGAAGAAACGCTGCCCAGAATTCCACAAAGGCGAGGGTATCCAGCGTTCGATATTTTCAGCTTGTTTATAAAGTCGTACAAGAAATTCCCGAATCCTGGCTAATGATTGCGCTTGTCAGTGAAGGGATCCAGCCTTTCGTGGATCAGGGGGAGAAGGGGTTCGTTCATAAAGGGAGTCTCATCGAGGCCATGTTGGCCAACACGGGCTTTTCGTTGATTGCATCGTCCACTGTCCAGTACATGGGGAAGGGGGTGTGGCCTGATGGGAACTTTCCGGTAGTTCGTTCTTCATCCGAAAATGAATGGCCAGACTCGATTCTAGCCTTACCACGGCGGCCGACTCAATTCTCATCGGTGTCTGCAAATCGGACACGAGGACGCTTAGTCACAGGAGAAGAATCGTCTTCCGCTGAATCTGGCTCCGCTCTTTGCTGCGCATCCATCATGTGCACATCTCCATCTTCCTCCATTGAGGTAGCTGGATGTATAACGCCATCATCGTCCTGGTACGTCCTCTTGTTGGAACCGGAAGCTACTGCTGTAAACTGACCCGAGGTGGTTACTTCATTATCCCTCCCAAAATTTCTCCTCGCAATCACGGCCCTTAGGGCCTCGCTGCCCAAGCCGCGCATCACAAGATCCTGTTCCGGATGTTCGCGAGTGGCCCTTCCAAAGATATTCTGCGGTTCCGCCAACTTGGCCATCTGCGCCGGTCCGTCATCCTTATCAACGCTCTCCGGAAGCGGTAGAATCTTCGCGTTCAAGATCCAGTTATAGATCGGCCGGTCATCCAAAATCGAACCCCGGCTGCACTTCCTCTGCTCGGCAGGCGACATCTCCTCGCGCCGTCGAATAATCACCTCGTCGATGCTGCCGCGCAGCACCAGCGTCTCGACCGTGACCGGCTTCTGCTGGCTGATTCTGCGCGCTCGGCCGATGGCCTGGGCCCCAACCTGCGGGTTCAGCACCGGGTTGATGAAGTAGATGCGGGAAGCCGTCTTCATGTCCAGGCCGTAGGCCGCCTGGCTGATGTCCATGAGCATAACGCGGAACTTGGGCTTCAGCGTGAAGGTGGCCAGGTACTGGTTCTTGCGCTCGCTGGTGATGCCCTTGGCGTAGATGAGATGCTGGATCCCAAGAACTTCGAGCACCTCGGCGAGGTAGTAGGCTACGTTGTCATTTTCGTAGAAGACCAGGATCTGCTCGGCTTCTTGGTGCTGGATGATCTGGTCGACGAGGTAGGAAAGCTTGGCTGAGGCGGTCGAGATCAACCTGGTTTTTGCGAGGGGTGCAGCAGCTTCCGAGGCCGACGAGCCGGCTGTGGAATCTTGTTCTTGTGCAGGCTTTGTTTCTCCCATGAGAGATTTGATCACCCGGAGATTTTTCTTCTGCACATCTGAATCAGTTTCGGTGCGCCCATATCTTTCCCAGTTGGAGTTGGGCACCAATGCCTTTTGCCGATCATGCTCTCCCCACATAGCAATGTCCCCTACCGTGGACAACATATCTAGCGTTTTGGGAGATTTGATGAAGGGCTTTAGGCGCTCCTGAAGGCGAAGAAGGAGGGGTGCCATTGTGCAGACGGGGTCTCCGCCGCGTGAGTCGAGAGACCAATGTTCACCGGCGCCGAAAGGAAAGTTTTCAACGAATACAGGAACCTGGGCGAAACAGTGGGCGGAATTCTTGACGGTATTACTAACCGCAATTCGACCAAACTCAATTGCGGTCCGTAGCAAAGCGTCGTCCTCTGCGGTGATGTCTACCGCGCCCTCGTCGAGGAATCGTTCCGCTCTGTCAATGGCCTGGAGAATGTCCGACCTACAAAAGAATTGGCCGCCGAAGAAGCTGGCTTGTCTGAGGTTTTTGACCAAATTTGCCAGATGGTTCCTCTGGCTCTTGTGGAAGAAGTAATCCTCGTCGGTCCTCTCCGACTGTACGGAATTGAAGATGATATACATCGAGAAGAGATTGAGGGAAAGGATGTCTTGGTACGACCCATCAAGATAGACAGTCCTCTCCTCGACAGAAGGCAGGAAAGGGACAATCTCGAGCTTGGGGTGTCGGACAATCAGAGATCCAAGAGTTGCTCTCAGGCAGTCATCCTGGCGATCCAGTGAAGGCCAGGGTTTGACGATATAGTCCGCCCAGAGAACTTTGTCCCTCGTCGCTCCGGCTACTCCCAGAGACTGGGTATCGCCAAGCGTGTTAGCCCAGGGTTGTGCTTTCAAGAAGACAGTAGCCATGACACCGATTGCTTTGAGATCCTTAAGCTCTAGATCTGTGGAAACCTGATGATTCTGCTCCAGACTGCCTCGGACTCCATGCTCGAGACCATAAAGGCCTTTGGAAGGTGTGCCGGTAACAACCCATTTAGCATCTACATGCAAACCATTTATAACAAGCTGTATATTAGTCTTCGGCGTGGAGTTGACGCCGCCCGAAGTTGAGTTTCCGAGCACATGGCCCTCGTCGACAATGCAACGCTTGAAATGTACACTTGCCAATGGATTGCTTTGGCGGCTCCGTGAAGACTTATTCTTTGCTTGGTTGGAATGAATGCTGTCGAAGACGCTCCTGGAGAAGAGAACTATGTCATACTCTCTCAGATCTTCAGCAGCAGGGAGACACAAAGTCTTTGTCTGCAATAGCACTCGGAGACCGCTGGTGTGCTTCTCGATCTCTTGTTCCCAATGAGTAACAAGGTTTGGCGGCACAATTATAAGAGACGTATGGGAAAGGTAAATCATCTCACCGCGGGTCTCTGTCGTGTTCCGGCGGGTGGGCCGTGGTGAAACGGGCTGAGGTAGGCGGTACCAGCCGGGGTTTCGCTGGATGGCATTCATGACCGAATTATACTGGAAACCATCATTTTCTTGGCTGTCAAAGCCGAAGATGTCCTTCCAAGGCGCTCCGCTTCTCGTGACCACGGCCGCCGCCATATCCATCAAGCTTCCGACTTTGGGCCGCACAATGGGATCTGCTCCACGGTACAACTCTGGAACAGAGGTGGGGATATGCTTCGTCGCTAGGATGAGAGCCAGGCAAATGAGCGTCTTTCCAGCTCCCATTTCTTCAGCTAGGATACCTCCACAGACGCTGTCATAATAGGCCGGGTCAACGACGATGGTTTCGGCGATGGGGTCCACGTAGTACGTCTTTCCTAGATGATCGACATAACGCTTTGGCAGTCGAGGATCCGGAATTGGCTCTGTCTGCGACTCTCGTTGTGCCATGAAGGCTGCGGACCGACACTGGAACGGATGTAGCGTCGTCTTCAGGCCCGATACCTTGTTGTCAAGCAAGTCGTACATGCTAGCGCGTCTATCAGGGTCCTGCACTTGATTCGGCTTGGGATCCGGGGCCGGGAGAGTATTGAACATTTGCAGGAGCGACTGCGGTTTTCCGGTCAGGCTTTGCTCCTTGTCATTCCCATCGTTCTCAACTTCTTGGGACCTGACATGCCCATTCCAAGTGCAGGAAGAGCGGTCAAGGAGCTGGAAGAGCCTGGTCCTAAGTTGTTGTAGACGTTTATCAAATCGGGGGAGCAGGCGATTTTCGACGTCGTCTGGAAGTATGTAGACACGAACAATACCTCTGGCGGGAAGCTCAGCTGTAACTCTGAACGTCGTGTGGACCCATTTTGAGCCTAGGAGACTTAGGAATGGGGACAGAATAGAAGATTCCAGGAGGGCATCCTGAATACTGGGATGGAGAGGCGGGTCGGAGCCGGCGACATGAATAGGTCCAATCGATGGATTGTATTTCGGCTTGCCTTTAGAGGCGGGAACATCGATGCTGTGCCAGGTGTGAAGCAGAGGGACGGACCAAAGGGCTGGGGAGATGCCGCTTTCGGCTTCGTCGATAACGATGCATCCGGCCGCGAGGAAGCGGTCGATATGGATGGACGACATGATAGACTCTTGAGAAGCGAAGAGGTAAGCAAGAATTACAAATCGTATGCTGGTGTTGTTCGAAAAAAGGTTCTGTCTGGTATCCAAGTCCAGATTGTGGTTGTGACGGGACCAGGTGAGGGCCAATCTCAGGGAAGCCTCAGGTTGGAGGTCGGAGGTAGGTTGGATGTTGGAGGTTCGAGAAGGAACAGCCAATCGATGGAGGGCAGCCTAGATTGCGTTAGGAAGGTACGAGCATTTGGCAGATAGTTGCGCTTTACAAAAGGTACTGGCATAACTGCGGTAAGAAGTGTTGCAGGTTATCCGGGTCGGGCGCGGGGTGTTAGCGGGAGTATGCAGACCCCCGCCTTTCGTTAACACCACTGTAAACACAGGTACCTAATGACACGACGGGATAATGGAAATACTCCATGGATGACTTGCCTTTACAATGACGTATATAAATAAGCAAGGTGAAACCTTCAGATAACCGTCCTACCTCATGCGTATCCTGCTTACTGATTTGTGTTGGAGTCAGAAAGGCGACGATAGAAAATGGGCTTCACTTGAGTCTGAAGTGGTAACGGAGAAGGAGGAACGGAAACTACTACTGTGTAGGGCAGCTTCCCTAGAAATAATACCAGAAGGGAGTCCAGTGACGGTGAATGGGAAGTCCGGTGAATGGGCGCCCAGGGCACGGACTTACAACGATTTGCTTGTGAATGCCACGGGCATTGTTGTTGTAAACTTGAAAAGCCTGGCGGACAAGCAAAACAAGGGAAAACGAGGATGAATTTCATGATGCATGTCTATAACCACCACGCACGCACCTATAATAACAGAGTGACAACAATCAAAAGATTTGAGAGACATTGGGAAAAGCAAAAGGGGAACAAAAAGGGAGAAAAAACCTGAAAAAAACAAAAAAATAAACAACTTTGCGCCAGCCGCGAATCGAACGCGGGGCCCATCGATGGCAACGATGGATTTTACCACTAAACCACTGGCGCTTACTGATAAACAGGTTAAGATCTTTGTCCTATAGAGTCATGCGGGCCCCATCTTAGCTGAGCACTCATAAGCAAGGGACCGACATTTTGCGGCCCAGAATCCAGTCAAGCAACCCCATGTTGGAGAAGCACATTTCGACGAGAGTCTGAGGTATGGTAAGTAGATATGGTATAAATAAAAGTATTTAGTTCCTTTACCCCATGAAGTGGGAGATATTATCCCTGGGACATTTACACAAATAACAAACATCGCGAATACACAGAAGCTTAGCACATCTCGGGTACGCTTCCCGGCGCCCAGCATGGCACATTCCGCACATCGTTCATAGCGCGATGGAACTGCGTGTTGATACTTTGGGGTTGAGTGTCGTTGCTAACTTTCAAGCATCTAAATCAAGTTGATTTATGGTATAATCTGAAGACAAAGAACATGGCAATTGGATATTTGGCGACATATATCGAAGTGAAATAAAAGAAGGCAAGAGCGTTCGAAGCTCAAACGGCGGGCAATGCTGTAGACTGCAGTGCTCCTGCGTGTGTGGTGATGTCCAGTTGTGTAAATGGGTCTTATCTCTTATCTAACCGTACTTGACGCACAGGCACCTACAAGTAAGGTACTGATCTTTCATCATCTCTCCTGCCCCTCTTCCCAACTGTTTCCCGTCCTCTTAACCTTTTCACTTCTTCGTACTTGGTTCTCGATCTTGAAATCAGTTCCTTCTTCTATTATTACTTCTTGATTTTTTGCGCATCATTGATCAGACGCAGTCCACTATCTTTCTTGGCTACCAAAAACCAATTGTTTCGGTAAGCTGCAGGCTTTCCTCCAAAGTTCCACGCTTGATCCTATCCTTCAGAAGCTCACAGACCTTGCTATAGTTGGCCTTTAGTATAGGAACTAATCTACTCTACCAAGCGGTGTGAGGGATAGTGCGGATTTCTTGTGGTGGAAAGACATCTAGTTCGATTTTTCCCACATGACTGAAGTCCCAAGCCAAAGCAGCTTCTCGATTCTTCAGGATGTGGGTGAAAAGGTCCCGTTCTTCGGGGCTGAGAGTGCTTTGAACGCCTTCCAGCATAGCTTGAAGACGTTCTGGGGTTAGACGTTCTCCTTCGTCCATTTCGGAAAAGCGAGGGGTGATCACGTCATCCCAAGGGGAAGGGTGTGTTTTCCTTCTCTTATCAATCCTGCCTTGTCGTACAGCAAGACGCTTGATCTTCCATTTGGGATTTCCCTCCGGTTTTGACCCATCAGAAGGTACATCATCACTGCTGTACGACAAGGCAGGATTGATCGAAGAAAGAAAACACACCCTTCCCCCTGGAATGGTACTCACTTTCCCGCATAACTCAAGCCCCCGCGACTCCTCAGTTTCCCACGTGTCCCCCGAAAATGAGAGATCCTCTCGCACCCATCACCATGCCAAGAACATCAACAGCGTCATCCGGCAAAATGCCGCTGAAGTTGCATCGCGTGCTGACACAAGAGGAAGGCTAGGTAGGTAAGGATCCTGGCCACGGTTTGCCATGTTCAGACTTCCATGTTGCCGACGTCGATGGTCCTCCGACCCGTCCCTGGGTTGCAAAGAACATCCTCACCCCGCATCTCCGAGGTCCGTGCCTCCAAGTACAACCAAACTCAAGACGTACCATACCACAAAAACTGTTACTTTGATCCCACTCTGTTGAGAGGTATCAAGCCATGCCATAGCCTGGTCAGTCGCGCTTTGGCCTCGGGCCGGAAATTATTTGCATTGACAACTCACCCGCTGTCGATATGTTTCCCCTTCGCCAATCTCGTCACATCGCCATCACCCCGTTCGAAAACCGGGGTTATCTCCACGCTTGATACTGAGAGCCCTCTCTCGTGCAGAACATCCTAGTGGAATCCGCCCGATACGCAATACCCGTTGGCTGGGGCTCTTCGAGTTACAAGGTCTCTGATTCCAAGGCCTAAGAAGCTAGTTACCAGCGAGTTCGAAATCGAATACACAAATTCCGTCCCTCACACCTTTCATCAGACAGTCGTCCTGCCCTGACCTCCCTTGTCTGCTAGATAGAGCGAAACGGCGATCATTCGAAGCGGCCCGTCCCTGCCCCTGGACTGGACTGGACTGGGCTGGGCTCAAGAAGCCGAGAGCGCACACACACCAAGTCAAACCAGCGTCATTGCGTTTCTACCTTACCCTTACTAGGTTCTCGCTTCTCGCTTGCGCAACTGGGACTTTGGCAGTTTACCATCAATGCGACGAAAGTTACGCGGATCCGACGAAACAAGTGGAAAAGCAATAAAAATACACCCTGACATGCTGCCGTCTGCCCTGTGCACTGTCTGTCCCCCTCCCCTGCGGCGCTCGGCTTTGGAGGTCCTTCGCGCTTATTTCTGGCCTGACCTAGCTTTCGTACGACTCGGTAGCCTCGCACGTTTCGCTCGCTGGCTCGCTACCAGTTACGACGGCTCGGAAGAACGGAAGCCGGCTGAGGTTTCAACTGATGAAGCTGAGTGAGGGACATTTGCTTATTAACAGAATGGAGAGAGGAGGAGGAAACCGATGTGGCCCCGATACCATGAGAGGCAGCGGGAGCCGACCACTCATACTATCAAGTTGGAAAGTTCCAGCAAGGTCGACCTTGAGCCGTACCTTGGGCACCACGGGATGAGCCGGGTGGAAGCCGCTCTGCTGACTGCTCAGAGTCGACTTGGAGGATCCAGCCAACGGTCGACGATAAATCTTCAACTATCGGATATATAACGGAAGGTCCTCGCGTTCTTGGTCGAGCCAGCCAGCTGCAGGTCCAACCTGCTTCGGTATGGCCACTACCCACCTAGCCAGCAATCACTTCACGGCGGGTTCAGAGCAAGGCAATCACTGATGAGGGTTTCCCTTCATGGCTTTCCTCTTACCCGCCAGGATTAAAACGCACAATCTGACCTGAAGCCTGGGGCCAGAAATGGCCGCTTCTAGCCCTGACGAGTACCTCCCTCAATTGTTCCACACCTTGGGCTGCACTACGAGCTTACTTCCAAGTTTCTTAGCCCGACGGCACGGGTCTACTACACAGTATGTGGCCACCTCGTGTCACCTGGTCATGTGGTCTACTAACAGCAGAAAATCTTATACTTCTTTGCGATCACTTGCATATGGCTTCTCGCTTGTGGCCTGGATTATGGGCCTCGACCAAGTATTGAGAACGATTGGAAGAGGTGAGAATTTGAGATCGAACGAATCGAGACGTCCATCCCCATGGCTCTGTAGTGATGTCTGCTCCTGGGAGTTGGAATTTCTCCATCGTGATTTCCTAGGGTAACTATTCGTCACGATTTTGTAGGTCGATTTTGTAGGTCGATTTTGTATACCTGACAATTACGCCACGCGTGAAACACCAACTCATTCCATTTGATGTCTTCCTTCCACAGTTTGGAAACCGGAGAGCAAAAGAGCGGGAACCAGCTGTTCATCACGAGTATCATTTCTTCCATTATCATCGGTCGAAAAAACACTATCCGGTAAGTATTCCTTGCCTCCTCACTATCGCACAAGATCTGATCTCTCATATCTTCTTCCTTCTTCACTGCCTATCCCGCAACCCCCACAACCTCGGGGGTCTGGCTCCGTGATTCCATTAGATTACCCCCATGCTCCATGCAAGTTCCATACATCACAACCCCCTTGAGCCTCGGGCCTAATAGCCTTCCCCCATGTAGTCTGTCAGACTCGATACCATTTCCTTCCCTTCCTTATGTCTGTTTCCATTGAACTTCCATCATGATGGACAAGGGTTGGAACGTCACTGATCACGCCCCCACCACCAGATTCCCGGTTTCCCTCCCCTGCTTGTTCGTAGCGCCACCTGCATTGGTATCCTTCCGTCCATCATTCCCAAGATGAGATAGGGTAAAAAGCAGTAACGATCAAAAACACCGCGTGACTGACTGGCCGGCTATAAAATACAGAGATATTGGTAAGTCGACCCTACAGCGCCCAAACATTGACAGATAGCAAGACAGTACAAAAGTGAAGATGGAGATGTCAGAAGTCCGTTAACCATTTGATACGCCGTAAGGAAGCACAGTAACAAAAAAAAGGATATCGTGCTGAGTGAAAGCCTCAAGCCGGAGAAACCCGAAAGCAAAGAAAAAAGAACCGAAGAACCAATGTTGCTGTTGCAGGAATTGTAGTTGTCAACGGTGGCAGCCAGCCCCATATAACAATGAATGACGACTCCCTTGCCCCCCACTTCAGATCCGCAGTGGTAACGACCCCTGGCAATGCTCACACTTGTCTCCCTTGACGATGAACCGTTCATGAGGCGCTCTGGGGCAGGCACCTTGTGGGCTACCGTCCAGCTCGATCTTGTAGAAGTGGAGACCGGGGTCGGTGCATGATGCGTAGATGTAGTAGTTCTTGAAGAAGTCGCACATGTTTGTTGTGAGATGATGAGAGAGGATATCGCTTTTGTGAGTGATGAGGTCTGCGATACAACTGATTCGGTGAATCTCAAGCAATCCAATGGGAGTGCAGAGGAGACAAGGCTGATTATTTGGTCAGTAAGGGTTGGAGAATCTTGATTGTGGATGAAGGCTTACTCTTAGGCTTGGTGGTAATGAAGGAACAAATCAACGGTTCCCTGACCGGAAGGGCTTGCGCACAGGGCGAAAAAAGTGGATGATAGATTGAGGTGAATGAAGTTGTGTGTATACAGACAAAGCTGAATGGAAGAGATGTGAGACAAGGTAAAGTTGACCTGCTTGATATCGCTTGATGTCGTGAGACTTGTAGATATATAAGCCTTTTCTGGTGTGCAAGGTGTACATATTGGAAAGTGACCCAAGATGCGCTTTGACCCTCCTCGAAAATGATATCCAGTCCATGTTGCATAAGCTAGCATCGGCATTAGGACCAGCTAAGACCCGAACACGATACTGTGTGTTCATATGATCGAGCAACCAAAAAAACATCCGTGTACAGAAGATCGTCTGCAGGTAACGTTGGAGGCAGGGTCTCCGTAACATCCTGTGATTAAGGTGCTTGGTTTCGATCCGCAAGTAACCATATTTCGATGTTTCAGAATCTCGGTATGGAAACTACCGAACAAGAAACTCTCCCGAACGACAAGGTAGGTCTGACTTGATTTGGCACGCGCCCGCCCTCAGGAACCAAGCAGTCGCATACAGCAGTAGAGGTGCATAGCAAGTGGATTTTTGTTTCAACTTCCGCCAAAAACGTGGGCATAATGCAGAGTCAATCTTTGCTTTGGGAGGCTTGCAAGCTTAGTGCGGAACTCACCCCCCAAGGGTAAACCTGCATCAGGCCGTGTGGTCCCGTCTGCATATCAACGTCCGGATGAGGGCGGGAAGATGTTCGTTATGGGATGAGGGGTCACTTTGGATATCCGTAGAGGGGTGAGAGGTGAGAGGGCTTCATGCCTGGTTGAAGCAAATGAACAGTAAGGTGAGAATTTCCACACAACTCCTACGCCTGTTGTAGTACGAAAGAAACTGTTAAGGCCACAATTGATGACTAGGGGGTATCGACGTAGCATTGACCAGGGTATGTAACGCTCCGGAGGCTAGTCCGCACTTGACGGCACTGGCACGAACTACGAAATGATATCTCGGCGCAACTAGCACCGAGATATTTTAGTATTGCGTAACGGACTTGGAAAACGATACGTACCGCACCCCCAGTCACCTCCAGCCTCCGCACATTTACTGCTCAGAACGGTATGGCTTCTTAAGTCCCGTAATCGTATAGTCTTTGCCTCTTTGGGTAGTATGTAAATACGCGTGTAGAGTTGAAGCTAGTTAAGTTAGTTCGTCGTGTACGGCCGTTGTGTTGACTTGGTGAAATTGTGAAAGTTATTAAAATTATAATGTAGAATATAGTATTGTAAGTGACCGTATATTGTTAATAATATTTAATATTGGTCTCCCTAAACTATTTAATAGCCTTACTAATGGATTGGGGAAGTTTAATTCCTATAGTAAAGTCCTTTTGGCTGTATTTTGTATAGGGAATTACTTTGGTAATGTAGATCGGTTCGATAAGCTTTATCTCCCTCATAGATAGGTTCGATGAGTTCTACGTTGAGCAACCGCTTCGATAAATTCTACGTTAAACGTATAATAAAGGTACTATTTCGTAGTTCGATGAGCTCTGCGTTGAGCGTATAATAAGGGCACCATATCGTATGTAATGTATAGTAAATAATAAGGCTAGAAAGCAAAGTTTGATTCCTATAGTAAAGTCCTTTTAGCTATATTTTATATAGGTAATTGCTTCAGTAATATATATCGGTTTGATGAGCTCTATGTTAAGTAACCGCTGTGTGCGTTGGTGATGATAAAATTGTAAAGTTAATAAAGGTTAGCTAATATATATATTAATTGTATTTTTAATATTATAATTATAATATCAACTCTGATGATATTAAATTTATTGTATAGAATGTTCTAATTGCTAGTAATCGATTGATATATATATTAGAAGGATTTATAGTGGTGTGCAAATGCTATATTGAAAAGTGGTTTTAATATATTTAATATAAATCGAAATATTTATATTAAATTTTATTTTTATAACTATAGTACTAGTTTTATTAGATCGCTAGGGACTTGTTAGGCGTTGAACCCGTACTAATACTGAAGAGCGCTAATGTCCGCATAGTATAACGCCGTAGTATGGCGTCGGAACGGTTTGGAGCCATCGTAAATTCAATTACTATAGAATAGAGTTTATAACAATATAAATAGCCAGTCGAATTCGCTTCCAAAGTTATTAGGGTTAATTATTAATATATTTTTAATCCTCTCCCTACTTTAACGTCCCCTACGTACTTACGCTATCTATAAATACTTCAACCTACCTTCCTCTACGATTTTAATATATTAATAGCTCTTTTTATAAAAATTAAACCGTTACTAATAGGATATAAATACGTAGCGGACGATCCGTTTCTCAGATTGCTGAAGAAACCCTTCCTTCTACTTCTAGTATATAAGAGCTATTTATTACCCCCCTTACTATAGCCGACGATGACCCTTAATAATAACCTCCTCCTTCGTCCTAATATTATTAATTAATTATTAAAGAAGTAAATAATAATAGTTCGGGTAGTAATTACTCTTTTACCCCCTCGTACGTTTTGTATAATCCTTTCTACTATTTAGAGAATAATATTATAGTATAGAAGTAAAAATTCTTCGAATCTTGTATAGTGGTTATTAAATTCCTTTTAGTTTACCTCCTATCTTATATATCTCTTTATAATTAGAATAGTTTTATAAACTTATTAAAATAAAATTAATTTAGTAATTACCTTCCTGTTCCTTTCGGATTCCGCTATTAGAATTATTTCTTTTATAATTAAATACGCCTCTTAACCCTCTCTATTCCTATTATCGCTCCCTAAGTTACACCGCCTATTATTTTTATATTTACCTAACGGATGTAGTTTATTATTTTATTTAAATATTGTCCTACTTTTAATATTTCTAAATTTACTAGTAAAAACTCCTTTTAACTACGTAATTTTATTTTTAATATCGACGACTACTATTTCGAATACCCTTAAATACCCCTTTTTTTTCGCTATTAATTATATCGAAAATAAATTTAAAAATATATGTATTAAGCATATTATAACCTTTAAGAAGAAAATTGATTATAACTCTATTCGTAACGTTCTTACTTAGAAAGACCTATATACTTTTTTAAAGAAAAAGTATAGTAGTAATACTTAAATTATCGAACGTTTTACTTTTATTAATTTTAAATGTATATAATAAAGTATTATTGAAACCGTTCGTACGTTCTATAACCGTTTTTATATCAAAAAATTCAATCTATCTTATAAATGACTGGAATATTCGTATGTCCTATAATAAATTAACCGCCTACATCCTTATTTGTATAATAGTATTTTATTAGTGAATAGTATTAATATATTAATTAAAGCGGTAGTATATATAAAATAATTAGAAAGTTTAAAAATTTTAAAATTAATAAATAGTATTAGCGCCCTTAAGTACCGCGTCCTTACTTATTTATTCCCTTTTTTCTTTTTACTTCTGTTATTATTTTAATTTCTATATTAATTTTTAATTCTAATGATTTTTCTAATCCTCTCCCTACAGTTTCTATTAATCCTAATATTATTTATTATTATTATAGTTAATTTAAATATACGTACGGTTAGTACCGGGTAGTAAAGCCGCGTAATATTTACTACGAATATAATAAGTCTAAATATTCGGCGTTTTTCTATATTAAATATATTTATTATAATTATAGTAAATTAAGCTATATATTATATTAATACCCTACTTTTTTATAATACCCTAATTTAAGGCGTAAATATTAAACTAATAGTACCGGTAAAGACTACGACTACTTCGGCTTAAGAAAGCGCGAATATATTATAATTATATTTAAATATGAAATTATTAGTAAAAATATATAGAAATTAGCGGAAAATTTATAGTTTAATAGATTCCAGCGTAGAATTAAATTTTATGAAAAAGTATTTATTCTTATTAGACGCTAAAATAGAATTCATAAATTACTATTTTATTATTTCCTCTTTCTAACCCATTCTTATATGTAATTTAATTATTTATTTTAATATAATATATAATTTTTATAATATTAAATGGAAGAAGAAAATTATATTTATATTTATTCATTCTCTTAGTATAGACGTTATTTTTAAATACTTTTAATTGTACGAATATAATTTTGAAATTAATTAGCGTCGGAAAAGGTTCCAATTTCGGATTGAAGTATAAAATTTAAAAACGAGTAAAGAACCGACTAAAAATATTTACGAAGTTATAATGTTTCTTTATAATCCGCAATAAGATTTAATCCTCATTTTAAAACCCAAAAAATATTAAAATCTATTAATAATTTTAACCCCTTACTATATTCGACCGTCCCTTTCGAAATTCCCCTATCCTTACATATAAATTTTTTAACCCTACCGAATATCCCGGATTCCTCTAATACTCCTTCTAATATATTTATTCCTATATCCCTTAATATATTCTCGGATATACTTTTTAAAATTTTTAAAGTTACGTTAAACGGAATTTACTTGCTGTTAAAACTCCTATTAGAATTAATAATTCCGAAACTACTTATTGCCGAATCTAAAGAAGAAGAAATAATTGTTACCGAACCGATAATCTCTCTGGAGTATAAGGAATTTTAATAAATATTTAAAGCGTCGGTTATACTCCTACTATAGTATAACCGTTTAAAATATTATATTAATTTAATTGAAGGAAAATCCGCTCTTTAGTGCCCTATTTAAATATTTAATGTTAAAGAGTTAGAAATATTCCGGGAGTAATTAGTAGAAATATTATTTAAATGATAAATCCGTCCGTTTATTAGCTTAGTAAGGGTTCTTATTATTTTT